TAAATGTGGACTGTCATAACTTTTGTTTAATCAAGTTGTGGTCATGGCTGATGTTTAAAAAAATGTTATACCATGTCAGGAGTGCAACAGAAAAAATGTAGTGTTGCCAAAAAAACATCAATTGTAAAATTCTGATAGAAAATTAAGACAAAAAAGAATTTTGGAAGTGTAAAATAATAACTGATATACATTTTAAAACTTAAAAATGTTATATAAATCACAAGCAGCATTAATGAGAGTCAAGTATATGTGCATACCCCAAAATGTCAGGAGTGCAACATTTGATGTTTTGCTCCCAAGCATGAAAAAACTATTATCATCATATGATTTTCTGATTTTTATTTTGGAAAATAAAAGACACAAAAAACAATTTTACCAAATAGATTTATCAATTACAGGATCTGTCTGTTATTCAGATCCATATTTCTATGGTCAGAAGTGCAACACATTTTTTAAAAGATTCAAGTTGTGTGTCGAAAAGACTTCTATTCATGCATAGAAGTATTCATTAATTAATAAGGATCTTTTTGTATAATTTAATGCTAAATTATTGACAGTTTTATTATTAAAATCCTTCCTTTTTCCATTTTATCAATTCATATGTGTTTTTATCTTTTTGTGATTTTTTTAATGAACGTTAAAAATAAACACACTAAAACATTGTCATAAAATTCAAGTAATTCCTCCTCAACTTCACTGAAACAACAGAACAAGTTCTTATGTAATTTTCACTTCACAATTCTACTTTAAGGACATACGCAACATAGTTTGAACTTTATTGTCTTTTTCCTTGGAGTTGAAGAGTTCCAATACTTAAAGGAACTGTGTGCTACATTTTAATGTCTATATATGCTATTGTACACTTCTTCTAAAACAAGTTTGGATAAACAAAACATCTAGAATATATGTTCAGTAATTTTTGTATATTTTTCTTTGAATTATACAAGAATTTTCATCAATTGATATCTTTTCAAAACCCTGGTAATGCATGCTGATTTTTTGTCTACGAACATCTGATAGCACTATAATCTTAAATTAAGAATATCTCGAAAAATTATCAGTAGGTAAGGTACGTTGCATGTGTCCTTAAAGGCCCCAATGCTTTTGGTCAGGAGTGCAACAAATATGTTAGAATTATAAATCATCCACTAAGAATAAAAATAAAGAAAAAATGATGAGTAGAATTTCTCTGGTGGGTTACTGTGTTTGTCTTCTAAAGGAAAATATGCTTTAAAATATATTTTATCTTCTAAATATACATTTAAGCTAGTTTTTGGGCATAAAATAGGGTATAATTCCAGATAAAATGCGAATTTTAAATACTTTCATCTGTTTTAATTATGAAGTATTGGACTATAAGTATTGCACAATTTCATTACCACTTGATGTTGCCAACACTTTATGAATTTTTGTGTTCTATGGTTTTAATTTTAAACTTTACTGCAGTCAGGAGTGCAACAAAACTGCTTCATAATTACCGATGCTTTTTAACTATCTTTACTAAAAAATAAGTTGAAAAAAAATGCTTGATACTATTTGATGTTCAAAACACTATGTCTATCAACAAATTACAGAAATTTTACAGTCAATTCAGGGAATAGTGTTCATCATTTCACATATATTTTAAATACATTTTATATATATTACACTTTGCAAATAATCATGTTTTAAGGTCTTCAACATATGAAAAACCTGCCGTAAACGATGAAAAATATCGACACGGCAAATTGATTTACAAAGTAAGAATGGGTTATTGTGTGTTATAATTTTTAAAACAATGTTAAATAAAATACATATCAGATGTCAGGAGTGCAACACAATAATGTAACATAGGGTCACTTCAAAATCTAGTATTTTTTGTAAGAGAACTCGTATAAAACAATTCTTTTTTGGCTTTGATTTAAAGAATTGACTTGAACGGACAAAAAAGTGAATTTTGGGGAATTTTATTCTTCATATTTTTTTCATATTAAAACTTTTCAAACCAGAATTAAAAAAATAATGTAAAATAACAATCAAAAAGCCAATTTTTTGTCACATGTACAAGAGAAGATACTCATTCAAGGTCTAGATTTAATCATTTATACCCCTTTTACCATTTTGAAGCATAAAAAACTATAATTGCTTGTGATTATGTATTTTAGAAAGTCTTTTAAGGTGTAATGATATTTTCTTTTTTCAAAAGAAATTTTTCTAATAAAAATTCTGAAACTTTTTAATCCAATTGTCTATTCTATTGCCACTTCAGGATTTTAAACTAGAATGCATTTGCAATATGGTGATATAAGTGAAAAATATGTTACAAGTAGTTGAATTTTGCCAAAAAAATTCAGTTTGGTGGTCATTTTTTTTTAATTCACCCATATCTCAAATACCATGGATATGTCGAAGTCATTTGGAGGTGCGAACCACTTTTTCTCTATGTATTTTACCCTTGATATTTCAAACCCTTGGATATCTCGAGATATTTCCTTGGTCCCATCAAGTTCAAGATAACAAGGTTTGACTGTACATGGCTAATATGGCATGGAAACTTCAAAGCCTGCAGCAAGACTTGTACTCCCATGTTCTTGTTGCAGGAAATATACATTTATATATCAAATTTATTTGTGCTTTACCATATCTTAGTCGCTGTCCGAGAATTGGTTTCAAACCCTATGAAATTTTTGCTCTTGTTCTTAATTGGTAATTTTAATGCAAGTGTAGGGTAATTAAACTGTAAAAGGTTGTAAATCTAAATAGCAAAATGAAAAGAAAATTGTGTAAAATATTTAGATTGGGATATTGATGTACTGATGCTCAATATTCACAGACACATCTAAAACAAAGGAATATCAGTGAAGATTTAATCATAGAGGAAGTCAACAGATATAAAGAGGAGAGAAAGAAGAAGAAAGAAGATGAAACAGAGGTCAAAGAGGCCATTAAAAGAGCCCAGACTAAACGTCCTAAAGACCTAGAGGAAGATGATGTGGATATGAACAGTGATTCTGATGAGAATGAATCAAATGCTCCATCAACCAGTTCTTCAAAAAGAGGCAGAGGGAGGGGAAGTCGTGGAGGCCAAAAAGGGGAAACTACAAGAGGACGAGGCTCCCGAGGAGGAAGAGGAGGTAGAGGGAGTCGAGGAGGGAGGGGCAAAGCTGCAGTTGTGGAGACCTCCAATAGTTCTATTTTAAATGCTTTTGGATCACAACAATCAAAACAAGGATCAAGACAAAGTAGGAAGAGCACTGTCAGGTAAATTATGTTGACATTTTAATTTTTCAATAATAAAGTTTATATGCAAGTAAACTTCTAAAGACCTTTTTTCTTCCTCACGAGAAAGTTCTGATATTGACTCTCTACAATGGTTTATTCCTTGCACAGTCAGATAAATTTACATCACACCTACATGTATCTAAGTAATTAACCCAAGGCTTTTTAAAGAAATTAAGGAAACTTGTTTAAAATAAATGTAAGAATATTGCTTTTTTTCTTTTTTGGCAGCTACTTCGATTCAGATGAGGAAAATGAGAGCATTACTATATCTGACGATGAAGACTTACCGAAGATGTCTAAAAAATCCAAACCAACCCCACCAAAGAAGAAAAGGGGGATCACATTTGACTCCGATTCAGATGATGATATATACCCAACAAAACGCAAACGATAACATTCATAGGGTGCTTATGTTAAATTTTATTGATTTCATTTTGTTAATGTTTCCCATTTGTTGTGAATATGAAGTACATTTTGTACTTTTATTCTTGAATAAAATGAACTTTTCAGTATACATTGGTATCAATTGGCTACAAACAGGCATACTTAGATTCACAAGCAAAATTCTGACTGGAAATTGTGTATCTTGGTGGAAGTTTATACACGAAGTGTATCCATCTGTAAAATTTTTGCTTTGTACTTTTTCTTAAGAATCAGTGGGCCAATTCAAGTAAATCTTGCTTCCAAGTTCTGTTTAAACATATTCAATTTGCTGCAATAATGGGCAATAAAGTTCACTTTCATAGGGAGGTAAGGAAAAAAGATTACATTTTATTGAAGAATAACTTTGCCAGTTAAGGCAAAATGTGTAAAAACTTCCAAGCACTCAGGGTCAAGGTTGGGTACTAATGTGCACACAAGATATAAGGATTATATGATTAACATTTGATTTATTGAACAGAGTGGTTTGTCAAATACATGTGAAGTGAATCTTAAAGATGCTAAAGGAGTCTGCAACTGGAAGTAGAGCAGTCTAGCAAAATTCTTAGGCACTTGAAGGTGTAAAAATGTCTCTTTCTTAAGGTAAAATGCACTGGAGCGGAAAAAAGCAAGATATACATGTATATTGTAAGTAAAGTATGTGGGTGGATTTATCACGTCAGGCCGTTTAAAAAACATCCACAATACCCCAAACCCGAATTTGCCCTAAAAAAAAGAGTGTCCTACCCTTCCTTTTTTACACATGCACATACTCAATATTTACATTAACTTCAGTGCCCGTGGGTTTTGCTATACTATCTCAGGTCTATCAAGGAGGCACCCTTAGTTGTTCTAATTGATGATGGGGATCTCTTGATATAGGTCACAATCATGTAACTCTGAGGACAAGGGATGTACATGATTTTAACGAAGGGCCACAATGCTTTGTAGCCAACTGCTAAAAATAGATTTTCTAATTGCATATTGGATTCAGCATTATTGTAGATAGCTAAATAACACTTGCAACTAATAAAATACATGGTAGCTCTAGTTTTAATGAAGGCAATATAATGGAACATATTTAGTTTTCTCAAAACATTGCATCTAAATATGAGGATTTTGTTGGAGTCGCTCTTATTTGGTTTCCTGTATGGAAAATCTAGTGGGTGAATGCAATGTCTTGCCAGAGTCAAATAAATGCTGTATCCAGGATGTTGGCTTCACCATTTAAGAGACTTGTTTACCAATGTAGTCAGGCTTAGACATTATTTCCATCACCCCTTTTTTTTCTTAGACATGACCACAAGGTAAGCTGATAGTTATTTCTTATGTAATGATTTATTATGAACAACCTAGTACAATAAATGTGTACAAATCTTAAAGTTGTCACCCTATAATACACTTTACAGAAATATTTAAATCAATAAATAATTCTAAAATTCTTTCACTTGCAATAAATACATTCATAAAAATGATCTTCCCATCAAAATATACAGACATGGACAAAATGGAAGAATTAAGCTGGTGTCCATTTAAATTTTATTCAGAAAACATGCTCTAGAAATTATGAATTCAGAGTTCTTACAATTGCACTTTTTGTATCTTCTATCACAGACTAGTTTCATCTCTTGGAAAGCTTTGACCTTGCCTCTTAAAGCGACTGTTTTGACATTTTTCAATGTCTTACACTAAAAAGCGTTTAAAATTTCAATCAGTTTTATAAATAAACTATTAAATTTTTGTTAATCTTCATCAACATCATCATCTAAATCATCGTCATCTTCATCATCATCATCATCTTCTACCTGAAAATAGATTTTATTATTCAACAAACTGTAAATATATAATGTATCTCCTTTGAACAAAAATGATTTTTTTTAACTATGCATGTGACAAAGCAACACAAACACTTAAAATAAAGCATAAAAAAAATCAAAGTGAATCTGAACTTACTGGAATATTGTTTTCTTTCAGTAATTTTTTGTAGTTTTCTATTTTTGTATCTTGGTCGGCCAGCAGCACCAGAAGATCTTCTTGTTCTTTTTTCAATGTTTCTAGTTCCTCTTGTACTCCTCCTTTCTCTTTAAGTACATTATTCTTTTCTTCTTCCATTTTCTTTTAAATGAAAGAAACATGCTTACATTATCATGTCATAAATGTTCTATGGATAAACCAGAGATATGCAAGAATAAGTAGTTCTTCTCATGACACAAAAACAAAGATTCTCAAAAATTAATTCAGAATTTTCCTTCTCCTGGCCCATCCTATAATGATATTTTTCAGTGGCCCTGCATCTATAACCTCTATACTTACATTAAATTTATCCAATAGTTTTAAATTCTCTTCATTTGACTTTTTAAGTCTTTCCTGTAGGGTCATTTTTTCCTCCATTAGTTTGGCCATTTCTGCTGGATCTGCCTGGATTTCAGCACTGCTCTCTAACCTTTGTTTCTGCAACAAGCACAATGGTTTTAATAACTCAGAAACTATGAAGAAAGCATTAAATACCTATTAAACTAAACTGATTTCTAGCCATTTTATTAACACATGTACATGTATTTGCATATCAGTTAGCATACTTGATTGTGATAGAATTCGGCTGAGCTGAACCAAGCCGGGTAAACCACGGTACGCTCTTAGAATCAAGCAAACAGGCTAATGTAAAATAAAAGAAATAGAAATATTTCTATCGTACAACATTAGCATAGAAAAGGACTACACTTTTTGCAAATATGTTCATTTCACAAGCCTACCTCGATCAAAAGCTTCACGTCTTAAAACAAACAATTTTCAACACTACTATCCCCAAGGATGCCATGTTGAAGCCGCCCGAGCCCATCAAATTTTTCCAGCTCAATCGGCTCACCCGGCTTGATGCATGTGCAATACCGGCTCAGAATCAAGTGTATCATCGGTTTACCCAGGCGCGCTGGATGGTCAGAATCAAGTATGCTAAGTATTTACTACAGAAGTTTCTGTGGGTTCTTAAGGTACCTGTCCTCACTGTAGCAAATTATTAGCAAATATAACTCAGGGACTGTGTGGCAAACAATTGAATTAACGCTACCAAAATTTTATCATACAGGCATACATCTTATATGTGTACTCATTTTATCATACCATGTATTTTGATCCTGATCAATCTGATTTTTCTGCAAAGTCATTGTTCTCATTTATTTCTAAAGATTTTCATGATGAGATAATGTAATTTGTTTAATTTTACAGTAAATAGTTCTTTCTTTCTCTCTCTTTCTCTCACTAAATTTGATAACATTTGACTTCCTGATCTTACTTACTAAGGACTGAATTTGGCTCTCTGCCTCATTATTTTGAACACCAAGGCGACTAATTTCGTTATCTTTTTCTGCCAAGCCTGTCCGCAGTTCATGTAATTCACTTTGAAGTCTATTAATGGTTGTTTGTAACACTTCCGATTCACTAGGGACAATATTTTCCTTATCCTCCTCTGCATTATTCACTATTCTGGCTTCCAACATTGTAACATCTGTTTTCTGAAATTGCAAATTTAACTAAAGGCATTTCTTGAAAATGGTGATTTTTTTTAAACAAACAAAAATGCATCACCCTTTTCCCTATATTTGTTAATAACAAGTCAAAACTTCTCAATTAACAACTAGGTTCCCATTGTTCTCATCCCCCCCCCCCCCCCCCCCTCCAAACAAAAAACATTTTTTTCCTGGGGAATAGAAAGATAAGACAACAAGATAACAAGATAAAAACAAGAGAGAGATGTTATTTATGATCTCAGTAATGGCAGTAGTTGTACAGTTACAAGGCTGTTACATACAGTTGTAAGCCACTTACTAATTTTTCTATAGAAGAATCTTTGTTAGCATTGTCTAATCTCATTTTCTCCAGTTGTTCTTGCAGAGAGCGGATCTCCTCATCTTTCTTTGCATCTGCTGCCTGATTAGTTTGAGCACCTTTTATAAAATAGACATCTCTTAATTTTCCATATAACCAGTATATTACCAAAAAACAATAGGTAAAGTTTGTCATCATAAATCTTATGATACTAGTTACCTCTTCACACTTTCCAAAGAAAAAAAATATATTTACATGTATATTCTCTTTCACATGTTATGTCAAAAATATACTGCACATGTATGTGTATATATACATTTAAGGAATTTATTTGAATATTTCAACGTTCAGAATGAATCAACAAGATTAGATAAAAATGCCAAAGGAACATATTCAATTGCTCTTCAGAATGAATTAACTAACATGAAACATTCTTTAGCATGTTCACAACCAATTAATTGATATCTAACCTTTCTGCACTTTGAGTAGAGAGTTCTGATCCTTGAGTTGTTGCACCTGTTCCTTCAGTTGACTGATTTCTTCTGCTGACATGGAATGTTTAGACTGTAGTTCTAGGTGTTTTTGCTGAAGGTCATTCAACCTTTGATCCTACATGTGGATTCAAAAGAAAAAAAAAACAATCACATACACGTACTACAGATAAATCCATTTATCATTGCCCAAGTGAGAAATGAATCTTGTCCTAGCACTATTCATTTGTTACTTAAAAAATCATCTATCATGCCCATGATTTCATCTCACAGAATAACCATTTTTGCCTGACCAACATATCCTCAGCAATGTTCCCTACAACAAAAGCGAAAATTTGTCTTTTCGTACCTGCTCCTGGATGATGTCTTTATACTGGTTGACCACCAGTTCATGTTGCTGTAGGTTCGCTAGCTTGGCTTTGTTTTCCTTCCTTCCTGCCTCTGTTGACACTGCATCTAGAGCTTCAACTGTCAGGGAAAACACACTTCAATTCAATTGGATTTGATCTTTGGATTGAATAATTAATAAAAAATTTTATGTACAAGTAATTTGATAAACACTAAACAGGAAAATAAAATTACGAAGTTCTACTCTATTTCTCCAATCGCCATTAAAATATACAAATACTTACCTTCTAGAGCTTTAAATAATCTCGTGAACTCATAATCAAAGGTGGCTTCAATGGGTTGTTTGTAACTAACATGTGGTTTCTTGGCTGCTTTTGTGTAACTTTCACCCTTGGGAACTTGTGATAATTTTTCTGTGAAGGTTTCAAGTCCTATCCTCTTTTCAATAATCTGTCTCAAAGAGGCCCTGCAAACAGAAATCGGAAATTAAATTCCGATTCCATGTATATGAAAAATTGCTTTTTTTGGGATATATTCCAGCTGCAGAAACATCACTTTAAAATAATACCATCAATGTTTATCAAGTTTCCTAATATAAATCAGCTGTGAATAGCCAGTGGTATACATACTTGTTAAATGTTTCATTCTGTTCATCATTATACAGAATGGTAATGCCCAGTAGAAAGGCACACAGACCTTGCACCATGGACTCATTTTCATCACTATCTGAGGCTGAAACTTGTGTGATAAGCTAAAAATGGCTAAGGAATAAATAATCTAGACCAAGGTCTCAGCAGAAAATTAATTAATGATACCATTTTTAAAAGATAAGTATGGCTAATTTGAAAAACAGAGATAAAATGAATTAGGAGTGAAATGGGTCAGTCAACCACCATATTTGTACCCTAATTTACTTTACCTGCATGTATTTACTTTAGTATGCACCTTTTTCAAGCAAATTCCCCACATTCTCCATGATATCAAAATATTAACAAAAATCATACTGCAAAATGGTCATGCACTACATCTCAATATCATTTGATATTCAATTCTCAACAAAATTGAATTCTTCTTAAATATATTAAACTACATATAGGAAAATTAATCCAAACAAATTATCAGGCACTAAATAAACTGTTGTAAAAGGATACATATGGTACATTAGCAGTGTTGGCAAGGAAATGAGCAACAGTGATGGGGGAATCTGTCATCCACACACACAGCAACTGTAACAAACCAATCCTGGTCTGCAGTTTTCCTCCCTGAAGAGAACAGAAACTGTGTTAGATTCACATGAAATTTTATTGAATATTTCAAATGTAAATCCCAATCATCTTTAACTGTAGGATTAGCTTCATTTGATATGTACATGTACATGTATTGAATATAAAGAAACAGATCAATATTACTTCTGTACAATATTGGAAATGGTGATTCAGTTCTCAAATTTCATTATGAAAACAAGAGGCCCAAGGGCCTTAACGGTCACCTGAGTATCATACAACAATTTAGAGAATCCATAGAGTATAAAATGAACTAAAAGGTGAACCTTTGTTGCCCAAAAGCAAGAAAAATAGGGTGATCAGGATCAACAAAATAATTAGTCTAGTATTCATTAACAGTTCACAAATTAGGTTCTAATCTCTTCCCCATTTATCACTCTCACCATAAGTATATTAACAAACTATCAGTGCTTCATTTCTTGTTGAAATCTCTTACATTGGCCTCTCTTGGTCTTTGATGAACATTTCATAAGACAAGTTATTTTTGTCTGATTTTTATTTATCTACTACTTACATGTCTACCTGATCATTAAAACTAAGAAAGTACTTTTTGTATTATACAATAACAATTCTTGCATAATTCTCCTATTCTATTAACCTTTCAAGTACATTATTTACAGTGATTAATTATCAAAAGTAAATGGCAAAGGGGAATAACTCCTCTCAGTAGAATACAAATTAATAGAGCCCTGGACAGGACCAGAACACTTGAACAAATGGTCCAGATGTTCAAAAATATGGTAAAAATACCCTTCCTTATTGAAACTTTTACTCTTTTTGCCTCTGATATGCCCAGGTGCAGAGAAAATTTTTAAAGAAATAATGCATTTTTACTACAGATTCACTATATTATCAATAGAGCACCCCCCCTTCTCCCCACTGAGAAACACCAGAGCCTCTCACCCTGGGACCAGAAGTTTGCTCATCATAAGTAATCACTTTGTTTGTCTGCTTAACACTAAGAGCAGACAGGATTATTTAATAGAATTAATGCATTTTCACTATATTATCAAGAGCCCCACCCTTACACCAGCACATCTGACCCAAGGGGTCATGAAATTCACTACTCTGGAAGAAGCACTCTTGCTCATCATAACCATACACTTAGCTTCTTTGCTTTTTAACCAGAATATTTTCAAAGAAATTTTGCTTTTTCGCTATATAATCAATAGAGCCCCCCCCCCCCCCCCTTTTTCCCCAGAACCCTTGATCCTGGGAGCCTGAAATTCACAATTTTGGAAGAGGCATCCTTGCATATCATAACAATGTATTTAGTTTATTTAAATAATACCCAGGGGCAGAGAAGAAGATTCTCAAAGAAGAAATTCTCAAAGAAATAATTCACCTTCACTATATGATCTATATAGCCCCACCCTAGCACCAGAACCCCTGTCCCTGGGGCCATGAATTTAACAATTTTGGAAGAGGCATCCTATCATAACAATGTATTCAATTTGTTTAAATAATAACCAGGAGTAGAGAAGAAGATTTTCAAAGAAATTTTGCTTTTTCACTATATAATCAATAGAGCCCCCCCACCCCCTTTTCACCAGAACCCTTGACCCTGGGGCCATGAATTTCACAAATTTGGTAGAGTCAGCCTATCATAACTATGTATTTAACTTGTTTAATTAATACCCAGGAGTTGAGAAGAAGATTTTCAAAGAAATTTTGCTTTCTCACCATATAATCAATAGAGCCCCCCCCCCCCCTTTTCACCAGAACCCTTGATCCTGGGGCCATGAAATTCACAATTTTGGAAGAGGCATCCTTGCATATCATAACTATGTATTTAATTTGTTTAAATAATACCCAGGGGCAGAGAAGAGGATTTTCAAAGAAATAATGCACTTTCACAATATGATCTATATAGCCCTGCCCTAGCACCAGAACCCCTTACCCTGGGGCAATGAATTTCACAATTTTGGTACAGTCACTCTTGCTAATCATAACTATGTATTCAATTTGTTTAAATAATAACCAGGAGTAGAGAAGAAGATTTTCAAAGAAATTTTGCTTTCTCACCATATAATCAATAGAGCCCCCCCACCTTTTCACCAGAACCCTTGACCCTGGGGCCATGAATTTCACAATTTTGGTAGAGTCACCCTTGCTTATCATAACTATGTATTCAATATGTTTCAATAATACCCAGGAGTAGAGAAGAAGATTTTCAAAGAAATAATGCACTTTCACAATATGATCTATATAGCCCTGCCCTAGCACCAGAACCCCTGACCCTGGGGCCATGAATTTCGCAATTTTGGTAGAGTCACCCTTGCTTATCATAACTATGTATTCAATTTGTTTCAATAATACCCAGGAGTAGAAAAGAAGATTTTCAAAGAAATAATGCACTTTCACTATATGATCTATATAGCCCTGCCCTAGCACCAGAACCCCTGACCCTGGGGCCATGAATTTCACAATTTTGGTAGAGGGCTCAATGCTTATTACAATCATGCCAACAGTTTGACCCCTTGTTGTCCAGGAGTAAAGAAGAAGATTTTTAAAAATTGCATTAATTTTGGTGGTTTTAGCCCCACCCCTCAGGCCCCAGGGGGGCAGGGACCATGAAATTCACAAATTTTGTTCCCCTTCACACATAGATGCCATATGCCAAAATTGGCTGAAATTGGTTCAGCGGTTTTAGAGAAGAAGCTGAAAATGTTCAAATGTTAACACACGACGCACGACGGACGACGACGGACGAAAACGGATAGCAATAGGTCACCTGAGTGACTCAGGTGACCTAAAAAGTAACTAAATATTGCCACAACTTTATGAAAAAAAAACCCAACTAATATCAGTAATATTCATAAATCTTAACCACACAAAGCAAAAAAAAACAACTTAAGATCTTTTCTTTACCTGAGCCAGTATATTACAACATTGTTGTAGAAGTGAAACTGGTGGACTACCAATACTGGTGGCCAGCTGGACTCGCAACAACTGTTCTTTCTGTGTGTTGTTCTCTAGTATGGCATGTAACAAAGCCACTGATGCAAACCAATTAGACAGCGAGTCTGCACTGAACAGACCTCCGCACAATAACTGCCCTGCAGTTATCTGGTTTGCTGTAAAACAGATTGTTTTTATATTACTGTCATTCACTTCAATATGGTGGAAAAGACTAATCAATATAAAAAGAACCCTTGCTAATGATTACATCTACCCTTAAAACATTTTCTTCATGACAGATCTGCCTTCTGTGAAATTATCTCTCACTCTCATTTCATTTAAATTAGAGAGCATTTCTATTTTTTGTTAACCAGTGTCCTAAATATAATGCTAAAACTTTCATCAAACAGAAAGCAACATATGTACAAATACCTGGTAAATAATTTCATATACCTTGTTTATATTTTTGGATTAAGGACTTCAGTGTTGTACATTTATGCAAACTAACTTTCATCCGCTGCTCAAGTTTTAGATGATACTTTTCTTTTAAATATACCGATATATGATACTTTTCTTTTCATACTGTATCATACATTTCTTTCCATTTTATATACTTTTCTTTTCAGAAGCATCAGAATTACCATGAAGCAATGTATGTTTTAATAAAATCATTTTAAACATTCTTCAGACTTTATTTTTCTTATTAAATATTAAAAAAAAAAAAAAAAAGAAATGCTTCTACCAAACCACTGATGAATTCACCTAGCAATGAAACATTTGAAACTAAAACTTCCGTACCATCTGATGAGGTGGGTAATAAAGTAGTTACAATCTGTGACTGGCCAACTTCATTCTTATACAAGAAAGACTGAAAGCAGTAGAGAACAGCACACCTCAGGGGGAAGGGTTGTTTTTCATTCACCATAGACATCAAAAGGACTACAATGGCTGGTCTACAAATTAAAAGAACGAAGACATCAGAATGTAAGACTCAAGGGAATACATGTAATATTTAGATACATGTATCATCACATTACTTCATGAATATAACATAAATCATTTAATGTCTGGGTCTAAAATTAGGATTTATTAAAGACAGCTGTGAAGTGAAACATCCATGTGATATTTTAAGATAAAACACCTTGGGGGATTTGAAGGTGCCATTACAGAGGCAAAATATTCTTGGTTTTGTAGGTTTCCTCTGATGACCTCTGCCACAGTATTAATTGTCTGCAATGAAGAAAAAACTTGATAAATACATACATATATATCATAATGATAAGGAATTTTCTGTTCATTATCTGGCAGATACATCATTTTAAGTTCCTTGATTCCCATTACCATCCTGCCAATGCATTTAATTAAAAAAGTATCCAAACAAATTACCAAGTGATTTGTATCAATATGCTAAAACCACTCACTTCTGTTAAAACATCAGCAGGTACTCCACTGGCCATCAGTATTGTACAAAGCTGCTTCAGCAAACCTGAAATAAACAAACCAATCATGTCATTTGCTGTTAAGATAAGCATAGATGTGTTTACATTATCTGGTTTATTACAAAAGGAAGAATTTTAAACAAGATGTTACATTTAAAAGCATTTATTCTGTACACAAGCTGTAAAATTTGTAAAAAAGACTATAAACCTACCACACTGAAACATGGTCCTCTGACAGGCAGTTATTTGTTGCTGGGGACTATTGGGTGACACAAGACACCTCACCAACTATAACAAGTAGAAAACATGTGTAAAGTCAGTAAGTATAAAATAAGCAGTAAGTTCAGTCTAAATGCTCAGGTCATGATGGTGGTTCTTATTTCCCAATCATGCACCTTTCTCAACAAACATCTAAAATCTTTAAATGTTCCAAGAATAACATAAACTTCGGTACACCACAGAATATTAGAAGTACATTGGTTGAAAAAAAAAATCCTTTCCATGGCATCAACGTTTTCCACTACTCTATAATGTACAAAATTCAGAGACAATATAATCTTGAAATTTTTCCAGGATAGCCAGTTAGAATTAATGTTATAGAGAGATGATATAATATTCTGTGCCTGACCTGCAGCATGAGGTGGAGATTGGTGACTTTTTGTGCTGACCAGCCTGCCTGGGAATGAGTGTGTTGTGAATCTAGGTCAAAGTATGAGGTCAATCGTTGGATGTAGCTGCTCTCCCGGAAAAAATTCTGGTTAGACGAGTTGTTCTTCAAAAGTGTAGTGAGTAGAAGGAGACAGTCCTCCACAACTATACCTTAAAGGGTAATACAGGCAAGGTAGAATTTAAAAACATGGAATAAAATAAAAGGTGGGAAGATATATGAGACAATTTATTACAGTCAAACCTCGTTATCTCAAACCCTATTGGACTTGAAAAAAAAATTTGAGATATCCAAAGATTCAAGATATTGAGGTCAAAATACATAAAGAAAAAGTGTTTGAGACTTTAAACTCACTTTGACATATACGCGTATAGACATACCTCCATCACTGTTGCCTTCATCTTTCACGATGTCCAGCAATCGCTCAAAAGCATTCTCAAATGCCACAATTTTCTGTAGGTTTGTATTGCCTTTTGTTAACTGAGTCAATAGTAGCAATGCCTGAAGATACAAAACCAGGAGCATGTACATGTATGTAAAATATCTCGAAATTACACACTACGTAGATTCCTATATCCCAATGCAATGTATCTTTGACTTCCTATGTCTCTGCATGTGTACGTGCACTAAATGTCTTTGACATTGACCCTTTTATTTGATGAACTAAATGGTATCAAATTAAGTTTCTAAAAAACATAGTCCTTACATCATTACGAATAATCTCTCTACTATCAGATAACAGGTCCATTAATTTGGACACACCCATCGGACTGACAAGGATAGCCTCTTGTAGTTCTTTGCCTTTATTAGTTAAAAGAATGGTCAACAGCTTAACTGTTGGCCATCTAACATGGAAGTCATATTCCTGCAAAGAAAAAAAGTCACATCTCAATTTTGTACCAATGAAGCAGAATCAAAATCAATGTATTCAGGTCATGGAGTTTCCCATTTTTTCAAGGTAAACTAACCTCCAAAAGTGAGAGAAGGAGGGAGACATTTTCTTTTTTCTTGGTAAATATTTCGGTGAACTGTGCACCCAGATCACCAGGAAGGTTTGCTGGGACATTAGATTCATCATCTGAAATGCAGGATAATTTTAAATTTTTACTATTATTCTGTATCATATGTTCATTAACATTTATCTAGTAATGCAAAGTCATATTATTATACTCAAAATCAATAAACTCTCTCTTTCTACATATGTAAAGTTTCATAGAGGATTTAATTTATATCTTAAGCTGCTACAGCATCATTGGATACCCACAGGTGATCTTGTCTTAACGAGATCCCATGTGGGTATCCGATGATGTTGCTAGAGTCACTTATCATGACTCTTCCTCTGAAAAAAAAAGTTTTTGGAAATCCTTTCTATACTCTTTATCTGGTTATAAAATAACATCCTTTTTTAAAAAAAAAAAAAAAAAAAAAAAAAAGTCCATTTTTATTTCACCCATAATGTGAAACAAAATATAATCAGTATCCATTGCTATCTAAGTATTTCAGCATACATTCTGCATTAACCTCCCCTCTTTCAACATCTTGATGCTAACCATTGCCTATCAAAATCAAGTGAAAACAATGAAGTGATTTGTGTCTATGTTTTCAGATTTCCCTCATGAATGAATAATATAAGATACCCTAGAAGTATGTCAAAATAAAGTCAAAGTAAAAAATTTTCAAAGAAGGACTGAGAGCAGTAATGCAGTATACTATTAAACTTGTATAAATAATATCGTTGTATAAACATGTAATCACTTTTGACTATGACAACTGAACTTACCATCATCTGAGGGCTCATTAGACAAAACGTTACAGAGAGCATCTAATGCATATCCAGTTATTTCTGAATCACTCCTAAAAAAAAACAATATAAAACACATATAAACAGATTAAGATTGAAGTTTATACCCTTATACTTCACTTGAAACTCTAAACATCTTTTTAAAAAAATCAAATATAATTCAAACAAGATGTGTTTGTGAAACACTGATGCCCCCGTATGGCAGCTTATGGCGAAGGTTAAAGTTTCTCAAATGCAAGTCAAAATCCAGGCCAAAAGATAAAAAATGTTTAATTTGAAAGCCCTAGCTGCAACTGTTCAAAAGTTATGGCGAAGGTTAAAGTTTTTTAAAAGTAAGTAAAACATCAAGGTCAAGGTCAAAGTTGTTGGTATCCAAAGGAAGGTCTTGTCACAAGGATTACATATGTAAAGTATGAAAGCCCTAGCACCACATGTTCAAAAGTTATGGCCAAGGTTAAAGCTTTTCAAAAGTAGGTCAAACTCCTATGTCAAGGTCAAAGGGTCAAAGTGGTTGGTATCCAAAGGAAGGTCTTTTCACAAAGATTACATATGTGAAGAATGAAAGCCTAGCACCAACCATTAAAAAATTATGGCCAAGGTTAAAGTTTTTCAAAAGTAGGTCAAACTCCTAGGTCAAGGTCAAAGGGTCAAAGTGGTTGGTATCCAAAGGAAGGTGATGTCACAAGGATTACATATGTGAAGTATGAAAGCCCTAGCATCAACTATTCAAAAGTTATGGCCAAGGTTAAAGTTTTTCAAAAGTAGGTCAAATTCCAAGGTCAAGGTCAAAAGGTCAAAGTTGTTGGTATCCAAAGGAAGGCCTTAACGAGGTTCGCTCCTGAGCTTTTGAGCAGATTTATATCTTAACCTATATTTCAAAAATTCTGCATAAAGTTTTAATTCTTACAATAAATTTGGATTCTACAATGCCAATTAAACTATATTCAGTTAAAACTCCATGATTAAATTCCATACCAAAAGCATTAAGTGAGGAACTATATTTTGTGGCAGCAGGTTTTTTAGAAGAAAATGATCATTTTTTCTCTTTCGAAGTATTTAAAGTATGTTAAGTTTGGATTCCTATTTTTCCATGCAGCCTGCACACAGAGTTATTTCGTGCAGTTAACTATTTTATACTAGTCCTATATTATATATCAAATAAACCGTCATGAATTCTATCATCATATTTCATAAATATAGCAAATATATTGTGTAAATCAAGAAAAAATATCTCTATTTTAAGCTTAAAATTAGCACTATTTTAGTATTTATCTAAAAATTTACATCACAAGCCCCCACCTTTTATTTTCTTTTCTGAAAACATAAGATGCCTTTAACCATTATTCTTAAATTCAGTAAAATGTCATTACTTTCAAATGATTTTTTTTTGCTTGTTAAATTTTTAATGCCAGAAAAATGAAATTTTTTGAGTGCAAAAAGGTCAAATAAATTAACATGCGGAATAATTTAAAAAAAAATTTCATTGTCACAAATTTTAGTGTGTCTATTCAAGATGAAATAAGGCTGTGTTTGTTCCCATAATTTATTTGAATAAAAAATATTGGAGGAAAACTTCAAAAATTGATTTATGTGTAAGACGTATTTACAGTGCAAAAAGGTCAAACTAAATGCTCTGTAGCGCCAAAAGAAGCGCATTGACCCCCATTTTTTGTTTTGAATTTTAATTAAGCTATGTGTATAAATTCTAAAAATATACTTGATAAAAAATTCTCATTACTTTTGATGGCAGGATCTAACCTCCTTAACACAAAGAATACACATGTGAAGTTTGAAACCCCAAGCACCAACTGTTCAGAAGTTATGGCCAAGGTTAAAGTCTCATAAAATTTTGCAAAAGTGGGTCAAACTCCAAGGTCAAGGTCAAAAGGTCAAATATGGTGGTACCCAAAGAAAGGTCTTGTCACAAGGAATACACATGTGAAATATGGAAGTCATAGCTCCAACCAATCAAAAGTTATGGGCAAGGTTAAAGTTGACAACAGACAGACAGACAAACAGATAAACAGACAAACAGATAAACAGACAAACAGACAAACAGACAGACAAGACAAAAACAATACACCCCCGGGATCTTTCGATCCGGGGGCATAAAAATGTCTTCCTCTTATCTTAGAGGATTAATGTCCAAAAGTCTAAAAATTGCACTTGGACTAGAACATTTTTTTTTCCAAAATGTTGGAGGGATAGCATTTGGAACAATTGTTTACAAATGAACAGACAGACAACGAACACTTAACCATCACATATTAGGTTTTTCAGATCTACAACCAAAAGAGTTAAAGAACTAAAAGCCAACTTTTCTTTTTGCCAATAATGTGCAAAGTTGTTTTGGAGGCATGTTCTATTTTTCAACTGAAATGTCACCTGTCTGTTTCCAGTGTCTGTATCAGTGTATCCATCGCTTGAGTTCCAACTTCCAGTCGAAATTTCTAAAAATCAAGAAATATAATCATGTGAACAGTTGCATTGTTTTTTTAACATCACTCAGAAAGATAAAACGTTCTGTTACTTAGTTGGATATTAACCTTAGACATTGCTTTAAGTGCACGAACTGCATCTCTTCTGTCTTCCAGTAATGTAGAGGACTGCACCCTATCAACAAGACGTTCAACCTACAAATAATGTAATCAAATTGTATAATGAAACAAATGCTGGTACATTGTACACTAAGAAAAGGACATTGTTTCGTTTCTCTGTTTGCTTGGAAGTGGTGATGTAACAATTGTCGCCGATTTTTGATTAGCAGTTGTCATAAATGAAACGATGTGAATAACCGATTGTTATTTTCATAATTGAAAATCGCCAACGTTAGTAATTTTTCATTGTATGAATTTCTCTTTTTTTACCTTGACCTCACCAAAAAAAAAAAATGGCTGACCTACTTTTGAGCCAACATGACATGTTATAAGATACATCAAATGACAAGATTTGATAATCCTAGCCCTTATAGTGGGCAAAATATCAAAGTTTTAACAAAACATCATTTTAGGTCAACTTTGAAGTGACTAGAGACCATGCCCTTTGCCCCAATGTTATGCCTTGAATGCATATATTTGGTGATAAAATGCCCTATGGTTCTCAAGAAGAAGATTTTAGCAACCAATACCTTTGTTTTTATTTCCCTAATTATCTCCCCTTGTTTAAGGGTCACATCCCTATTTTTAGTATAAATGAAAGCCCTTGGGCCAAGGATACCCTGTGACAAATTTGATAAGAATTGATCAAGGGCTTCTTGAGATATGGCCCATATTCCACACTGCACAAAGGGCCATAGCATTAGCTCTTTAGAAGAGCTAAAAATCAGTATTAAAAAAAAAAGTGTTGACAAAACAAACAGGCTATGAATATGTTTTGATTTTTTTTCTTTTAATTAAGCACACAGTTAGTAAGATATTTTGGACTACCAAGAGTTCATTTGACTTCCATCGTGTGATTTGTTTACAAAGCCACTGCAAATCCGCAAGCTTTGCATTCTCTCTATTCTTTGTGTGACCCAACAAAAATTACTTGACGTCTTAAAATTTTATAAATTAATATCTTTTGAAAGGCACTGACTCCAAGAATATAATTTAACAAAATTGGAAAATTTCTCAGGAGAATTATTTTTCATGAATAACCAAAATGATATTTTCCAAACCAATCAGAAAAATTCTGAATATTTTTTATTAATTGATCGAAATGTATCTCCAATTAATATGATCATCGATTATTTTTTTTTTGTCTGATTGCCCATCACTACTTGGAAGTTAATTCATCTTTTGAAAACACTGATAACAGTAACAATCTGAGCAATAAGGTTTCTTTTTCTTTTTTTTGCAATATGGTCATGAATGTTCTGCCATAACATAGTCTGGGGTGTTTAACTATTTTTTTTTTGCACTAAAAACACATAGATTTAGCATAACATGCAAACTGCTACCTTTAACTGGCTTAACTATAAAAGGAAATGTGGATAAAGGATATATAAAGGGTGTCATGCACGACACAGTTGTAAACAATATCATACTGATGATTGCATCTTTGGGAAAATTGAATATTTATATGTCACATCTGCTCTTATTTCAAATCTCAATCTCACTTATCCATTATATTACTCATTCAGACTTTCAATTTCCATTACTGGAAGTCTTCAAATTAGAGGCGCGTTTGGTCGTCCTGACTGGGACAGCATGACATAGCAGAGAATACAAAACTTGCCGATCTCTATCCAATTTTGAATGTTAAATGTATTTGTCATTCCCATTAAATAATAGAGGAACTAATATACATATGTGAGAGTGCAAAAGCCCTGAAATTATCATCCATTGATAAAAATTACGACGTTCCCTGGGCATGTGCATTGTATTTCGAGATGGACTGACAACACTTGTCAACAATTTCCTATAATAGATATATATTGATATCGTTGTCATTCCTAATTTTGATGCACGTAAAGTCCACCACAATACAATGTCTTATTTGCATGTTTGTTAGGCGTTTTTTCATCGACATTCAACATATTGTTTACATGTTGTTACAATTGTCCTGGAAATCCCGCGAGATTTGTATATTTTCTGACTTTTTCACAAAAGAGCACACTCAGAACTATAACTCTTCCATAGTGGAAATAGAAAGTATTTAAAACTTGGAATTGATGATTCAAGGCTTGGGAGGTAACTCTTGACAATGTGCATCGATCCTAAAGGAAGTTTGTAACCAAAACAACACAGTGTTCTTATAATACTCAAAATAAGTTTACAGATGCAATAAATTATATATATTCTTAAAACAGATTAATTTCTAAAGATAGATCTGTAGAAATTGAACATTTGCTTCAACGATAGAAATGAACATCTTGTTTAGAAAATTTTAAATTAACATTTGTATCCACACCATTCTTTTCATCAGAAAAACAAAAGTCAAAAAATAATAAGCTCAGCTTTCGTATTAAACGACACAACTGACAAGTATATTATCTGTTAACATTGTTTACGTTTTAATTTGGCAGAGAAAATTCGAACAGTAGGTAACACGGCATGTATGTTTTTAAACAATTTTACGATGCAATTTCACTAAAATGAGTATTTGCGCTATTTTATGCTCATCTTATGTATGACTGAATGTTTATTTTGTACCGTTTCAACACCAGTTGGCTGTCCAGCAGTCCCTTGTGGAGCACTTAGATATTTTCGGAAGTAGTCCATCTTTCTGCTTTCGTGGACCTTCTGAGGTACGCATGCGCAACTTGATCGGATCGGGGTCGCGATCCTATAGTAGCTAAGCCGGAACCGGCGTGATAGCTATACGGATCCATCAGATGCTTTAGCAGTTTAGGGGGGCAGTGTAAGTTCTTTTTTGTATTTTTATTAAGTCAAGTGATTTGACAGTCTTCTTTTAAAAAATACATTCATGATGTAAAGATAAAATCCACTGTCATATTGTTTGAATAAGGCGTCACATAGCATCAAAGATCTTATAATCAGATAACATGGTGTCTTATATATATAAGAGTTCTACTAATTCATATGCAGAGAAATCTGCAGTTAGATGTTAAATAAATTAATTGGAATCTGCAGAGTATTATTCAATTTGTAATCCATGGAAGCATTATAGTAGGCCAAGATAAATTAACTCAACACTTATCATAATTTGCATTTTAATTTTCCCAATTTAAGCAAGCAACACTCAATCAGATTTCTGCATGTTCATCATGTTCATCAATACTTCATGGTCTTTGAAACATTTTTCCTCTGTCCACTGGTTCTTGTTTACTGTATAGTTCACTAAATTTTTGCAAGATGATGTATTTGGTATTTATAAGCGAGACAAAATTTTCACGAGCTGTGATTTCTGTTGTTTATTATCCTTATAACAATACAAATATATATGGGAGAATAAAATTTTCGTGAGCCGACAGACTCGTGTAATTATATATGCAAAAATAAAGTTATCTCAAATAAAAAGTGATTTACAGTATATTTAAAACATGGCCATCTTATCTTTGAAATATGCAGTTTTCAGTTGCGGCGGCCCACTACATAGATTCACTTTTTTAGCTTTTTAAAATTATTTTTCCTTCATCAGTTATTAGTGCTAAAACCTAAAAGTATCTGAAGAAAAAATCACCAGATTAGGGTATGCAATATTTGCTTAAAGTATTTAACAAGATCCCAACATAATTACCTTGATAACACAAATTTCTTTGATAATATACATATGGTGGGAAACAGTATAAATTGGTCAGAATACATTCATATTACATTTTTTGCAATTGATTTATTTCTTAGATTTGATAATAGTATAAATGATGATACTGACCCAACTAATTGCTTTGGCAGACATTTGTTTCCCAGCAAGCTTTATATTTGTTTGTCCTTAATGATTCCTTCATCTCTCAGTAGGTAATCTTTACAACCATAGACTTGAATGCTTGTGATACTCTCTCTGCTCACACACAAATGATTGTCAAATTTGGTACAATTAAAGTTTACTAAGTAGGCTGTAAAGTCTTTTTAATTAAACCATGATAAACTTGTAATTGCTCAAAGAGAATGAAATATCACATTTTGATCTTTTTACACAAATTTTATGTCACTGCTGGATATCATGAAATGATCAGAACTTTTTTGCTTAAAATTAAGTGATCTGTATTTTGCAACTAGTCAATGTCAATGAAGATATTGGGTCACAGATAATATATTTATTTCCTTTCTTACCCAAGATTATGGTCATGACGAAAATTGCAAAACCTCAGATCAGAAAATGTGGTAATTTGGCCAGGTCTATTAGTGCATGTAATATATTTAAAATTCATGAAATCTTTGTTTTGCAACATGCACTTATAATGCATGATTTTATTATCTCTGTGCAGTGGTTTCATTTTTGAGAGCTATGATAATTTAAGCGTTTATCACATTATCAAAAAATAGAGAATAATGGACTTTATCTCTTCCAAAATTCAAAAATTGTGGACCATTGTCCAAGTTGATGTAGCGATAATCTCACTTTATATTAGAGCTTAATATATGTGTATATCTGAGTAATTAGTTGTGGCAGGATGTAACCACTTTGGTTAACCACATATATTGTGGGATTAATTTATTTCCTGGATATAGCTATATGATCATCTTCATGTCACCATGGCTAGGGGTCAGTTTCTCTGAGAATATGTTGAAATCTTCCCTCATAGCTTCAGATATGTTATTCTTGTTAGATTATCATTATTATTAGAGTGTATTTTATAATTAATTAGTGACGTAATGTAACAGGATGGAAGTGTATTGGCTTTCATCCCGATTTTAGAATTCTCTTTCAAATTCTAATGAATGTAAGTGTTGGCTTTCATCCCGATTTTAGAATTCTCTTTCAAATTCTAATGTCAGTGTAAATGTGCTGAGGTGGTTGATCAATGTGTATAATTAAGAGAGCATCTTTGCAGTATTAATGGTATCCAAGTGACCAATAGACTTATTATCACCCAAATGGCCAGGTCTGAAAGCTAGCCATCACCTGTTTGCATGTAAAATACAGGGTTTAAATAATCTCGGTCAAAACATATGTATCTCCCTTTTTGACATGGACAATGTCATGAACAAATTAAGTTACATCTTTCAAAATTAATTGAACTTTATACTTCAGTGTGACTTTTACTCAAATTGGGAGGATCGAGTTATTAAGTCTGATTTCACATTCTGAAAGATTCCGATCATCAGCTCATTATTTTGTAAGCTATCACATTCCACTTGTCTGTCACATTACTATAAATGTAGGTATTATACAAATTTACAATGTACATTGGTTTCTATAATAATGGAAAATTATCTCTCCTATAATTTGTGTGATGGATGTGGCATAGAACGGCTGTAATATCAAATGTATAGTGAAAAAGACTGAGAAACTAATGACACTAGCCCTGACTAGAGCTGACTTTTACATAAATACCCATAATGTCAATAAATTACAAGTCTTTTGACATTATTTATAATAAGGCATAGAAGTTGAATGTTTATTGAGTGGTATGGGAAAAAATAAAAAGCAATAAATATGTGACAGGAAAACAAATTACTTCATGAATTCCTGAATTTTTTTTATTAAGGATTACCAGTAATATTTCTGCTTGTTGCTTGAGGATTCTGGCACATCTTATAAAGTTTATTAAAGGCAACATCACTGACATCTTTACTTAAAGAATTTCTCAAAATATTCACCTTCCAACATTACCTGGATGTTAATAAGAAATTGAAATCTGATGCTCTCTAAAGTTGAAGCCAGCTTCCCAATTTCCAATCTTTCTGCTTTCATGTTATTTGCTGTTCTAGTGTAAATTATACCGGTAATTTCTTCTTCCTAGTGCAGTATTTTTTACAGATTAACTTCCAACAAACTGAAGATTTAATTCCTGCTATATAGAGCATGAATCTAGTTTCTCAGTCCTGGGGAGTCCCTGTGCACAACACTAGAGGTTTTAGAACATTCCCTAGAAATCATACTTTTGAAACCTGTCCTGTTGGAAATAGAATTGAAATCTTTTTGAATACATTTAAATTTTAGGTCTTAGCTAATTTGACATAATTAATATTGAAACATTTACAGAAAAGTTCATTTTAAAAACTTGCTAAATTTTCCTGCAAATTGAGAAAATAAAAAAGTTGAAGTTTGTACATTTTCTCAGTGTTCACTGAAAATTTTCGAAGTGGTCTTAAATGTCTTCATTTTCCTTTCTAGGTTGTTATAACAACTATTTACGATTATCATATTAAATTAGATTAATTAATTAATTGAAAGATAAGGAATCTATAAAATTATTCAGTTTACAAAGGAGAATCATTCTACTAATAAAGTTCCATTGGAACATGATGTTGGAAAATAAAATTATTTAGCAGAGAGTAACAACAATCTTTTTGAAAACAAAATTCTCTGATAGTAAATTAATATGAAAAGTACTGGTCACATGGCTCAAAGACTTATTTTCATTTTTTCGTAAAAGTAAGGATAAAAACATAAAATAAACACTGAGATGAAAGAAATCAATCAGAAAAGAAATAGGAGAAACCAATAAAATCAATGTATAGTGAAATGAAATTTGTGTTTTGGTACCACAGAAATAATAATGTCTGAAAACAGATTATTAGCTGCATATTAACTCATCTATAATATGAATAGCTGTATAAATTTATTTATAGAAGGGAGGGGTCATGGAATAAAGAGAAGGTGTAATACAACTGGCCAGGTTCTAGATGATGAAATTTATAGAGAAAAATTACATATCTGTTGCAGAACAGTAATATACATGTTTATTTCTTGGACAGGTGATAATGATCAATACTAAGCTAAGCTGCAGGTGTAACCTATAATACAGCCTCTATAGAGCATCAGGTGGAAGAGTCACATATGGTAAGCTAAAACATTGATTTATTTTTGAAACAAGAAATAATTATGCTGTATATACTATATTTATGCTACAATTTAGGTACGAGATACACAAATTAAAGAGTTTATAATGACATAATTTAGAATAAGAAATATTATACATGTATGAAGGATTTTCATTTCTTGGTGCTCATTAAAGGTTTACAACATATAAGCAGAAGTAATTTAGTTAAATTTAGTCTACTTATAAATCTATTTTTCTTTGTCTGTAGAAATAAATGTATTGTTTTATCCCAATTTGATTAAATACAAATCTCTGACCCACTCAAACATTTACAATACATGAATTAAATTACAGTAAAATGTTGGTTATAGTAGTTTTTCATTTACCAGATCACTGTCTATACTTATAGAGTCATGGCGTTGACACTCAATATGCTCAACAGTCTAGTTTTTTATTTACCAGATTGCTATCTATACTTATAGAGTCATGGCGTTGACACTCGACAGTCTTCTGAGATTCCTGAGGGTCACGGTTTCTCTACCTTCCTTTCCAGTCTGCTGTTGTTACTTGTTCATGATTCTCTTCCTGGCCCCCATATGGCAGCGAAAAACATCTCCAGTACAAATCCGTCTGGTAAGTAAAACATCTCCAGTACAAATCCGTTTGTTAAGTAAAACATCTCCAGTACAAATCCATTAGGTAAGTAAAATATCTCCAGTACAAATCTGTCCAGTATGTAAAACATCTCCAGTACAAATCCGTTCGGTAAGTAAAACATCTCCAGTACAAATCCGTTCGTTCGGTAAGTAAGATATCTCCAGTACAAATCCGTTTGGTAAGTAAAATATCTCCAGTACAAATCCATTCGGTAAGTAAAACATCTCCAGTACAAATCCATCCAGTATGTAAAACATCTTCAGTACAAATCCGTTCGGTAAGTAAAACATCTCTAGTACAAATTCGTCCAGTATGTAAAACATCTCCAGTACAAATCCGTTCATTAAGTAAAACATTTCCAGTACAAATCTGTTAAGTGAGTTGTTTATTAAAAATGATAAAAGTTAATTTACAATCCAATTGTTAGAACAAAGTGGTACAATAATTATAATTTCTGCTCCAAGGACCTTGTTAGGAAGAATTGCTTATCAAAAGAAAAAGAAAAACAAGAAATTGCTTGTTTAATCAATACACCATGACATTATGGATATCAATAAAATACTATATTTTCCAATAATTATGTCATTTCACAGATTTTTTTCCTCTTTCATAATTACTATAAAACACCTTTTTATTCTCAATAACTTTATTTTCACATTATTATGCAAGACTGTCTGATTGCAAAAATTCATTCTCGTATATTTTTATTAGACCAACAACTAGAATCCCTGAAAATTTTGTCTCACTTATAAATACCAAATACAATGTAACTATCGTGAGAAAATAAGGTATCATGAAAATTTGGTGATCTACATTACATATTTTCAGTTCACTTTTTCTCCCTTTCAATGTATTGACCTTTTTTCGTTAAAAAATTTACTCTGAAAAGCCTCTTTTTTATATACATATGTATAATTTTAGATTCTCATTCTCCACAACTTTGCCTGCAGTTTGGTCAGTATCATTGCCTTTGTCGGTTTCCTAAGGGGAATTCTCCAAAGTGATTCAGTGTTCCAAAAGGGTGACTCGAAGATGCTAAAACCCGTCTATCGCTTATACTGGCTGACAAAGCTTCTGGAGCTCTTGGACACCGTATTCATGATTGTGCGGCACAGGCGGCGACAGATCAGCTTCCTCCACGTCTACCACCACAGCTCCATCCTCCTGCTCAGTGATGTGGCGTACCATATGTACCCGTGGCCAGGAATTGCCTTCTATCTCATGAACAATTCCTTTGTTCATATTGTATTGTACACATACTATGGCCTATCAGCTCTTTTTCCCGAGAAGTCATTCCCCTGGAAAAGACATATTACAGAGCTACAGATATTCCAATTTTTCATAGGATTTGTGCATGCCACTATTGGCTATGTGTACCATGGATTTTGTATTTATGGGATTTTTTATGGGATTACTATGACAGTTTTGTTCTCAAATTTTTATTATAAAGCTTACCTCGCACCAAAAAAATTGAAAGAATCTTAATTATTTATTTAAAAATTTGCTATGGTTAACATGTCACACAAAAAAAATTCCCTAAATTTATGAGTTTAATCGATTTGCAGAACTTTTTGCTCAAAGATGTTGAACAGCCTATAATTCCAATTACCGTACAGCAAAAGGATATTGTAATACTCGACATTTCAACATTCTCAAAAGCTTTAGTACCAGTATTTGCTTCAAATATGTTTCAAATTGATATTCATTTTATTCAACTCTCAGGGAGTATTTATTATTGTAATCTCTTAATTAACTCGTACATGTATAACACCTTTACCAAATGTTGCTCGAAAATAACTGTGATATTTTCTTGTGTACAAAGCAACGATTCTTACATGTATGTGTTTAAGTTAAGGGTTTGTGTGACAGCAGGCACTGTATTCATCTCCTCAGTTTCTTAGCATTATTAGTATTATGTGCAATAGTTGTCAAGTAATCTTTGTGTATTAAGCATGTGTTAGTAATTGTGAAAAATTTTATTGCCAGCAATCACCAGGTACATGTACATGGATATCCATCAATGATTCTGTCAACACATTCTTATTTGTTGAAAGTACTTTTATCTCATAATTTGTGAAAAGGAAAGGTGTTAATTTGATAACATTGAATCACAGTTATCATGCAAACTACAACACAATGAAATTCAAATTAGACATTTATAAAGACACAGAAAAGTTTATGTGACATCAAATTTGATTCCATACCTTGTGTAAACAATTATACTTACCAAAATTATTGTCAAAGGTTTATGAGATTTGTCAGTGTTATTGTGAATATTTCATTCACCTATTTGTTATTTATGGTGCTGAATCTGTGAGATTTTGCCATTGAACATACCGGTTAGTGAACTGAAGAAAAGCTCAGCACATTTGAATACATGAAAAGTTAGGATTTATGCTATAACAAGTGTAATTTTTTTCTTTGTGCATTGTGTAATACAGTGAAACTTGTTTAATCCAGATGTTGTGTATTCCCAAGTCTTGCCTAAAATGATGTAAACTTTAAAGTCCATTTCAGTAAATTCAGTTGTTAAAAATGTGTCTATAATCCAAAATGTGCTCTAATCTGCCAATTGCTTAGGAACCAGTAGTGTCTGGATTAAACAAGTTTTACTGTAACATACCTGTTATATTTACCAGTTTTTAAAACACAATGTTTAGTGTGCAACATCTAGAGGTTCTTAGACATTGTATACATTTTTCTAACTCTGGTTTTCAAAGTAGTAAATCATGAGTACTTTTCCTTTCAAGATTTATAAGCATTCAGGTTTTTGTGAAGGCTCCTTGTTTGTGAATGATCTCAGGTTTTAAATTAGTGTAGTGGTTTTTTTTTTTTTTTTGGTTTTTTTTGTTTTGTTTTTTGTTTTTTGATAGAGAATAGCATGTAAATACTGGTTATCTCAAGTTCTATTTCTAATACTCTAAGTCACCACAGGAGCAGAATTTCAGATTCAAAGCTTTTATACTTGTACATTGTATTATGCTAGGACTCTGGAGTTTTCTACTCAAAGAAAAGAGATATAATATAAAACGTAAAATGGAGCTATAATTTTAGTTTCACAAGTGTGGTTGTTAACTTTTTATCAGTAGTTTACTTTTTTTTAAATTAGGTTTTGTAAAAGAGACATTAATTTCTGTGCACATTATTTCATAGTCATGTTTGAGCTTATATATTTGGTTGTGGGTCGTATACTCAAGCAAGCAATGGATAAGATTTGAATGCATGAGCATGATATTTTGCACTTTGTTTTGAATGTAGCAGCACAAAACATTCCGAGAAGTAGAAATTTTGTATTGTATTTTTTTGCAACAAACATGAAAGATTAAATGTGTAGCATTGTTTTTTAACTGTGGTACTTACATGTATATTTTTTTTATTATGCCCTCGTAATCAAAGATTTACCAAGTATATCCATTGAAACAAGTCCTTTCTTTGGGCAGCATTTTTGATCTCTAGACCTTGGAGTTTGACCTGCATTTGAGAAACTTTAACCTTCACCATAAGCTGCCATGCGGGGGCATCAGTGTTTCACAAACACATCTTGTTTGATTAAGAAATGTCCAAATACTTACAAATGTCATGTAATCACAGATAAATCCCAAGCAATTGTGAATTATGCTAGGTGATATATTCACAGAAATTGACGTAAGGTTCATTGATACTCTGATAAGAGAGATAACTATTAATGACTTAAATGTCTATTATTCCTTTATAAATTTGTCAAGTTGAAAGGTCTTTTTTTGTCCAATATAGCTATGCTATAATTGTTTGTATTTGATTTAACAAATATATTTCTTTTGGAAAATCATAAGAGTTAAAGAAACGTTTTATTTGAGTGAGCAGAGAGTTTATGAACGTTGAATTTAGAGTCAGTGTAAATGTGAAAAGAATCATGCCAGAGTGGATGTTTCTGTACTCAATCAATATTCAAATCAGTGTGTTCTTACCGGTAAATAAACTACTTGTGTCTATCAATTTGTTTTAGGTAGCTGATGAGAAACCTGTTTTGATATCATTTCTCAGTTTCAGTTATTGAGAGCAAATTAAAAATAGTAATAATTGTATAGTTTAGTAATGTCCTCAAATAATTGCCTTAGTTAGGACATTATAATTTATAGCATTTATGTTCATTGTTTACTACATGCTAACAGATGTATTCTTTGTAAAAATGAAGGATCTTTTCCCTTGTTTATGTATGTTGAAATCCATTTTAACTCAGAGACCAGAAGAGTTCATGCAATAGTAAGGTATCCTTCATAGTCTGTCTGTTTGTCTGTAACAATTCTTTAGAACACTACTCCTCCTAAAGTTTTGGTCCAATTTCAAAAGGACTTGATACACAAGTAAAAATGCATGATAAAAGTACAGAATTCTGATTATTGCATGGGTTTTGATTTCTTTGAAAGATGTTGCCTCAGTTACTAAAAGTAGAATTTTCTGTGAATTTCTTTTAAAACGCTACTGGTACCAGACTATTATAATAAAATACATATGTATGTTTGCATGTTTAAGTATGTTTATCTGTTTTAATTTGATTTTCAAAGACTATGTTACCATGATTATTATTATTAAAAATTTCTGTAGGCTATTCCTCCAACAGTTTTAGTCCGATTTCAATAAATCTTGCCTAACACAAAGAGACTAACCAAAGATCATAATTCTATTTATTGGTGTTTCCATAGTTTCAAGTCCAGGTGCTTCTTTTCCTTTGTCATAAGTACAAACCAGTAGAGCTTAATAAATGCTACTTCAGCTGCAGATCTGTAGCTCACTGATCTGGAAAAAAAATTGGGATGGATGACCAAGTTAATGTTCATCACAGTATTTTCAGACCAATGAGCTAAATATCTGCAGCTATCTTGACTTACTGAATATCCTAAAATGAAAAACAAGATATTTGATATTATTTTATTTAATAGCTTTGTGCTTTGAAATTTTACATTTAATTTGCGAAATGTTTTTCAATGAATACACTTTTTAAGTAAATTAAAATTTCATTTTTTTTTATCATTTTAATTTAATGTTTAAGTGGAATATATCAAACTATAATTATATAAACAGTGTAACTATATTATATGTATTCTTTTATCAGTCAATGATATTAGATATATTAAACCATGACTGTATTTATTTGGATGTACCAGTAATACATATCATTATATTTATAGTACTATATTTTGACTACATTTATAAAATACACAAAAGAGGACTGTATTTTGATATATGTCTACAATAAATGAAAAAAGGTGTATTTGGTTGTCTGAGTTGCATTGACTAATTTTCCAATCTGAATACTAGGTGTCATAGATTTGGTCAAACTGATTATTTAGAGCATTAATAATTCATCAATCCAAGGTCTTTTTAATACTACATGTATATACACTAAAATAACTGCCAGTGCTCCCATAACATCTACATAACCTTGTTAATTTGAACTGGAAAAGATGAAGCACTCCTTATTTTGACTTCATGAATTCAACTAAATATATTTAACTCAGACACATACCTTGGATAATGTCTTTTAAACTTTTTGCTAGAAGTCAAAGCCATGCATTCTGGAAAACATTCTGATGAGACTTTTTTGGGGGGGTTAAAAAAAATTGAAATTTACCCTTTTGTATTTTTTTTTTCCATTCATTTCAAAAACTCGGGCAGCCATAAAGCCAGTAGTACATTAGATGTAAGTATAAGTAACCACTTACATGCATGAAAAAGTACGGTATGATATCTACTCTCAGAAAAAAATTCTATAAGAGGATATTTTTCATAATTGAAGTAGGGAAAATTTTTCTTAAGATTTGGTGAGCTGGTGTATATTTCTGAATTAAATCCTTCATGGGGATTTAATGTGAAAGATACAAGCTATCTACTTTTACAGTTGAATGGGGATTTTTAAATAACAGACTCAATTTATGTTGTATAGACTATTTATTAATCTACGACGGAGTATAAATACTTTCAGAATAAACGTGTATCTTTTAGCTAAGGATAAAAAGACCAAAGAATGAGATCTTCCGGAAAAATTATTGCTCTCGAGTCCGGTTTCGATTTTAGAAAAACTTGTAGTTGCAACACGTAAGTTCAACAAGCCGGTTACATCTCACAACTGTGGTTATAATGGCCAGTACTGCTTCACCACACTGGGAAGTTGTTGGAAAGGGTAAGAAGAGCAAGATTCCAACGCCTGTCAGTCGCGGTGAAAGGAAAAAAATCGTCGATGGGATGCCGAAAGCGGACAACCACGGTAAGAATCAACAAGTGTCAACGTCACCATTATTGTTTGAACATCTGTATTTGATCATGTTATGCAATCGAAATCAGATGTTAGAGAATAGATATTTATGATTATTTTATTTTTTACACAGTTCAAAAAAGTTAATTCATTACACAGAAAACGAGTTGTGTGTTTGAAGTTTAATGTTTACCATGTTTACACTAAACCTTCCAATGTGTGTCAAAGATGCTCATCTACAAGAAACAGCTGTTTCATAACATTACATTATTTTCTAAATTTTTGAACACCTAGTTTCTTTCTTTATATGACTTTTATCAACATTTATAGTTCCAGCTTTAAAGGAATCTAGCACTCTGTTTAATGTGTTTCTGGAAAAGGAGAAAAAACAACAGCAGGCCAATGTACAAGCCAAAGCAGAGGCAAAAGACGCAAGCAAAGCCAATGGATTTGCCAATGCTGGAAAAAAGACAGTTCAGCCAAAGAAAAAAATGCAAAAGACAGAACCAGAGAAAAAGAAGCCAGCTGACTTTTTGGCAGCAGTGGCTGAGGTAATTTTAATATTTAATGACATTGACTGAATCTCTTTATGTACTGTGAATATTTAATGACATAAATTGAATTACTTACTTACTTAATTGCCTGTATAGGTGTATAAGACAGTAACAAGGGTTCTCCATCCTTGTCTGTAACTGGTTAGCTTCTGGATTGTTCCCCAACTTCTCTTTTGTTCTTTTTAATTTCGGCTTTCACTGTCCACCACCAAGTGACTTGGTCTTGAACCATTCTCTTCTGTTTTCCCTATGGTGTCCAGAAGAGAGCCATCTTTATAATGCTGTATGAGTCCCTCGGAATTAATGTCTTTATGTATTTGTATCATACTGGAGGAAGGCATTTCAGCATTTTCCATGGTGTTAGTTCAATACAACAAAAGTTCAGTCATCAGAATGATCAAAGAATCAAACCACACTAGCTAAAAGTCTGTATTTAATTCACCATTATTGAGCCAGAGACATAAAATACCAGAGATTCACAACTCTGCCTTTAAAATAATATGTGATGGTCTCAGCAATTACTCTTATTTGGTTGTGTATTTTGAGCTTAAGTTCAATTAATTTCAATTTTATAACATAAGTGTATGATCTTTAAAGTTTTAAAACTCTATACATGTATGTTGATTATTAAAAGCACACTAAGCAAATTAAAGAGATCAATGATCAGATGTCAAAATCGTGGAAATATATGGCCGACCGTGGGTCACCTGTTAGTATTTCTGATTTCTCTTTTGTTAGTGTATAAAAGAAACTTGTGAAAATACTGTACATGTACATTAATTGGCGTATTCAAAATTTAGCGTAACCACTGGGTATGGAGTTGTTGGCATAACATGAATTAGCGCTACACATGTCCGTGCCGTGTATTGTATTTATAAATGATTTCTTAGTGGTATTCATGAATTAGCGCATCGTTGTCTGTGCCAAAGCCACTAAAATATGAAGCTCGCTTTTTTAAGTGCACATACAGTATATCGTTCTGAAAAGTATGTTGATATAAATATAAAGCTTCTACTATTCATAATTACAAAGATTTTTGTGAATTAAATGGTGCAAGATTTGAATAAAGTAAACAGTATAAGGCACTCAAAAAATCACAATATTTTGAACAGTTGTAAATCTCTGTTATTTATGTCTCTGATTGAACATGCACTGTCTCCCTTCCATGCAGTGCTAGTTAAGAAACCATTGAGAATTTTACTTTAATTTGTAGATAAAGAAGGATGATCTGGAAGCTGCCTTGATGATTACAAAATCTAGTTTTCCTGGAAATATAGAGGTCTGGTTAAAAGATTTGGCTTCACTGTTGAACATCAAACTTGAACAATGTCCTGAACCTGATCCAATCATGAAGAATAAGCCCAGGGGTAGGTACAGTTTGAGCCATGGGATATAAGCATGGTACAGTAAGGTAAATCCTTAAACTGCTTTGGTGAATTTAAGAGGATGGTGAATTTAAGAAGACTCCAAACAAAATTTGATTTCAGTATTAGTGGGAACAATATTACAATATTAAGCATGTTTTACTTTTCCTCAGAATTTTTTAGCTCACCTGAGCTGAAAGCTCAAGTGAGCTTTTCTGATCACATTTTGTCCGGCGTCTGTCTGTCTGTCTGTCCGTCTGTCTGTCTGTGTAAACTTTTCACATTTTCGACTTCTTCTCAAGAACCACTGGGCCAATTTCAACCAAACATGCCACAAAGTATCCTTGGGTAAAGGGGATTCAAGTTTGTTCAAATGAAGGGCCACGCCCTCTTTCAAGGGGAGATAATTAGGAATTACTGAAAAAAATAATGGCATCATTTAAAAATCTTCTTCTCAAGAACCATAGGGCCAGGAAAGATGAAACTCATGTGGAAGCATCCTTAGGTAGTGTACATTCAAGTTTGTTCAAATCATGACCCCCGGGGGTAGGGTGAGTCATATTTATATGGAAGCATCCTGAGGTAGTGTAGATTCAAGTTTGTTCAAACCATGACCCCCGGGGGTAGGGCGGGGCCGCAATGGAGGATCAAAGTTTTACATAGAAATATAGAGGAAAAATCTTTAAAAATCTTCTTCTCAAGAACAGCAAAGCCATGATGAGTCATATTTATATGGAAGCATCCTCAGGTAGTGTAGATTCAAATTTGTTCAAATCTTGACCCCCGGGGGTAGGGCGGGGCCGCAATGGAGGATCAAAGTTTTACATAGAAATATAGAGGAAAAATCTTTAAAAATCTTCTTCTCAAGAACAGCAAAGCCATGATGAGTCATATTTATATGGAAGCATCCTCAGGTAGTGTAGATTCAAATTTGTTCAAATCTTGACCCCCGGGGGTAGGGCGGGGCCGCAATGGAGGATCAAAGTTTTACATAGAAATATATAGGAAAAATCTTTAAAAATCTTCTTCTCAAGAACAGCAAAGTCATGATGAGTCATATTTATATGGAAGCATCCTCAGGTAGTGTAGATTCAAGTTTGTTCAAATCATGACCACCGGGGGTAGGGCGGGGCCACAATGGAGGATCAAAGTTTTACATAGAAATATAAAGGAAAATATCTTCTTCTGAAGAACAGAAAAGCTATGTTTAGTCATATTGATATGGAAGCATCCTCAGGTAGTGTAGATTCAATTTTGTTCAAATGATGACCCCCAGGGGTAGGATGGGGCCCAATGGGGGATGGAAAGTTTTACATAAGAACATATAGAAAAAATATTTCTTCTCAAGAACAGAAAAGCTATGTTTAGTCATATTGATATGGAAGCATCCTCAGGTAGTGTAGATTCAAGTTTGTTCAAATGATGACCCCTGGGATAGGGAGGAGCCACAATGAGGGATCAAATTTTTACAAAGGAATATATGGGAATATTTTTTTTAAAAAATCTTCTCAAGTTTAACAAAGCCATATGTTATATTGACATGGAAGTATCATCAGGTAGTTTAAAATTCAAGCCCCCCCCCCCCCCCCCCCCGGTCTTTTCAATACTGAACTGATTGTGCTTTTGCCTAGCCAATGTGCTCAGGTGAGCGATGTGGCCCATGGGCCTCTTGTTTTATATCCATTGGAGATTTCAAAATTTAAGATTTTTCTTATCTTCCATTTTAATAAACCAAAACTATTGCATTACGATATTCCTATTTTTCTTTATTAATTTAGATTATCCTCTGTGTCATCTAAGTAACAAATGTCAGGATGTGATCAAATCTGTAATAAGAGAGGCTTCAGCAGAAACTCTGGAGCACCTGCTGTACCATAGTATAACCACTATGCTGTCAGAAATGAACAAAGGTAATATTTCTCATATACTTTAATACATCAGAGACTCACCCCTAATGATGCTCAGTGATTAAAATACTTAATCCCCCATTTACATGCAGATTCTGGAAAGCTCATTGAAAAATGACAGAATTTGTAGGACTTGAATCTAATTTAACAGCACAGAAGAAAACATGGTTTCTTTGAGAAATTAACACGTTTTATGCAGACATCATCCAAAACAAACTTTGATATTTCATCAGAGTTTGTACACACAAGAAAGGGGAATTGTAGTCAAAATAGTTATAGATTCCATTATCATAATGCATATGCAACTGGAGGGTAACTTTCACTTTCTGGAAAAATGATGCACTTTTAATCCTTATTTTTAGTCTACATTACACATTATCTGTATTGTGTCTATTCTTTTAAAGATGCAAGAATATTGTGCAATAAAAAAAAGATTGAAACAATATACATGTATTAATGATATAATTATAGACTGACACTGAATCAATTAATGTCAGCTTTTTATTTTATAATCATTTAAAACTTAGAAAGACAATATCCACATAAATTAAAAACCTTAATATTTGAGCATTTGGCTCATGAATTAAGATAATGTAATTACACAGGAAATTATCTGTATGAATATTTTGTTGATATCAGGCAACTCCAGCTATGGATACAGAATTTTTATCCAGTTGTTGGTGTACACAAAGCCAAACATTGCTCTGACAAAGACCCAGCAGGTATTTCTCATCATCTGGAATAATTCATATTTATACTACAGTGTATTTTAAAACAAGTTTCAGGGTTTTTCCTAAGAATTGAAATAGCAGGGGACATTAAAAAAGTAAAAGGGGATCCCCTAACAGGGGGTTGAGGGGGAATATAAGAGTAACGGGGGAGGGGGGGTTAAGTCATTAAAGGCAGAGATATTTCCCAGTCCCTAGGTCTTAGGAACAACCCTGAGTTCAGAATTTGATTTTTCATGAATTTTAATAAGGGTTAAAAGACAATATTCACAAGGTTTTGAGTTACAAGAGTGGTAATACATGTACATGTATATCGATAATTCAATAATATTGATTATACAAGAGTGGTAATATATTGATGATAAAACAATATTGATTATATAAGAGTGGTGATATATTGAAATCTGGGTTTGTGATTTCAGTACCTGGAATTGCTGACCACTCATCAGAACAAACTGCCCAGGTGTCTGTCCATTCTCTGGTGTCTTGGAGTGTGTGGTAACAAGGACTTCAGGAGTGGGCTCAGAGGTGGGGATTTTTACATTCATCTTCATGTACATCATCCCTGAATATGGATAATGAATAAATAATAAAATTATTAAAAGAAATATTTTTTGCATAATAAAGTTATTCTCTTGTTTACTGGAACTTTGTTGCAAAATACAATATTTAAATGTAATACTCATGACTGAAGATGTGTTTTTCAGTTTGGATGGAAGTAATGATGCCCATGTTGAAAGTTAGACCTGTGGCCCCTTACTGTGTGGACTATCTGGAGGAGCTCTTCCAGTAAGAAAATCTAAGTCTCAAAAATAGCAATGTAGGGTTGTACATGTATGTAAATATGATGAGACTTGACACCTTTTGAATATTGATATGACCATCTATGAAAAAGAATTTTCTTTGGATTTAGGACCCATACAGACATGAAGAAGCTGTCTGGGGAAATGTCATTGAAGGAGTACTTTTTCCTGGTAGACATGATCTTCAGTGACCAGAATCTGCCAAAAGATCTTGCCAAGAAACTGCAGACTCTCTACCCAAAGCTCAAGGTAAGGTTACTGGAAATTAATTTTTACAAAGAACTTCAGATTAACATAAGAGGGGATTTTAATTTTCTAACTAACCCTTTCAGTATTGGAAGGGTTTTGCTATGAATGTGTTATTTAATCACAACTTCAGTTCTTGACTAACAAACAGGAAAGCAAAAAAAAGGCTACAATTGTAGCACCAGTACTGATAAAACATGTTGTTGATATTTCAATTTTAACTGCTATTATGGAGTGCTGCAATGTAAGAACCATTTCAATAACTAAATTGTAAGGTTTATTGAGAGGTTACGAGAGGACCAAGAGGTCAAATATTTTAAATTTTGATATTTTGTTGTCCTACATGTAACTGGTTACCCCTGCCAAATTGATTGGTTTGTCATAATTTCAGATGTGCTTTTACTTGCACATAAGGGTCACTGCATTTGAACCAGAGTCACATGTGTAATGCTTGGTTCTGTGCTGAGCTACTTTGAATATTTAACCAAAACAATTCTGTTTTTCAGAAAATAGCCCTGGCCAATGACAAGTCACATGGTTTGAGGCAGGTTTTCCCATCCTACCTAACCAGGGTCACACCAGGAAGTAGCAGAACCATGAAATCAGAGGTCAGTCTTCACAGGGTTGACAAAGAAAAAATCTCATCTCTATCAAACTGATATTCTTGATATAAAGTTTTGGTTTCACTGCAAGTAATTTTGTTTGTCAAATTCTGTATATGTATTTATTGCACTTAGTCTTACACAATTTTTAGGTAACACTGAATTACATGAAATTAGAGCCAAACTTCCATAGGAATTCTTTCATTCTTACAAACACATTTTTAAAAAGATGCAATAAATATATTGCTTAAACTTTTCCTCCCAGATTTTACCAAGCTTAGTGGACTGCCTTGCGTCTGATAAACAATGCTTTGCTGTGTGGTGTCAGATGTACACAAAACAGCTTCCGCAGTCAAGGTAAGGGGAAAAGCAGGGGAGATGTGGTTACTTCGTACAAATCAAGTGATAATATTTTAACAAATTAAGAATCTATTTATATGTACATGTACCTGTATTTGTATAAAATACACAGAAGCTCTCTTTACAATAAAAACATGTACACTTTTAGCATTGTGTTACCATATTTCTTCTGATTAAGAAGATTTAGGAAAAAAAAGAGTTGTTAATAACTTCAAGAAAGTTTTGGAGCACAGAGCATATTGAAATGCCTGTTAGATATTGAGAATACATGTATAAACCTTGTTTTGTTCTTTAGTGTCCTGTTGAATTACCTGGCACAGAACTGGGATAAGGTTGGCTCTAAAATTGACAAGAAGCTGTTCCAGAACACTCTGAGGTCCTTTTCTATCACGAATGAGGAACTGGCTACCCAGGGCAGAAACAGTATTGATGGTTATCAGGAGTGTGTTACTGTTTGTAAGGTAAAGACAGGAGAAGAAAATTTGATATAGAAGTTTTTATGCCCCCGGATCGAAAGATCCCGGGGTATATTGTTTTTGTCCTGTCTGTCTGTTTGTCTGTTTGTCTGTTGTCAACTTTAACCTAGCCCATAACTATTGCGCTGTCAAGGGTAAGGCTTTAATATTTGACATGAGTGTTCATTATGACAAGACCTTTCCATTAGTACAGAAATTTTTGATCATGTGACCTCAACTGTGACCTTTGACCTACAATTGAAAAACTTTAACATTGGCCATAACTATTGCACTGTAGTCTATGTCCCACTCCAGAATTGTGTTACCATCGGGGGCATAGTGTTTCACAAACACATCTTGTTCTATACTTGCTCTCCAATGCTGCTATTCTGAATTTCACAGAATGATAAATTTTACAGATCACAATGCTGCAAGATGATGAATATTGTAATTAAGTTTCATAAACCGTCTGTTCACTCACATACAATGTTGCTTTAATGATTATGATTTTCCAAAAGAAATGTATTTTTTAAGTAAAAAAAAATAAATAATTAAAGCAGAGCTTGTGAGGCAAAATTAGACAAAAAAGACATTTCAACTTGGCAAATTTATAAATGAATAATGTTTTAGCAATTCAGAGTTATCTCTCTTATCAGAGTATCGATGAACGTTAAGGAAAAATGGTTTCAAATTAATAAATAATAATATACTGAGCAATAAATCCAATGAATCCATATTTTATGCAGGAATTGCTTCAGAAGATGGAGCAGACACACTTCCCTTGGTTCTGGGTTGTTTTCCTGTTGATCGGCACACTGTCTGCAATAGTTGCATATGACATTTACTCCAGCAAGACTTTAAGAGGTAGGTGACCTCATGTTGCTGCTGTATGAATATGTGTAACTTTTGACCTTCTGCATTTTGACTTTTATAAACATACTTGATGCGATAACATGAATGAATAATTGTATTTGGATTAATTTTAGCTTCGAGAACTGTTAGGTTCCTCGAGGATTATGGGATTTTAGCTTTCACAGAACAAGTATGGAGCAAGCTGTCTCATTACACAGTGATGACATTCAGGTATATGGCGTTTATAAGTAAATTCATTCGTAGGAAATTCTTTTTTGCTCTTTTTTATTATTTTTTCCATATTTTCTAGATACTGTTCTTATTGACTGTAAGTCAGACATTAAAATTCTGCTCAATTATTGGTTCTTGTAGCTGGCTGAAAGTTAATGTTCCCTTGTTTGCTGAGAAAGCTATCAACACCATCTCACCATATGTTGCTGTTGGATGGTCAAAGGTCAAATTTGGGGCCTACTATGTTTGGGAAGTTAGTACCCCACAACGAGAATGGCTGTACATCAAACTACTTCAATTAACTGAGCAGGTAAAGACTGATTGAACAAGGAACAATAACTGTGCTTGGGTTATTGAAAAAAATTGGTTTGCATGTTTGTGATGGAGTCCACTATGTAATCTCAGGTTTTAAATTGAATTTGAAAAAAAAGTAGATAATATGTGGGTCATTGATCAAGAAATGCCATTGCTTAGTCTCCATACTTTGATTATTTTTCACATTTTCCATATTGAGATCATGCATTTTCAAGTAAAATCTGTAGAAATACTATGTGAAAAATAATTCTTGTGTACAGTTAATGTCTCAAACCAGTGATTAAAATTGATTTTCATTGATCATCTTGATGTGTTTGATTTTAGATGACACTGCAGATTGTGAATACAAGTAAAAAAAAATGAATGAGCTCAATATTTATTTTGTTATAGGTTTATTCCTTATCACCTCAGCTGTGGTCTGATCTCAGCCATCATCTTTTATTAACCTGGGATTTCTTACGGGACAAAACATATCTTATATGGACCAGTGCGGTCCAATTCTTTTTCACATCTTATAAATGGATTGAAAAAGAGGTTTTATTGTAAGTATGATATTGATTCTGAGTACATGAATATGGACTATGCAGTAGTTTCTAAGTGTGGCATAGTAATCACTTTGTCATTATATCCACAACATTTTGAAGTTTTTTTCTTTTTTCTTTTCTCAGGTGTTGTTTCAAGAAATAATAACTTTTATTCTGAACATCATTTAGATGGAGGTTGGGTTTCAATTTATGGATGAATGAGGATAATTTTTAAGTGTTCTCTTTATATTAAGAGATTTAATTTTTTGAACGAAGAAAAAATTTTGTGCCTTACTTACATTAAATGATCCTATTTGTGCAGCAATTCTTACTCTATATATAAAGTGATCTATGCACATGTATCTATTTTTTTTAAAGTTCAGACCCTTTTGCGTAGTTGGGTATTACTAACACTTTCTAAATGGGGAGATAACAGAACAGGGTATTTATTCTCTGAAGGTTCTTACAGCCTTTTTATTGATACAAATATAGTTTAATAGACTGTTTAAGAGAGTTAAAATGGATACTTTTTTGGGGTTCTTGTTGATGAGTTATTTCAGAAATGTATTTGGAACAAGAAAAAAAATATCTCTAGTACGGGACAGTGATGTGATCTTTAAAAGAGTTTTTGAAACAGATGTGCCTAGTTCAGTAGAACAGTATATACACAATTTGTACATGTAGTGCTATTATGATGTTCAGGTTGTGTTTTGTTTATGGTTATCATTTTGGACTACAAAATCATTAAGTTTAGACCATATTTATTTCTTTATTTTATTTATTTTTCAGAGGTCAGTATACTCCAGAAGTTTTGCAGCAAGTCTTTCGGACTCTAATTTCCTTTGTTCAGGATTCAGCAGTTCTTGTTACACAGTGGTGTTCAAATTTATTCCTAGTCTCACAAGGGAAGTAACTTGTCTCTAAGAAAATGCCTCTGGAATCTCAGGATATAAAGACCGTAAAGTGCAACGCTAACATCCATAAGCACATTGAACTGAAATTAAAACAGAGATTTTTATAGTATACATGTATCTGCTTGGACAAGAGCCTTATCAATTTGAGTTTGGTTGTAATTCATAACCCACCTGTAAGTGATACAAGTCTCCTTAAATCATGTCAAATTTCACGAAATGTCTCACACTTTGTTGTTTAAATAATATTTTATATGACAGTACCCTCTTGAAATAAATTTATGTTATTTATAGCCAAATATATCATCAGCCAAAGAAATTAAAATTATTGATAAGAATGAATTTGTTGTTTTTATTACAAATGGTTTATTATTGATTTTTATGCCCCACCATGAATATAGCCTGGGTATATACTGGTAATGTTTGTCATGTCTGTTTCCATCCTTCTGTCCCTCCATCACACTGCATTTACCGTACAGTTTTGAAGAAAGTAAGAATTTTTATCAAACCTTATATATGCTGATACATATTGATGAGAGCTAACTGCATCAACATTTTTTGACCTTAACCTTTCCCTTGACTTTACATTTAGCTCAACTGCAATGAAACTAAGATATTTCAAGCTTCATATGCTGATACATATTGGTGAGAGCTATTCAACTGCATAAAAAATTCTTTAATTTAGCTCAGTTTCAAAGAAAATAGATATTTTTCATCAGATTCATATGCTAATCATTTTTGGTGAGTGCTGTTGAACTGCATCAAAATTTTTGGACCTTGATCTTCCCATTGACCTCACATTTCTTAAATTTGTAATTGGCTTAGTTTCAAAGAAACTTCTCAAGATATTTTTTTATCTAAAAACATATTGGTGAGAACTATTCTACTGTGTCCTAAATGTATGACCTTGACCTTTTTTTGCCTCTTGCTCAGTTTCAGAAACTATTAAAGATATTTTTATGTAAGTTTATGCACTGATACATAATTTGGTGAGAATATCACCTTGATCTTCCCAGTGACCTTTGACTGTATTGTTTATTTTGTGTGAAACTCAAAGAAACTTCTCCATGTATTTTCATTAAATTTCATACACTTGTACAAATTTTCATGTTGCATTACTAATACATGTAAACCCTGGTAGGGGCATGCATGTCCTATGGATACATTTCTAGTTTAGTAGGTCACCTGAGTCACTCAGGTGACCTATTGCTATCTGTTTTTGTCAGTTGTGCGTTAACATTTGAACATTTTCAGCTTTTCCTCAGGAACCGCTCAATCAAATTTGCATATAGCATTAATGAGTGAAGGGGAAGCCCCTCTGGGGCTTGGGGATGGGGCTAAAAAGCATCATAATTAATGAAATCTTTTAAAATCTTCTTCTTTACTCCTTAACATCAAGCAGTCAAACTGTTAGCATGATTGTAATAAGCATTGAGCTGTCTACTAAAATTGTGAACTTCATGGCCCCAGGGCCAGGAGTTCTGGTGCTTATTATGACAGGGCTCTGTTGAATATATAGTGAAAATGCATTATTTCTTTAAAAATCTTCTCCTCTGATCCTGGGTACTAAGCAAACAAACTAAATGCATAGCTATGATGAGCAAGGGTGTCTTTTCCAAAATTGTGAATTTCATAGCTCCTGGGTATGGAGTTCTGGTGTTAGGGCTGGGCTCTATTGATTATATAGTGAAAATCCATTAATTATTTGAAAATCTCCTCTGCTCCTGGGTATTAAGACGATGAACTAAATACATAGTTATCTTGAGCAAGGGTACCTCTTCCAAAATTGTGAATTTCATGGCCCCAGGGTCAGAAGTTCTGGTGTAAGGTGGGGCTTTTTTGATCATATAGCAAAAAACATTCATGCTTTGGAAATCTCTCCCTCTGCTCATGGGTATTAAGCAAACAAACTAAATGCAAAGTAATGATGAGCAAGGGTGCATCTTCCAAAATTTTGAAATGTGTGACCCAAGGGTCAGGGGTTCCTATGGGGTGGGGGCACTTATGATTATATAGTGAAAATGCATTATTTCTTTGATAATCCTCTGCTCTGCTTCTGAGTTTTAAGTAAACAAGCTAAGTTTATAGTTATGATGAACAAGGGCGCCCCTTTCAAATTTATGAATTTCATGGCCTCTGGTTTAAAACATTAATTTAATTGTGGGAAAGTTGTTACATGATACTCCAGTGACCAGTTGACCTATAAGGCCCATGGGCCTCTTGTTTAAGTTTGAAAATGCATTGAAAGATACCAATGTATCCTATATCTTTTCTCAAATAATGTACCATTCAACCATTGTGCATGTACATGAATATTTGGAAACACCAGTGACACACTAAGTGTGGCCCTTTGACAGTAGTGATATAACATCATGCAAGCAAGTGGAGATATCTGATGCCCTCAAGAGTAAGAACCCGAGGATGAAACCAAGTTGATTATATACATACCCTTATAAGGAAAAAAAATTCTCCAAACTTCTTGATAGTTGCATGTAAAAAAAACTTTTGAGAATAATATTCACAAGTGTAGAGCCTTAAGTTTACTCATGTGTAACAGACTTAAAGGGGCTATGTGTTGCAAATATGAGGCATATTCCTTCTAGCACTAACTAGTGGGTTAAATATATCAGTTGATATAGTGTTGGATTTTTTTTTTAATCTGAGGGTTGTAAGTTGAAGCCACATTGTGGAGTGGTCATTCCCTAGCTAATTGGTCACACATATATTAAATACTGTACTTTATTCCATGGGGTCATAACTCTATGGAATCACAATTTCTATTCAATCCACAGGTAGAAAATTATGCCGAATTCTTGGATTGCCATTGTATGTCTTAGATGCACTTCAAGTACACTAGGACAAATTTCTGCAGAAAAATTTGTGACTGTGTCCACACCATAAATTTATCTCACATGGAAAAAAGTTTATTTCCAGTATCTAGAAATATTCATATTCAGCAGACAAACTGTGCACTATGGTAATAAGTAAGGAGCACCAAATATAACTTGAGAATTTCTTGTCCTTTCTTTGTCTCAGGGTAGTAGACAGGGGCAAAGACGATTACACATTGTAAAATAATGCCTATCTTTGAAAAACATCTTTACTCTAGTACATCTAGAGGGTAAACTTGATGAATTAATATGATAATGAACAAGGAGATGTTTACAGAATTGTGAAATTCATGTTCTACTGGTCCACAGTTTGGGTATAATGAAAACAACCCATAAAAACACATATAGAAGTCACTTTATTTATATCATTTATTTACATCATTTACATCATTTTGAAAGTTAAATTTCAAATTCAGGGGAACTGAGTGTAGAATGTTGTAGACTTGGTGAATTTTCTGAGCTGTTTTGAGACCCCTCTCGGATCCTCTCCAATGGATCCTTGTCTGGTCTGTCATGTTTGTGCTTGTGTTTATGCTTGTGTTTGTTTTTCTTCTTTTTCTTTTTGGCTTTATGTGCTTTAGAGTCTGTAGCAGACGACAAATCTGTAGCAGATGCTGAAGATGGCAACAGTCCAGCAAATGACAGGGGAGCACCAGATTCTATCAAAATCATAAAGATACGATTATTTAGTCATGTCCAACAACCAGAATTTCACTGTAGAAAGAATTCATGTTATTACCATTTATAACAGCATAGCAAAACTTGCTTTATAAGAAATTTTATGAAAGAAACTTCTCCCATGTTAGAAAGATGAATTTTCCCTGCAATTAACTAGACAAATCCAGGAAGAAAGAAATTCACCTTGAATTAGAAATAAACAGTTAAAACACAGTGAAAATTACTTCCTGGAGCCTATTCCATTACCTATTATTTGTTTAAAGGAAAGTACACTCTGAATTGAAAATTGGTAATTTTCAAGTTTCATTATTGGTAATTCAAGATCAATGTCCTTTGAATTCATTAAGTTTATCTTTGGGTGAAAAAATGTTTATACATGTATTGCATAATCTCATGGGTCTTTATACATGGCTTATAATATGCATATCTTGATCCATTCTCAGTAAAAAAAAAAATTCAAAAAAAATTTCCTATTATATTAAAGATCAAGGCATTGGACCATTTTAAGTGTTGGAGCCATACAAGGTGCCCTTCCTAAAAAATCAAATACATGCACCTACTTATGTGACTGGATTATGTTTATTTTTAAAAGCCAATAATCTTCAGGATTTGTTTTGACACTATCATTAATAATTTATAAAATATTAATAATTGAGATTCTCATCATATGGTGTAATGTACATGTACATATCTTGATACTTAATAGCTAAAAATTTGCTTGAAAGAAGACCCTCCTAAAATTTAGAGAAAGTGATTATTCAAATTTGATTTTAGTTTAATAGCATGAATTACATTTCTCTAACTGTTCACAAGGGTTTGCTATAACTGTTCATAAAAGATAAAACTCTGACGCCAAAGAAACCATCTGAATGTTGTTACCTGATGGCCTTGGAGTGTTCGTAGGAGATGAGGATCCCTCACTCAGTCGAGACGACGTATCCATGGTGATGGACATCTGAGATTCTGGAGCTGGTGGCTCTTGTTTGACCTTAAAAGTGTTGAATACAAGTGAATTTTCTACATGGTTGACATTAGTATTTTTTTTTAGTAAATCAAAAAATGAAATAAAATAAAATAATACCAACAAGAGAAATCAAGGAGAATATTAAAGATTGAGACATGGAAAATATCTTTAAAAAAACAAAAAGATTATTTTAAACAAAAAAATTCTATAATACAAACCCATTTTTAGATATGTATTGAGAATGGCATGTGTAAATAACAGAGTACCTATAGTAAGTAATGGAATACATTTATAACAGAAAAGAAGAAAAATGGGAAGGACCAGACCAGGATTCGAACTTGGACCCCCTGAATCACTAGTCAGGTGCTTTATAAACTAAGATACCTGGCCACCAGCGATCGAACCCATCTCTTGAGATTCACTATTAATGAGGGAAATGTTTTTACTGAAGTTCTCTTAATAAATTATATTAATCACAGATTTCAATTGAATTCTTAAAACTTGAACAGCTATATTTGTGAGACACAGTATTGCAATGGTGTCTGAATTTCATTTCACATAACACAGAGAGGTTACAATTTTTTTGTTTTAAAGGAGAGGGGGTTCCAGTCAATTATACAGGTAGATGAGAAATGTAATATAGCAACAGGCAGAATTTAAAAAACAAGAGGCCCATGGGCCACATCGCTCACCTGAGTAACTTTGGCCATGCTGTTCTTTACCAGATTTCCCCCCTTTTAATATACCTATTGTGGCCCCGCCCTACCCCCGGGGAACAAAATTTGAACAATTTAGAATCTATGCTACCTCAGGATGCTTCCAAATATGTCTCAGCTTTATTGGTCCAGTGGTTCTTGAAAAGAAGATTTTTAAAGATTTTTCTTATATATTTCAATGTAAAACTTGGATTCCCTATTGTATCCCGCATTACCCCAGGGGTCAAGATTTGAACAATTTATAATCTACACTACCCCAGGATGCTTCCATATAAGTTTCAGCTTTTCTGGCCCAGTGGTTCTTGAGAAGAAGATTTTTAAAGATTTTTCTTATGTATTTCAATGTAAAACTTGGATTCCCTATTATGGCCCCGCCCTACCCCCGGGGGTCATGATTTAAACAATTTAGAATCTACACTACCCCAGGATGCTTCCATATAAGTTTCAGTTTTTCTGGCGCGGTGGTTCTTGAGAAGAAGATTTTTTAAGATTTTCCTATATATTTCAATGTAAAACTTGGATTCCCTACTGTGGCCCCGCCCTACCCCCGGGGGTCATGATTTGAACAATTTAGATTCTACACTACCCCAGGATGCTTCCATATAAGTTTCAGTTTTTCTGGCCCAGTGGTTCTTGAGAAGAAGATTTTTTAAGATTTTCCTATATATTTCAATGTAAAACTTGGATTCCCTACTGTGGCCCCGCCCTACCCCCGGGGGTCATGATTTGAACAATTTAGATTCTACACTACCCCAGGATGCTTCAATATAAGTTTCAGTTTTTCTGGCCCAGTGGTTCTTGAGAAGAAGATTTTTTAAGATTTTTCCTATATATTTCAATGTAAAACTTGGATTCCCTACTGTGGCCCCGCCCTACCCCCGGGGGTCATGATTTGAACAATTTATAATCTACACTACCCCAGGATGCTTCCATATAAGTTTCAGCTTTTCTGGCCCAGTGGTTCTTGAGAAGAAGATTTTTAAAGATTTTTCTTATGTATTTCAATGTAAAACTTGGATTCCCTATTGTGGCCCCGCCCTACCCCCGGGGGTCATGATTTTAACAATTTAGAATCTACACTATCCCAGGATGCTTCCACATAAGTTTCAGCTTTTCTGGCCCAGTGGTTCTTGAGAAGAAGATTTTTTAATGACCCCACCCTATTTTTGTCTTTTCTTGATTATCTCCCCTTTTAAGGGGACTTGGCCCTTTATTTTAACAATTTACACTCCCCTTCACCCAAGGATACTTTGTACCAAGTTTGGTTAAAATTGGCCCAGTGGTTCTTGAGAAGAAGTTGAAAATGTGAAAAGTTTACAGACGGACGGACAGACGGACGAACGGACAGACGGACGGACGACGGACAACGGGTGATCAGAAAAGCTCACTTGAGCTTTCAGCTCAGGTGAGCTAAAAACAGCATTACCAGGATCAGCATCAGCAAGCAAAGGATAAAACCAGCATTGACCTAAATAAAATCAGCATTATCCTACTAGCATAAAAAAAAATCAATGAGTTTTAATTCAGTAAAAAATTGAAAAAGAAAGAAAGAATATTGGTTAAAGTATTCACATTATTGATACATAGTGAGATATTATGATCAAATAATTGTAAAAGGCATTTTTATTGCTTTAAACCGCAATGCTGAAATCATTATCTACTTCCGGTAGCATGATGCTACTTCCAGTAGCATTGACCTAATTATAAAACAGCATCAGGATAAGGATTACTAGCATTAAATCAGCAAGCAAAGGATGCATTCAAATCAGCAAGCAAAGGAAGCATTCAAATCAGCATTGATGCTGTAACAAAATTAGTTTCCTGCACTGTATTCCTATGTAAAACTCTGATCGTCCATTGAGACCCCACCCTACCCCCGGGGGTCATGATTTGAAAAAATTTGAATCTACACCACCTGAGGATGCTTCCATATAAATATGACCAAACATAGTTTTGCTGTTCTTGAGAAGAAGATTTTTCCTATATATTCCTATGTAAAACTTTGATCGTCCATTGAGGCCCCACCCTACCCCCGGGGGTTATGATTTGAACAAACTTGAATCTACACCACCTGAGGATGCTTCCATATAAATATGACCAATCATAGCTTTGCTGTTCTTGAGAAGAAGATTTTTGAAGATTTTTTCCTATATATTCCAATGTAAAACTTTGATCGTCCATTGTGGCCCCACCCTACCCCCGGGGGTCATGATTTGAACAAACTTGAATCTACACCACATGAGGATGCTTCCATATAAATATGACCAATCATAGCTTTGCTGTTCTTGAGAAGAAGATTTTTGAAGATTTTTCCTATATATTCCTATGTAAAACTTTGATCGTCCATTGTGGCCCCACCCTACCCCCGGGGGTCATGATTTGAACAAACTTGAATCTACACTACCTGACAATAATTCCACATGAGTTTCATCTTTCCTGGCCCATTGGTTCTTGAGAAGAAGATTTTTCAATAATGCCATTAATTTTTTGCTATTTCGTAATTATCTCCCCTTTGAGGAGGGAGTGGCCCTTCATTTGAAAAACAAACTTGAATCCCCTTTACCCAAGGATACTTTGTGCCAAGTTTGATTGAAATTGGCCCAGTAGTTCTGGAGAAGAAGATGAAAATGTAAAAAGTTTACGACAACAACGACGCCGACGACAGACAACGGACAAATTTTGATCAGAAAAGCTCACTTGAGCCTTTGGCTCAGGTGAGCTAAAAAACAAGAAAATGACAAACCCTCAGAAAACTTATAGTAAAAGACAGAGGTATTTTGTATAATTGCAAAATTCCAGCATACAATGAACATCATAACACAGTATATCATCAGGTTTACAAGCTGTAAAATCAAAAGTACCCCAACAAATTTGAGGAATTCAGCAGCATAAGCAGATGTAGCTGATGACGGAGTGATTGGTGTTTTTGGCACCGTGACTTCCTGAGTCCCGGAGACCACTGGGGGCTCAGATACCTGGGTCTCCACCGGAGGTTCTGAGGGCATCTGTTTAATAAAATGCAGAAAAAACAAAATACCTGTGCAGAAAATGTTAGTGGTGCAATGTACATTCAAATATTTTTTTCAATATTTTTCCTACCAAAATATCCAATTAAATTTAAATATTATACTACATGTATAATTCTATCCAGCCTTCCATACTCCTCATGTGTGCCAGTTTTATAGTTTTACTTAGAAAGTATTAAGTGTCAAGCTAGAATATGATGTCCGAGTATCATGCTAAATTAAGATGTAATTCAACTTTGCTAGTGCTATTTTAGACATTGATTCTTTTTTGATAACCAAATCTAATAGAATCACAGTCATACATTCCTTGACTTTTTTAAAATTCTGGACTAACGATTGCATTAGTTTTTGTTCATTCTTTATTAGTGTATTGATTTACCAGTATAAGTGCAGTTAGTTAGTTAGATAAAGGACATTTTTGTATCTTTGTGAGTTCTTAACACAGAAATACTAATACTTAATCAACCTAGACAGACAGTAATTGAGAAAATACACTTGTTGTTCAGAATATAAGAGAGTAACATTTAAGTTATGATATTGAGAATTCACAGTGAAAAGCATTTAACTTTATATGATCAATTATAAGGTAGATGTTAGCTACTCAACTATGTCAACACAAGGAAAACAAAGTTAGTGAAAAAGTCAAGTCTTAATGAACAAATACACTTTTTGCATGTTCTGAAATATTGACAATTTTCTACCTTGAGTTTAAGCTTTTTGGACTGTGATGTGCTGTCCTCATTGAATATACCCTCGGGACAAGTCTCTGGGACACTTCCGAGGGACATAACTACTGATGTGTCAGAGGCAGGGGGTGACTTCCTCTTTAGGGAGGAGTCCTCACCCCCAATGTTGGTGACATCAACATCTGTCTCTGTGTCCATCTGAGAATTCTCCTCCTCCATAAGCTCCTCATCCTCATCATCAAACATCTCCTGACGAACAAACAGACAATGTCATCAACCAAACAGGCAATGTCATCAAACATATCCTGACAAATAGACAATGTCATCAACCAAACAGACAATGTCATCAAACATCTCCTGACAGACAAACAGACAATGTCATCAACCAAACAGACAAAGTCATCAAACATATCCTAACAGACAAACAGACAATGTCATCTACCAAACAGACAATGTCATCAAACATATCCTGACAGACAAACAGACAATGTCATCTACCAAACAGACAATGTCATCAAATATATCCTAACAGACAAACAAACAATGTCATCTACCAAACAGGCAATGTCATCAAACATATCCTGACAGACAAACAGACAATGTCATCAAACATCTCCTAATAGACAAACAGACAATGTCATCAAACATCTCCTTACAGACAAACAGACAATGTCATCAAACATCTCCTGACAGACAAACAGACAATGTCATCAACCAAACAGACAATGTCATCAAACATATCCTGACAGACAAACAGACAATGTCATCAACCAAACAGACAATGTCATCTACCAAACAGACAATGTCATCAAACATCTCCTGACAGACAAACAGACAATGTCATCAACCAAACAGACAATGTCATCAAACATATCCTAACAGACAAACAGACAATGTCATCAACCAAACAGGCAAAGCCATCAATTATCTTCTAACAGACAAACAGACAATGTCATCATACATCTTCTAACAGACAAACAGACAATGTCATCAACCAAACAGACAATGTCATTAAACATCTCCTTACAGACAATGTCATCAAACATCTCCTGACAGACAAACAGACAATGTCATCAACCAAACAGACAATGTCATCAAACATATCCTAACAGACAAACAGACAATGTCATCTACCAAACAGACAATGTCATCAAACATCTCCTGACAGACAAACAGACAATGTCATCAACCAAACATACAATGTCATCAAACATATCCTATCAGACAAACAGACAATGTCATCATACATCTTCTAACAGACAAACAGACAATGTCATCAACCAAACGGACAATGTCATTAAACATCTCCTTACAGACAATGTCATCAAACATCTCCTGACAGACAAACAGACAATGTCATCAACCAAACAGACAATGTCATCAAACATATCCTAACAGACAAACAGACAATGTCATCTACCAAACAGACAATGTCATCAAACATCTCCTGACAGACAAACAGACAATGTCATCAACCAAACAGACAATGTCATCAAACATATCCTAACAGACAAACAGACAATGTCATCTACCAAACAGACAATGTCATCAAACATATCCTGACAGACAAACAGACAATGTCATCAACCAAACAGACAATGTCATCAAACATATCCTAACAGACAAACAGACAATGTCATCAACCAAACAGGCAATGCCATCAATTATCTTCTAACAGACAAACAGACAATGTCATCATACATCTTCTAACAGACAAACAGACAATGTCATCATACATCTTCTAACAGACAAACAGACAATGTCATCATACATCTTCTAACAGACAAACAGTCAATGTCATCAAACATCTCCTGCCAGACAGACAGACAATTTTATCAAACATCTCTTAACAGATAAACAGACAATTTCATCAAATTTTCTCTGATGGACAAACAGACAATTTCATCAAACATCTCCTGACAGATAAACAGACAATGTCATCAAGCACATTATACAGACTTGATTTCAACCAACATCTCCTACATGTAATTCATCAAATATTGATCAATTCTTATATAGAAAGAAAAAAAACAATACACCACACTTCAGGACCAGGTTCACCACTGACAAGAAGACTGGGGGATTAATATTCAGTGACTGTTTACCTCCATTTCATCAGGAACAAATGCTGGATTCATTCTATTTCTCTTGTCCTTCAGATTTAGCACAACCATGTTCTTAAAAGAATGAAATTAAAATACATGTACATTTAATTCAACTGCATGTTCATCTTAAGTAAAAAAAAAAAAACAACATCATATAGAGAAAAATTAAATCATGAAAAATGACCATAATATATTTCTTTTTGTTTGAAGTTACAAGACAATACCAGTATTTTAGTGCTCTAAATACTTGTTGTTTTTTTTTTCAAATCATGTTCCTGAATTTTTCCAGGTCAGAATAAAACATTAGTTCTCATTATAAATAAGTGACTCATGAGTCTCTCTGGTCACCTGCGTATTGTTCAGCAATTTCTTTGGAATCATTTCAACTGAATTTCTTTTAGTTGTTTGACTCATTTACAAAACACTACAGCTCAAACATAGCTACACTCAGTCCTTTAGGCCATGTTGTGAATAAATTTGAAAACATTAGTTTTGTACTTTTTCGTATGATAGGACAAATTTTAAATGCCTCCACCCCATTTTCACTATATCAAATATCCCTCTTTGAAAGAAGCATGTCAATATTTCAACAAACTTGAATCCCTATCACCCAAGGCTGCTATGATGCAAGTTTGGTTGAGACAGGTCCAGTGTATCTGAAGAATAGGTCAAATATGTGAATTGTTGGAGGGCACAATAATAGACAAGAAAGGTTTATATGGTCCTGTGACTCAGGTGAACTAAATATTTTAAAAATGTAAATAAAAGCAATTTTGAGACGGGAAAGCAAAATATGTATCATTGCCTTTAATACACTTATACTTACATCAGGTATAGGTAAACAAGATGGGCGTGTCCGTCCATACAGTGTGAAATAAACGTCGACCACATCACATCGTAACCTACTGTCATAGGAAAATGTGCAACTGCAATGGAAAACCATAGGATAATAAGGTTATTTTAATTCAATACATAAACAAAAAAAAGCTCACTTGATCCTCCTGTTCAGGTGAGCTAATGATTAGCAAATACATGTACATGAACAGGTATATACATAATACATTTTTGTTGTCCTCAGAGTTAAAGATATTGAATTTCTGATGACTAAATTAAACACTGACTCCAAACAAAACATGGATATAAATCTCTATTTTTCCAACGATCTATAAATGAAAATTTCTGTCCTATGCCTGTGTGTAAATTGTAAACACTTTCATTACATTACCACCGTATGCATGTATGTACGTATACAAATACATTAAAACTGCCATAATAGATATACATGTATAAACACTTGTAAACCAAAGATAAGAGAACTGATTGTCTCACAAGTACTGAAGTAGATATACATGTTACCAAGCAATAAGAGATCATTCTTACTTCATCATCTTCCATAGTCTCTCTACTAATCCCTCTGTGTGTAGGGCACTAGCTTCCAATCTTCTGAAGGGTGGATTTAACACTAGTTGTTGGAGTGCATAATGCCTACAAAAATGTCCAAATTTTTTTTTTTGGTCATTTCCTTTGGAAAGGACATTTCAACAACAACAACAAAAATTGCTAATTACGAGGTAAATAAATACCAACAAATTCCTTTACCTGATGTAAAGATCTGGATCTGTCTCCACTAAACTCAAAATCCAGTACATGTCCTCTGGTCTAGACTCCGCTGAAAAAAAATGTGTAATTTTTAAAATTAGTACTTTAAATATTTGTTAAAATTGCATCATACAGTTCAATCATGAACTATCTATGCATATATACGGTACATTTCCTACACTTTAAAACCCTGTAATCCATAAATGAATTTTTGTGTCCTTTGCAAATAAGGGCATGGAATAATTAATTCCTGAGTTAATTTCCTCCTTTTTTTCCCAAATCTGTTAAAAGCCAATTTTAATTGGTTTTTCTTGTTGGAGTAATCTGAATTGATTATACTATAGCTGAATATTCATTTTAATTCTAGATGATTTACTCTTCATTTTAATTATAGATGAATCACTGGTGTTTACTTTTGATGAAGTCAACTATGGCATCAATAGCGGCCAGCCTAATGTCCCTAAACACTCCATGCCTGGCGTAACTCTTAAAGAATTCTACCTCACTGGGCAGGTGGCCAAACTTCTGTAGAGTTCTGATGGCACTGAGACAACTGTCAAATAATTCTCAATAATGATCTACTATGTTTGAATTTTCACTTCAGAGGATATTACATTTATTTTGTGTAACTTAAATGGTGACTTAACATGAGATTTACTTGATGGTAATAACAGGTAAATATTTGTAACATACCTAACAGTAACTGTGTGCCTGTAACATGGCAGTAATTTCTCTAGGTTCAAGTAACGAGTAATTTCCTCCAGAATCTGTTTGGTTTCTAATGATAAATTGTCAGCTGTAGGACCCTGTCTGTCATGGGAAAAGGATAGACATGGTAAAACTTAGGATACTGTAGTTTATAAGAACAGGACTTATTTAAAATATTGCTTCTCTTATAGAATCTTTCAAAAGATATTATTTGTGAGCATCTTTTGGTAGGTATTAATGAACTAAAATCTTTAATAATATGTTAAATATTATCAAGCAAACTTTCTTTTGTCAGTGTCGATGAATCTTCCTGTTATCCGAAAACTTGACTCTTTTGTATAAGGAGGTAATATTGACACATACCCTGGTGTAGTCATGAGAGTAATGGCAGGAGTCACAGTTTTAGCAACAGCATCCACCAATGCAGCTCTGTAGTAGTTGTCAGAGAACTGAAAATGGGCAAACTTTATGTCAATGAAATCAGTTGATGAATGTGAATTTTAAATACTACTTAAATTTTTATTTTGGATTTTCAGAGCTTTATTGGGGTGTGGAATAGCAAATGGAAGTTTTGAGAAAGAAAGGTTTCCAGCCTGGGATTAATACTTTTTCTGTTAGGTGTAAGTTCTACACAAAAAGATATTTTTCTTTAATGAACAAAATTTGTTTTGATTTATTCGTTTATTTTTTTAAAACCATGGGAAGAGTACTACAGTAATACCTTGTTTCTGCTGTTGTCGTTATACTTGAAGAGCTCCATGATGAATTTGAACACTTCTGGGGGACATATTGTGTGAATATTACGCAGCATGGCCATGGCATTTGGGATAGTCTAATAAAAAAGAAACCCTGTACTGCATTAACTTCAAAGTAACAGAAAATATCTTCTCAAAAAATACTGGTAAAAACAATGTATTGTATAAACTGTACTGTGAAGAAAGGAACAGTAATCAAGCTCAAAGATCTGATAAAATTAATACTCATTGGGAGAAGAGCAAACAAGGACCCCTGGAAATACCAGAGGTGGGATCAGGTGCCATGGAGGAGTAAGCATCCCCTGTGGACCAGTCACACCCACCATGAGCCCTTTATCTTGATCGGGAAATGGGAAAAAATGAAATGTTAAAGCAACCTTGAGTAAGAAGTAATGTTGGAGATTGGAGAAGTTATTCTGTCTGATGATGGCAGGACAAGAATGGGATCCAAACATTTTTCTAAAGATTGTCATCATTGCTGGGGGTCCTGCCCACACACCCACCATTGAATTGGCAACCTGTAATAACATATATCAACATATTAGGAATTATTTAATTATGTTATCATTCAAAGACAATGATTTTAAGTTTAAAGGTCAAGTTAACTGAGAAGGTAACTCAGTTTTCTAAGAAGCTTCTCGGAATATTTTAAAAAGATTATTCCATAAGATATCATGGCACTCAGAGGTCACCTTTGCCAGACAGTATGCAGCCTCCATCCTGATTCTGTAGAAGCAGTGGTCATCCTCCAGTATGTCTGTCAGTGCTCTTCTGGTCCCTGCTGTGGGGTAATTCTCCAAAGCTCTGATGGCCTGTCAAAATCAGCATTTAGTTATCTACTTATGATAGTGTAGCATCCTGATATCTAGTTGCCATAGCATTGCATCCAGATATCTAGTTATGATAGTGTAGCCTTTAGATATCTAGTAACCATTGTATAGCTTCAAATATATAGTTATAACAGTCTAGCATTCAGATATTTGGGGCCTTATGTACCAGAAGGCATGAAGAGGATAGAGGAAGTGAGGTGAGGTGAGATTCAAATATCTAGTTACCTTTCCATAGCTTCCAGATTCATATTGTGATTGTTTATGTGAAAATTATTTCAGTTGTCTTATACTTTCTAAATTTTAAGCAAATAAGAGAATACATAAAATTTCTATAATTTCTTAAAAATATTAACGAATAATCCTTAATTCAATTCATTTTATTATCATTACCTCTCTCTGAGCAACAATGTCCCGTTCATATCGGAGCTGGTACTGCCACATGTAATCTGGTTGTTCCCAAGTCACATGACTCAGTAAGCTCATATCTGGATCAACGCGCAGCCATAAAACTGGAGAATCAGCACTGCAATGAATAAAGCATAAAGAAACTTTATCAAAATTCTAGCCATTTACTGACCTTGGAATGAAACATTGTTCTTCCAGTTTTTTTACCTTTTATTTCAAGAAAACAAACCGAACTTTTAAAAGATTACTATAAATAAACTCACTCCATGGCACTAAGATCCATATCAACCTCCTCCCCGGTCATTAGTGGAATCTTTTTCTTCTTATTTCTATGGAAATTAATATTTATCTTACTCTATTTTGCTATAATTCTGCCAATATTTAGAAAAGGTCCTTGTATGGTCATCTACATGTATATATATTTCAAACAAAAATATGTGATCATAGGGAATATAGTGTGCTTTTTTTCTTTATAAACATACATGTATATCACCATATTTTTTTTTTGCTGATACATGTATACTAGGAGGCTACATCTTGTTTCATTATCTTACGAACCCTAATGCAAATGCAAAATAATGGCAAAATCAAACAAAGAAACTAAAAACAAAACAAAGTACAATATATAGAAATAAAGTCCACTTGAACAAAACTTTTTAAACATTGTAAACACATGAAGTATTCCCTTTACCTCCTTATAAATGCCCAGATGGGTACTACAAATGCATATCTGCAATCACCAAATTTGAAACACAGGAAAATATAATCAGCAGTTAATGTATGATGCATGTGTTCCGTAATTTTTTTTGGTATATACATACCTTCTGCATTTTGAATGGCAAGTTATGTCAAACTTTGTCTTGTTTTCCTCAATTTTGAAGTTATGGTTGAAAGAACCATCCAATTCCTGAATAGTAACTGTCAGTGGTCCCTTGAAATAATGAAATTGACACGAATAAGTACATCCTCACAATGTCAGTGGTCCTGAGTCCACTCGAGGACATGAGACCCCTGACAAACTTCATTTAATATTTAACTGGCTGACTGTAGAGACATCTTTCTGGGAAATTATAAATCTTCATTGTTTTTCTATCTCCCGATCATATTAGCCTTTGGATGACAAAGCTTTATGTCAACAAGATGTGTTTGCAAAACACTGATGCACCCATATGGTAGCTCTTGAGAGGGTAGCTTCCCAAATGCAAGTCAAACTCCAAGGTCAAGAAATCAAAAATGTTGGTACCCAAAGAAAGGTCACAATTTAGAGAATACATCTTTGAAATATGAAAGCTCTTGCAGCAACCATTAAGAAATTATGGTCAGGGTTAAAGTTTTTCAAAAGTAGGTCAAACTCCAAGATCAACATCATGAGGTCAAAAATACTGGTACTTAAGAAAAGGCCTTGTCACAAGGAATACACCTTGTATTCCTTGTGGCAAGCCCTTGATCTTGTCACAGGGAATACATCTTGTATTCCTTATGAAAGACCTAGCACCAACCATTCAAAAGTTTATGGTCAAGGTTAAGTTTTTCAAAAGTAGATCAAACTTCAAGGTCATATTTAAAGGTCAAAATTGTTTGTACGCAAGAGAAGTTTTTGTAACAACAAGTTCACATATGAAATAAAACCCCTAGCATCAACCCATCAAAAGTTTTAGCCAAGGTTAAATTTTTCAAAAGTAGGTCAAACTCCAAGATCAAAGGTCAAAATTGTTGGTACCCAATGGAAGGCCTTGTCAAAAGGAAAACTCATGTGAAATATGAAAACCCTAGCTCTAACCATTCAAAACTTATGGCCAAAGTTAAAGTTTGTTCAAAAGTAGGTCAAACTCTAAGGTCAAAAGGTCAAGAACATATGTACCTAGGGAAAGGTCTTGTCACAAGGAATACACAAGTGAAGCATGAAAGCCCTAGCACCAACCGTTCAAAAGATGTGACCAAGGTTAAAGTTTGGTAAAATTTTGCAAAAGTGGGTCAAACTCCAAGGTCAAGGTTAAAAGCTCAAATTTGTTGGTACCCAAAGAAAGGTCTTGTCATAAGGAATATACATGAAACATGAAAGCCATAGCTCCAACCAAAAATTATGGGCAAGATTACAGTTTTTGCAGAATAAAGACAGCTAGACAGATGGACAGACAGAGGAAAAACTATATGCCCCCAAATCTTTGACAATGCAGTTACATATATGTACATGCAGTATTATCATTAACATCACACTGTTCAGATTTGCATCTGAGGAAAATTAAGCACGGAAACAAGTTTGATGTTGTTAATAAATAAAAACTACTCTGGGAACATTTCTGCATTACTTACCACATATTTGATGGACCCTTTGGCACCAAGATCCTGTTTCAACTCTAACTCTACCACATTTCTTTTTCTGTTGAACACAAAATTTCCAAAAAATCTGGCACATCCACTCTGGGACCTGAATAATGCTAATTAAGGATTCTTTATTTTGCAAATCATGGATTACCTCAAAAAATGACAAATGTACATGTATATGAAACTGAGTTCCTTAACAATGATCTCATACATCTCTGAACAATAAATGTACATGTATTTATACAAAAATACACATATACGTTTCAGTACAGAAAGGTATTTTTGTGTTTTAAACTGCAATGTACACTGTACATGTATATATTTTTGATGCATAAACATAGATATAACGGATTTAGAATTGAATGTCACTGTGAGCTCTATGTTATATGTTGAAAAAAAAAAATGAAAAAGGTGGTCTAATCTATTTACCCAAAAAATCAAAATTCCTGTTTGACAATTCTTGTATATTTCACAGGATATGGCCAGAGTTAAAACTGTGAACAGATACACAATACATGGCAAATTACAAACCAAACCACTACCTTTTAATCTCAGAAAAGAAAGAACGATAGAAGAGTTACTTCTCTCCCTGTAACTTTTTTTTTGCATATAAAAAGCAAGCATCTAAGTGTCTATAAAGGATACACCCATAGATCTAGGAAAGGACTGATGTCTTTCCCTGTCACAGTTGATATGATCTTAAGAAACTGTAAGTGAGAGGTCACATGTTCTTGTTAAGAATTTCTTGAGAACTTGTACATGTAAGTTGTTTCAAAACATACAGATATTATATGAAAAAATAACTCAAAGAGAAAACCACTTAAGAGGGAGGACACTTACAGATGATGTGGACAGGAGGAGGTTTCCCCAGGCATTGGCCCCCACTTTCTGTGAAGCTCCTGTCGAGGCCAAGGCTACTAGCTTATTAAAAACCTGAAATGGTATTAAAGCATGTAACAGCTTTTATTTCACGTGCTGTGTGACAACCATGGTTAGCTAAGAGATCTCTATTTAGAAGAGATCAGAAAAGAGTGTGCATTATTCATTTAATATCCACACTTTGTGCCTCTTGTACATGTACATAAAGTTTTACATCACAAAAAGTAATTATTCTGTAACAGAAAAGAAGGTGATTTATGGCTGAACCAGGAATCAAACCCTCGATCCCTGCATTACTGTACTCTAACCACTGAGCTATCCAGGCTGATATCCATGGTCCATATAGCCCAAACTACTGCAGTTCAATGCTTGAAAATTTCTCTCAAATTTACATGTACATCAAACTAGTACAAATGTGACAGTATAATTTTTTAATACTTATATAAATGCATGACGTTTTTTAAATGCAAGCAAAACTTTTTAAATTTGGAAAGGGGAGACCAGATATATGCATTATAAATCTATGTCAAAAAAAGTAGTGACAACATAAAAACTCTGACATACATGTTACTGTTGTTAGTGGAATATGACACACCCCTTCATTATGAACTCATCAAAGCATCTGATAACTGACCTGTATAAGGAGTTGTTCCCCTATCCTCTGCTCCAACATCCTGATAACCAGCAGAGATTTGGATCTGAAAGCCTCCATGTATCGTGGGGAGACTGTATGGGGGCTCTTGATAGAGAAGTGATGATTGGAGTCACGTTTTGTTGGATCTAACACAATTCCTCCCACTCTGTTCTCATATTCTTGGACATCTTTCAAATGCTATCAAATTGAAAATACATTATAAAAGAAGAAGTGCATTGTATGAAAAAGATAGAGAATTAAGCATAGATTTTTAAATGGTGATGCTTCTGAAAATAATAATTCTAATGAAGAAATGTTTACTTATTGATCAGAAGGATAAGAAGGATCAGAAATTATCATGATAAACATCAACAAATCTGAGCAGTTTAAAACTCATCACATACATTTGAAATTCGGAACCTGTACTCATTGTTTCCAAAAGTTTTCTTGATGAAAAGGCCGCCTAAATAACCAGAGATTCCAAGCGGCAGCCAGGCATCAGACCTGTATTAAAACATCATTTCTGATAACTCCATACAAATTCTTTTTAATCAGTTTGAATTGCATTATACCAAAAAATTATGTGCTCTCTAATAATACAAACATTTACACATTTAAAAGATATATTAATGTTTAAAATCAATTAAGTCAATCTCTAACTGAGTGAATATTTTTGATTGGTCATTGAAATAATTTCCCAACTTTAATACCCCCCACCCCCATCTCCCTCCCCCACCCCCCAAAAAAATCTAAATGTATTTCAAAGAAGAAACTTTTACCAAGTTTGCATGGCAATGAAGGTTCCAAAGAACTGTTTAGCAATGGCCTCTGCCAGGATGTTCCTTGTGGTTATGGTCTGGTCTATAATCCTGTTGGAGTGTAACAAGTTTGTGCTGAAATGGAATTAACTAGTCATTAAATGGTTGTTTAAGAACCACAAACATAAAAACATAAGAGTATTTGAAAATTGGCAGAGCCTCTTATACCATTGTCCTCACAAATGTTATATTACAATTTTTTATCTTATACATGTAAATATCATTTACGTTCAGTAAAACACTTTTTAGACCTTAAGTACAAAACAATTGTAGAGAGACCAATACTGAAGGGCACAAAGCATACATGTACATGTACATAAAACAAGAATATACTAAATTTGATCAAACTTATTTCTGAATGGCTCACATAAGCTATTTTTTTCGTTTACATTCAAACACTTCAAAAATGTCAGCAGCTTGTTAGTTTTCACCAAAATTGTTGGCTTTAAAAGACACAAAAAACAGGTCAATAAAATGAAATACACATGTATATTTAAGCAAGAAAGAACTATAAACTTTTCTTGAAAAATGTGAAGAAAGATATAATAACAATGTATATTTATTTACAAACCTCAGAATTGACAAGGTGGCATAAGAAGTAGATTCATCATAAGCTTCATCCACGAATACGTGTTTATAGCAGGAGTATGGATATCTACTAGACAACAGCTCCTCGTAAAACTCAAAAGCCTAAGAAAAAAACAGCGAAGTGTTTAGTACACACTTCTGTCTTTTACAGACATTGTAGATCTTATCTTTTAATCCTGTTACAAGTAAATTAAAGTCAGTATTCAATTTGTGACCGCTATTTGATTTCCATTATAAGTTAAAAGAGCTCAAATACAACAAAAAAATAATCACTTTCTCACATTACCTTGTGAATATAGTTTGTTGTATATTTAAGAATTTCTGACAGATGTGGTAAACAGAAGTGGGTCACTTCATGCATGTTGGGATCCACATAGATTTCAAATGGCCTGTAATGCATAAATAAATCTCACTGAGCAAATAATATTAATATTTTACTACTGTACATTTGAATACCATGGATAATCACTTTCATTCTGAACTCGCAATTTTCCATTTATCTTTCACATTGTTTAAAATTTGCACTATATGACTTATTTGCATAGCAATATATATCTGGAAGAATAACACTGAAAATGAATTGCAAACATAAAATCATATGATAATTGTGCAATCCGAAAACCTTTTAATTGTGTAACAAGAAATTCGATAACTCATCTGCAAGCATTATGGTAAAAAAAAACATATAGCATTAAAATGAAATATCAGAAAACCATATCTAGACAATCTAAATACAATGTATTTGTATCTTACAGAAAGTCAAACTGTTAACATACCCTACAGCCATTCCAATGTTAGGTGCAGATGTAGGAACTGACAGGAAGTAGTGGAACGTCTTCCTTTTTTTGTCAGTGGTTGATATCACCTCAATGAGGTCCCCACAGGTCACAGCTGTCAATTCATTGTCAACAGTCACCTCAATTTTCCATGTGCATGGCTCTGAATATGTGTCCAGACATGGGAACCATAGTCTACAGAATTCATGTAACTACTCTAATTTCACCTCTTTTCTCATGCACTGATCACTTTTTAAATTAATATTTTCAAATTACATATTGAATATTTTCTTTTATTTTCCTTTTCTTCATGATAATGTTTCTAGGAATATTTATAATTCTTCAGCAATGTACTCAACATATTGCAGAAAATTTATGAAGCCAGATGATATAAAAAAAATATATTTTTTTTTACACAGATGCATTTCTCATTTCAGAAAAAATATTTAGTTCATTTCCTTTCTTTTTGAATCATGAACATTTTACTTAAAAATTCTGTTTTGATTTTCACAAACCATGACGGTAAATGTTGACTTACCTGGAACAATTATTAAGGCCTCCAGTAAATGCATGTGGAGCTTTTTCATGAACAGGTCCTTGTATGTCTGGTATAACAAAATGCAGACCACCTTTCGGATTTTCTAAGGAAAACTCAATGCATACACGAAATGGGCGTAACTCTGTAATAATTCAATATACATGTAATTATAAAATAAGCACAATAAGTATACTAAAAAAATATACATTTTAAAAAAGCAAATGTATTTTGCATGAATTTCACACGATATCTTTCAGTTTCAGTTTATGTAAATAGCATATATGAAAACCACCTAGATTTTTCCACATGAGTTTCACCTGAAAGTTTTCAAAATAATTTCACGTGAAATTCCCTTGAAATCCTTTCAAGTAAAAAATTCATGCTAGACACATTTAGTTGTGTATCATTCAAAGTCAAAATAAAGCTTTTTCACCTGCTATATGCATGTACATTTCTGGAGGGAGACGGACAGTGATTTCTCCATTCCCATTGTCAGGATCAACGGCAGACATTGCAGAGAAATGGCAATGCTGAAAGTAATCCAGGTTTCTCCTGAAACAGAGCAAAAAGAAATATATCAATATGTTACATACCACTAAACTATTTTATTTTCCAATATGGATGCCCTCTTTTGAAGAATTCAGCATAGAAAAAAGCAATATATAAGGATGAGTATTTCACTTACTGTTTTGCATCTCCCTGGCATATTTCTAGTGTTGGGTCATTATACAAAAATTTGGCCTCATGCTGGTCATTTATAGACACATGATAAATACCTGCAACAGCTAAGGATACTTTCTATTCTATTGCTTATTATTTTTGTATTCTCAATCTAATTAATTACTCAAATTTTAGAATAAGTATTATGTCACAGATTAATTATTTGAATGATTGAAAGAAGAATGATTCAAATCAACAATCTAGTCACTATGTACTGGATGTATTTCATTCTTAAATATGCAAAGACTTATTTTCATTTTTATCATATATAATCAAAGGCAGCCATCTTAATATAAAGCTGCATGTATACGTGAAAAAAGTTCAGAACAAGTGCCTTTCTTTGCATTCTTTAAAAAGGTGAGAGGACAAAATAAGTGATATAGAAACTTGTCTACCATATGTACAATGTAGTTCAAAATGAGCTTTGAGAAATGTCAGGTAAATTATAGACAAGACTGTTGAGGATACGACACTGTTTGCTGTTAATCTTCACCCTTTTTAAATCATGTCTTAGGGGATGGATGAGAAGTTCAACATAGCCCTGAAAAACACATTAATATTGATCAATTACCTTAAGTAAGTTAAATATGAATCTCTAACAAACAAAATTTGAAATGTTGGTGTACATCACATGCACAAGAATGAGTGAAATAGCATAATATTTTGATAACCTATGACAGCTTAGAAATAACATGACTTACTATTAAGGACTTCTTCTCGAGATTTATTGCACGGATACACAAAGTCTGGTGAGCTAGAAAAAGAAACATACAGTGATATTATGAAAGTTAACTAAATGCTACCTCCTTATCTGGATGTCTTAATTGGTATCACATCATATCCTGACAGCCTCATTATCATGTTAACTTATGAGTCACATAAGTTAAAAAAATTATTTTGGCAAGTTTCAAGGGGGAGGGGGGGGGGGTACTTAAAGCTTATATTTAGAATGGTAATTCATTTGCAAGTAAAACTATTCCCTATTTCATAGCAAGTATATTACAATAATGCTTGTGCAAAGAGAAAATTACAATGCAAGTAAATATCCGCATTTACAAGGTCTAGCACAATCTTGAATTAGCTATGTAGCTTTATTAAGCTGTATGGAACACCTTGATTAAACTATCTATATGCAGTTTTTCACAAAAAATGCTTTTCATAAGAAATAAATAAAAATCGCATGTATTTGACAATTCATATATGAACCATGGATTATCAAAAAAGCAACCTAAATCAAAGTTATTTCTAACATTGTTGCTTTGGAATACTTTTAAACAAGAGAAGTATTTCTGTACTTTGAATACTTTGGGTAACTGTACACCACCTTGTGTGCACCTTGTGTGCATTGAAGCATGGATAAGTATGACTGTTTCACATTGTGCTGAATTATTATCAATAAATTATCTTGTTGACAAGAATTGACCTTCTTTATAATTTCAATCAAGAAGTAACTGTTTGGTCACAAATCAAATGCTTTATATAGCCCAAAAACTCAGAACTTTGAGTACAAAGTCTCTCAAGGAGGTGCAATTTGATGAGCAATTTTTACATGGATTGTTTTCTGAATCAGAAAAGTTCAAAGTTGAATACTTTCACAGCACCAAGGTGCAACTTTTTGCTGAAAAAATTACTTATTTAAATAAAAAGTGTTATAAAATAGCTAAACCAAGCTTAGATAGAATGATCTATCATTAAACTGATAAAAGTCCTATGGACCCAGTTTAATGACAGAATGTGTTCCGTATATGGGCAATGTAGCAAAGAAAACATGGGAGATAACTCTAACTCAGTGCATTTACTATGAAAATTTCGGAGAGTTCCAAATGTCAACATGGTGTTTTAATTTGAAACAAGTAAAAAATGTTGAGAAAAAGTTTTGAATTCTTCCATTATATGTATTAAATTTTTGGGTGAAAGATTTCCACAGTCTCAAAAAGGTTTGTTATTATTAATTTGATAGTTATTTATCAATGCAACTTTTTTTAGTTTCTCCGAAATCGTCTCAGAGCGATTCTGCAATTTTCTGCTACAATGCGGGTATTTGGGAGGCATTCTAACTGGGTGAAGGCCATATTCTGAATAGTTTAGTAAAGCAATATAGCTAATTCATGCTATATAGCTAAATCAAGAGAACAGAGAACCCTAGAGAACTCTAGAGAACCCTAGAGAACTCAAGGTTTATTTGGTGAATTCTTCTGGTTGTATGTTGGTTCGCCCTAAAACTTGTTCGCCCTTGATGCCGTTCGCCCTAATTCCCGTTCGTCCAGAGTCCGATCGCCCTAAAACTTGTTCACACAGGGTCCATTCGCCTTATTTATATTGCAGAAAGTTGAATAATGAACCAATGGATGTTTTAAATAAATTATATGTACATTGGTACATAAATTGCACATGGGAGCTAGACAACAGACTTATGCATGTGGTCACACTATAAATACCTGTCCTATCAAAGACCTGGCAGACCAACAGAAATTAACGTCTCAATCCTTTAATTGTTTTCAAAACATAACGCAGATCGTATGATCCCCTAAATTACAGTGACATTATTAAGTATAATTAAATGATTAATCAATTAAGCATGTAAAGAGCATAAATATCAAATTTGAATTATTTAATTAAGATTACGGTAAACAAAAAAAATTCTGTAGCAACATTTGAAAAAAAACACCAAGTCGTGAAATATTGAATAAAATTAATAATAAATGTTGATATTTACTATATACTGTATATATAATAGGGCAAACAAGATAATAGGGCGAACGAGATAATAGGGCGAACGGCGTCAAGGGCGAACAAGATTTAGGGCGAACGGACCCTGCGCGAACGGACTCATGCAAACAGGTAGATAGGGCGAACGAACCTGATACCCTGTTTAGTAGTACCCCTATTTACAGTATCATATTATCTTCTATCATGAATTAATATGGCTATGTTTCAGCTAGAGTAGCATTTGCTTCAGCATGCTTATCTAGGTAATTATTACTCATAAGTAAACTGTTTCTAGACATGTGTAACTAAGTAGGCTAGAAAGTAGATGTAGGCACCTGCAAATCTAGGAAAAATAATAATTACGACCTACCCAATTTATACGGCCTTGTAACATCCGACTTTCCTTCCCTCTTCATGTTTCAATGTTAAGAGTGGAAAATCAATCTTTCAACAAATCTGATTCAAGCAAAAAAAATAGTGTATATTGCATTTTTTCTGTATTTTCTTTCACTTATGTTTACATTCTGAAAAAGTGATGGACGTCGCCATTTTTTTTACGTTTATGGAAATTTTCGAATTTGGTTACTTTTCGGTAGGCAACTTACTAAAGAAAACATGCCCAGTTTTAATTATTTAGTGAATAATATTTTGATTAGACTAATCAATAAATGAGTGTATACCATTTTTTATCGTCGTTAATTAAAATACGAAAGTAAAATATTTCTAGCTTTACATATTGCGTCATTTTACCTAAATGAACTGACAACTCACCAGAGGACTATTAGGCCCCTATTGTTGCCTAATTTACGCACAGAAAACAGAGATCAGTCTTGAAACAGTATAGTGTTAGGGGAAAATGGCAAGTCCACGAACAAAAAGGGTGTTAAAGGATCTTCGACTTCAAGAAAACAATAACGTAAGTGTTCCCCGAACAAATCTGTCATTCAGTTTTCTCCACTGATTATACATGTTATAAGTCATAAGGACTTGCTCCTGGTGTTACTTCGTTTTAATTAATTTAATTAATATTCATACACGCGAGAGCAAACCCACATACTGTAAAATATACTTTGATATATCAAATTTGTACAAGTTTTTTTTTTTGTTTTAATTCCAGAATTAACATTTGACAACCCTGATATAAAGTTTTCTGGAAATGAAGAACAATATGCTCTTATTATATGAAAACAATAAATCAGTTTTAAAGGTGCTTGGACACAGATTTTAAGCTAATATTTTCTCAAATTTTCTGCATAATTTCATGACTTATATGTTGCTATAGCATTTCATACTAAAATATAATAAAAATCTTATTTCATCTCGAAGTTATTGAAACTTCAAATTTCTGGACGCGTTTGATTGACACATCCTTGCACTTTCACAAATTTTAATTTTAGTCTTAATACTTAAGAAAAGTGGCAATTTTGTTGTGTATCAATGAAAATTATTAAAACTATAATCCAGAAAAATTCAGAGTAGAAATGTTCGAAAGCAAAACCCACTCACAGTATTGTCAGTCCGTGCTCAGTGGTGTGTGCAGACTTTAACAATTGAACACACCCGGTGAATCGTATACATTAATAATAACAGAGCTCGCGCCCTGTTTACAAAAACAGTTTACGTTTCACGGGTGTATTCAATTTGTTAAACTCTGTACACAACACTGAGCAAGGGCTGACGATATTAGTGAGGGGGTTTGCTTTCGCATATTTCTACTCTGAATTTTCTGGATTATATCTAATGTTTTTCATTAATACACAAAAAATCGCTTCTTTTCTTAAATATTAAGGATAAAGATAAAATTTGTGAAAGTGCAAGGATGTGTTAATCAAACGCGTCCAGGAATTCATAGTTCCAATAATTTCCAGATAAAATAAGTTTTTAATTATATTTTTGTGTGAAATGCTATTGCAATATATAAGTCGTGATATTATACAGAAAATTTGAGAAAATATTAACTTCAAATCTGTGTCTAAGCACCTTTAAGCAAATATGAAACCATTAATTTATTAATTAATTTATTATTTATTTTTTGTCCAGAAGACAACATTTTTGGTGATTTATTGTCCACAAGACAAATTAAATGGAAATCTTGTTATGATTTTATAATTAGCCCCTTCACGGTAACTGCGGTACTACTGTTTTGCAGGGCAAAATAATAACGTTTGGCAAAGTTTTTGTTGAGAGATAATTAAATGACTATATTTAACAATTACTTTTACGTCATATTTCACCAAACTATATCATTTTGCCCTGCAAAGAGCAGTACCGCAGTTACCGTGAAACGGTCTATTGATAATATTATCAAGATACATGTATTGTATAGCATTGAATGTACTGAGATATGTATCATATCTTGAAGTCTGTGTATTGTCCCACCCCTGAATCTAGGGGTGTGATCAATGGCACTGAATGTAACAGGTGGGAAATGAGAAAATTTATGGCTGAAACAGTATTGAAATCTGGGACCCCCACATCACTATATTCAAGTGCTTCAGGCACTGAGACTTCCAGACTGAATCCCCAGTCCACATCACCCAAACCACTACATTCTCAAATCCTAGGTACATGGCACCAATTATAACAGGAAAGGAGAAAATTTACAGCTCTACCAGGAATGAAACCTGGGAGCACACTGCATTACATATTAGATCAGGGTTATTCCTAAGACCCAGGCGCCAGAGAATTTCCCAGCCTATAATGACATTATACCCCAGTTACTCTAGTATTCCTCCTCAACACCAAGTTAGGAGAGGAACCCCAGACCCCCTTCTTCTTTTTGAATGTCCCCTGCTGCTTCAATTCTTAGGGCAACCCTGCAGATGCTTTAACTACTGAGCTATCCAGACCGATATCCACAGTCCATATAACTCAAACCACTACACAAAAAAACATTATGAAAATGATTTTTTAAAGTAAATTTCTTGGTATCTTGAAAAAGTAAAGGAATTTCACTATGATATCGCAGTTGATCTGAGTCCGAAAAATCCATCCTAGATGATCCTACTTTAAAAGAAGAAATATTCATTGGGGGTCGGATTAGATTTATATATATATATTTTTTATTTTGTTTATAACATATAGCAACTAAGTAATATCTCTAATGAAATTTTTAATATGACTGTATATTAAGTATGGTAGGGTTACTTTTAAAATGATAAAAAATAAATTAAAATAATACTTTAAAACAATGAAATTTAAAAACTCCAAATCCATTTAAATTCATTAATCAAATGGGGGAGTGAATGGGGGGGGGATGTCTGTTTTTGTTTGCTTACTTGTTTTCTTCTTTTTCTTTGTTTTGATGTGTGTATATAGATGCAGATAATGTAAAGTTGATAAAGTTATTGATATTATTTTGCATCTTAATATACATTAAAACAGTTTTTCTCTTTTTCTATATTAACAGAAATGCTTTGAATGTGGTGCTCACAATCCCCAGTGGGTAAGTGTCAGCTATGGAATATGGATATGCTTAGAATGCTCAGGAAAACACAGAGGACTGGGCGTACATCTTAGGTATTTGTATTTGTATTTTTAAATATATCTAATTTTATTCTGATTTCAGAAAGAGTTTTTTTCTATTTTATGCTCTTTTAATATACCTTTAAATGCAGTTCTTGTTCTAATGCATCATTGTGCTCTATTTTCAAAAATTAATGCCATTATGATTCTTAATTTTGTACATAAATAAACTATTGACTGTGTAGTAGGAAATGGAGAATATACCGGTATATGGCTGGACCTGGACTTGAACCTGGGACCCCTTTATCACAAGTCAGGTGCTCTAACCACTTAGCTACCCAGGCCGATATCCACGGTCCATATAGCCCAAACTACTACAACTGCATAAATTATAATTAAAATGTCAGTTTATGCATTTAAACTGACTTGTAAAGTAGAACTGTCTAAAAACCTAAGAAAAGCCTAAAGTTAAAATTGTATATTCAAATTTTTTTGCATAAGATTAGGAACTTTAAGTTAAGTTTTCAGACAATAGATACTCTAAGTGAAAGAAGAATTTATATCTGAATAAACACAGCATAGTGATGCTATGCAGGACAATTACCTGGCATTTGTTCAGGAATATTTCGTTGTATATTGTCTTTGTTGTTATTAACAACAAAAATTGGATGTAATTAAATTTCATTATCCATATTCTTTGTAAGATCATACACATCCTTTTAGAATATTATTACTTTTATCATAAACATAGTTTTTTGCTTACCAGATTTATTTTTCATCAGACCATATACATGATTCTTATATGTATTTTTTTATTACATAATTTGTCATTTATTTTAGTTTTGTAAGGTCAGTATCTATGGACAAATGGAAAGATTCAGAGTTAGAAAAAATGAAAGCAGGAGGAAACCAGAAAGCTTTGGAATTCTTCCAGTCACAGTCGGATTACTCTGCTGGAATGTCCATACAAGAAAAATATAATTCCAGAGCTGCCGCATTATTAAGAGACAAGGTGGGATAGTATTGATAAGTTATCAAAGTATGAGAATACTACAGTGATCCAAGTTTTTTAGAGAAAGGGAACTGAGCTTTTCATATGTCAATATTGTCATAGTGTTACAAGATACTGCTTAAAGCAGTACTGTGATCTTTTCATGTTATGAAACTTAAATGCATACTAGCCTTGAGGTCATTAATTCAGAATTGATATAGTTACTCCAAAATTACTTTTAATTAAAACTTCTTGGTCCTGCTGAAAATTAACTACAGTTGAACTTCGGTATCTCAAACTTTGATATCTAGAATACCATGGATATATAAGTGAGTTGGATGTCAAAACCACTATACAATACATGTATCTATATGTATTTTAACCTCAATATCATGAATCCCCAGATATCAAGAAGTTTGTTCTCCATCCTATTGAGTTAGTGATAACAAGATTTGACTGTGGTTTTGGGCTAATTAGCTGACCTGAATATTGTTTACATAAATAAAATATCAATGGTGATATATTTTCTCTGTGTTCATTTTCAAAGTAATGAATGTTTTCCTCATTTACTGATTAATCAAGCAATATTAGTTGAAATAAAACAAAAATCAGTGCTCTATTACATTCTAAATGGATCAGAGGAAGTATACGTTTTAATGTTTAACAAATACATTTATAGAAATTCTTACAGCAAAAATAAATAAACATTTTTTTTTCCTGTATATAACAGATAACAACAATAGCAGAAGGGAAACCCTGGAGTATAGCAACATCTTCAGCTAAAGACTATGTAGCATTTAAACCCCGAAGTTCCCTGCCAAAATCCTCTAGTTATACCCAGAATCACTCCAATGGTTACAACAACTTTGGTGCTGATGAAAGTTACCAAGATAGCTATCAAGATGCTGAATTTTACAAAAGGTGAGTCATTTTTGTGTACAATTAAAAACTGGAAAGAAAAATTCATTTAATATGTTGTATGTGGCAGCATGTTACTGTTAGTCAAGGATTTTTTCTATAGATAGCTGAATGCCTGGTGATTTGATCACTTTTAAACTTTGCATAGGGAATGAAGCAAGGTGTTAAACTGTATGTTAAAGAATTAAATTTCTCTTTTAAATCAATTTTTCAGTGATAGCTTTAAAAAGAAGAGAGATGACTTCTTTGATCGACAACAAAGAGAAAATGCTGCCAGACCAGAGTAAGTTCACTGAGTTATCTTTCTTATGTTGGGAAAAACTGAAGCAGGGGTATTTTTGTTTCCCTACTTTTGCAAAAGAACAGAAGAAGAAAACAGAATGAAAAAATATTATCCTATCCACAGATAACATAAGCTTTTAAAACGATGTTTTAATAGATTTTAATGGGAACTTTTTATTACATTGGCCTTGGTATTACGATATTTTTCCTTGACAAAATGGACATCATGATAATGAAACCCTACTGTACCCAGAGGCCTGTAGGAAGCAATTTTAGTTTGGGGGTTGGGTGTACAACCAAACATTTTCGGGGGGGGGGGGGGGGGGGGGGGGGGCACTACCAAGCAAAAATTCCTTTACAAGCAAAAAGTCATCATCATATGTTGTTATTGAGGAGGCATAAGCATAAAGTAGTTATGTTTTCTATACTATATATTTATCAGAAAAATTCCTGAAAAGAAGCCTTTGCTCTTTGTGACAAATAGCAGCCTATATACAAATATATTACATAATTTTTTTCTCATTTACAGAAATCTACCTCCTAGCCAGGGAGGAAAATATGTAGGATTTGGAAGTAGTCCTGCTCCCCAACCAAAGGGTGATGACTTCTTTGACTCAACTCTTTCATCACTATCTTCGGTAAGAAACAAAATTTTGTAATTTTAAATCTTAGACAGTGAGACATGTCCACACAGTATAATTCAATTCAATTCAATTCAATTCATTTATGGACCAATTAAGGGCCCTCATGAGGCAAAAAGAAAGTACATTGTTAAAATGTATGTAATGATTATGATCATACACACAAAATACAATATACATATACATAAGAGGGAAAGAATTGCTTGATTGATAGAAAAGACATACAAGTAGGGGAATACCCAAAATATTTTATATGAACATAAGACTTGTTTTATAGGTATATATACAGTACATCATATATATATATGCATACATTACTAAACCATATACTTGAAAGTATCATACTTTTACATAATTAATAATAATAAAAAAAAAAAGTTACATTCCTAAAATATATGGTAATGTTTTTTGTAAAAATATATATATTGGTCATGTCCTTCATAGCATCAGTTCAATTCAAAATTCAAAATGCTCAAGTACGTGTTTTGTATTTTAGGGATGGTCATCATTTACACTAGGAGCAAGCAAATTTGCTTCAGCTGCTTCTGAAAAGGTATGTGTCTGGATTATTTTACCATAGATGAGGGGTTCACTGAAACATTTGGGTTATCAGAATTAAAATGACTATGGTATCTTTAAACTTAGTCAACTATTAGTTAAATAGAGTGGGGTCTCCACATTTCTCTTTCCAAAAATAGGCTTTGCACAGATCATTATGTTGTAAAAGAAATCAGCATCTGAAACAAGAATTTAAAAGGAATGAAAGGAGATCTGTGATTTGCTCATGTTCAGGAAAGTCATGGTAAAAGAAAGGACTTCTGAAAAATAAGATTTGTTTATCCATTTAAGTTATCCACTTAAATAAGAGTTAATTTTGGTGTGATCCAATTTATTCCAAAAGAGCCCCCATCTCTCTTTCTCTCTCTCTCTCTCTCTTTAAATGCTTCTGGTGCTTACTAACCAAGTTGCTTTACTGAGCCACCACAACAGTCAAAAACTGTGTCTTCTGTATCAAAAGTTCAATGATTTCTGTGATGTTTAACGTTATACAGTAAATCATGATTAGAGTGAAGTTTCAGGACAAATTCATAATAAGCTTGTTCACTATATCTGTGTTTTACTATATTGGAAACTGATACTTATTGTGTAGCAGCAGCACAAGTCAGTGGTTATGTCTACATAATTTTGTTGTTACAGAAACAAAATACATTGCACACCTTAATTATTACAAAATGATATCTAAGGCTGCCCAATAATTTTTTGGGGGGAAGGGGGATATTTCAATGTGATGTGTGCAAATCAGAGTTAATGGTATATCTGGTTTATTGACCATGTAGTAGTTACATCTATGTAAGCATGTAATACCCCCCCCCCCCTTTTTTTTGTGAACTTCTGAACCAAGACTCTCTGTATAAAATTCAGTATTTCTCCATGTCAGCATTAATACACATCATAAATATTTCTCAAATATGGTAAAAACAACTCCAGTAAGTAATATTTCAACTATCTTTTATTAAAATCAATCACTTTAGGTGATTTTCACTGACATGCAGTGGATATCTAATTATAAAATCTAAACTTTTTTCCTGGGGTATATATAAGCAGAGGCTTATGAATTACATTGTATATTGATTTCCCCAGCTGTAAATGTCTTGATATTTCATGCTACATTAGATGTTGTTAGTTTATGAAGAATCTCTCTAAAATGCACACTCATTTTATTATACCATGGATGTACAAAGTACAATACATACACATAGTACATGAATTTATAAAAATACTTTGTAGAAGTGGCTTTCATAACTGAATTAAAGCTTAAAAACATTGCTTTTATGTCATAAATTGTTTTAGATATTAAAAAAAAAAAGAACAAGAAAAAATTATAGGAGGAGTAAGCATCCCCTGTCGACAAGTCACACCTGCCTTGAGCCCTATGTTTTGATCAGGTAGATGGATTAATCCATAGTCAAATATAGTATAAAAATGAAAGTTTAACAATTAGTATATGTCAGTCAAAATACAACCCAATGATATCAGTAGGTTGTATTTGCTAATAAGGTCATTATAATGACTAAAAAATTTACAAAATGCTGACTTTGAATGAAGTTGTTGAAATTCCTGTAACATCAACTTATTTGTCAGTAGACTGCCTTGGCTTAAAAGTTGATCATCCTCAAAGGATCAGAGCATGCTCTGGAGTACATGTATTAAATAAGTTGGGAGACATCAACATATTTAGGTGATAGCAGAATATTACAACATAAATCAGGGGGAAAATAGCTGAAGTTGTCTCATTTGTCATTCATTTTAGTTGTTAGTAAGCCATTATGATAGTCAGTAAAAATCCAAATGAAAGGTGATAATACAGTGCATGTAATGAAGAGCATATGCCTATTTTAGCTCACCTTGATGAAGTTGAGTGGAGCTTTTGCTATACCCTTGGCATTGGCATCATCATCGGTGTTGGCGTTAGCATTCCGGTCCTGTTAAAGTTTTAGGAGCAAGTCTATTCCCAAGTAAATGTAAGCCATAACTAGACTAAACTTACATGGATGATACATCTAGGGATGGACACCAACCAATCTGCTTCTGATGCTGGATCTGACCTACATTTTCCACATAAGTGACCAGGTTAAAGTTTTTGGAGCAGGTCCATTCCCAAGTAACTACATGCCCTACCTAGACCAAAATTGCATGGATGATGCATCTAGGGATCAACACTACCTGATCTGCTTTGGATGCTGGATCTGACCTATACATTTTCCAGATGAGTGACCAGGTTAAAGCTTTTGGAGCAGGTCCATTCCCAAGGAACTATAAGACCTACCAGGACCAAACTTGCATCCTCTATGGATGAACACCAACCAATCTGCTTCAGATGCTGGATCTGACTTACATTTTCCTGATGAATGACCAGAATAAATTTTTTGGAGCAGGTTCATTCCCAAGTAACTTTAAGACCTACCGGAACCAAACTTGCATGGATGATGCATTTATGGATGCACACTACCTGATCTGCTTTGGATGCTGGGTCTGACCTATATTTTCTATATGTGTGAATATTTGCCCTACCTGAACCAAACTAGCATGGATGATGAATCTAAGGATCGAACTAACAGACTTGCTTTCTGATGCTGGATCTGGCCTATATTTTCCAAATGACTGACCAGAGTATCATTTTTGGAGTAGCTCTATTTATAACTATATGGCCTGTTATGAGACTTGCATGGTTGATGCAACAAGAGATGGATATTATCAGACTTGCTTCAGATGTTGGAACTAACCTACATTTTATGGATGAGTGAACAGGTAAAAGTTTTTGGAGCAGGTCCATTCCCAAATACTGTATATTAAGCAGAAAATTTAGAGAGAATTCAATTTTGGCATTTTTAGCGAGGGTGTTGAGATCGATAAAATAAAATATCACTAACAATTTATTCCGCATTAGAAGTAACTGTTGTCTTTCTATGCATCATAAAATCACTAAAATTACTTCTCACCAAAATTAAATACTGATTTTTAAGGACAAATCACTAGATTTGCATTTGGCTAAAAATTCCACTTATACGGTAACTATATTTAATACTTAAATCAAACTTGCATGGATATTGATCTCAGGATGCACACAAAGTAGGAAAAAAAATGATGTGATATTTGCCTTACTTATGGATATCATTCATCAAGGTGAGCTTCGTAATCTTTACCTATGTTTTTAAAATCAAAGATGCAAAAATCTTGTATTATATAACAACTATATAGAAAGTTTCATTATTTAATGGATAATGAACTGAAGAGTTTAAAAAAATGTGTAATGTTTAATCAAAAATGACTTGTTTTCATTGATGCTCTTTTTAGAAATCACATGGATATAAAATTTCAGATTGTGAAGGCTTTACAGAATATTCTAACTGTGTCTCAGGACAAGCCCTCACCACAGTTAAATATGTCCCATATACTGTAGTTGCAGTGGAGCAGATCTGCTCCGGCATGGTTTTAAAAAATACAAAAGAAGTTGCACTGAAAAGAACGACCAAATTAATCATAACAGACCTTTTTGAGTTTGTATATGCCTTGTACTCTATAAATAATCCATATAAAGAAAAAAATCAACACATTTTTTTTACTTTTTCCCTCATTTCAATTTACATGCCATGTTGACATTTTGAACTCTGGATTGTTCATAGTATAATATTTACACTCAGCATGTATTTTGCTTGTAAAGTGTGAGGAAAGCTATGGCATTTAAAACACCATAACATGGACAGAGGGTCAAAAGGTTAAAGTATGCATTTTATTTTGATGTCACAAACGTTGAATGCCATGGAAGTGCAACGTCAAAAGCGAAAATCAAATTCACACTCACATTGAACAGAAGCTGTTGCAACGGCTCTTCCATTAATTATAACTTACGCGAAGGATAATACAGGGATTTTGAAATAAAAATCAGATTTGCAGTCAATGCAAGGAGTTAAAAAAATGTAAATATAAGTAATATATAAATATTTTTTGAAAGATATAGTCTCATAACTGCAACGGTCTGTGCAAATAAATTTTCATAACATGCTAATGCGCATTACTCAATTTGTTTGCACACACAATTGCAATTATGAGACCATATCTTTCAAAAAATAATGATTCAATGCTTAATTGTATATGTTTAGATTAGAATTATATGCTCCTCATTATTTTGCTTGGTTCTTATATACTTTGCAATATTTCCTCATTGTAGGACAACACACACACAATTCTAGTTCCTGTGATGCAAATCTTTTAATGTTTCAATAAATCTGTTATTTTGCCAATTTATGTTGAAATTGTAATGAATAATATTAATTTCAGCTTATGTTCTTATGGTTGTCTACAAGATTTTTACCCATGTACTGTTAATGAAACTTTGCTCTTTTGAAATTTGGTTACTGCACAGTTTGCTTAGGAAGCATATGTGCATTGAAATAGCAAGTCACAGCTAGGTCCTTAAAATACAGACAGTGTATTGTCATCAATATTGATTCCTCTCAGAACCTCATTATCTTGGCTACAAAATTTGCTTCATCTTATATTTCTTTTATCTTTGTATTTTGATGATGAGATCAATTACGTATTTAATTTCTAATTTCTTTGAGATTTTGATACAAAACTGTTCCACAGAAAAGTATTGATTTTAATTTTTATATATAAACCTCATTTTTGTGTCGCCTGCAAAGCAGAGCTGCAATAAGGGGTCACTTGACCTAGCGCCTGTCTGTTTGTCTGTCCACCTGTCACACCTTTTATCTTGAGAACTGTAAGAGGTATGGATTTGATATTTCACACATATATTGCTTAGCACTATATAGTTTAAAATTTGTATAATACCATGGTCATGGCCCTTGAACTTGACATTTGACCTTACTTTTCAAAATAGTTCATAGTGCTAACATACAGCATATTTTTGACACTTAAGAGGTAAGTCTATGCTATTTAGCATGTGTGCTGTTTGTCATAAAATGCTTTGAAACATATCACCATTACAATCCTGACCAATTGAACTTGACCCTTGAAAAATATTTTGGACAGTTTAATTAAACTTGTGTATTTTGAATTTGAGAGGCAGGGTTTTGATATTTTGTATGTTTGTCATAAAGCACTTTGAAAAATACCAGTGTTATAGTCCAATGGACCTTGACCTTTGATCTACTTTGCAAAAATACTCTGGATGGTTTAGATAAACTTACTATTTTGAATTTGAGAGGAAGGGTTTTCATATTTTTATACTTGGTATGTTTATGAGCTCATGGCACTGTACTTTGAAACTGTATGATATACAATTACCACACAAACTGTTGCCCACGTGGTGCAGTGGTTAGAGCATTCGCTCTAGAGTCGCAGAGTAAGGAGTTGATCCTTACATCGCAGGTTCGAATCCTACTGGGGGGGACACATAGACTGGTCCTTGGGATGAGAACGAATAAACCGACGTCCCATGTCGCAGTAGGTGCTGGCACGAAAAAGATCCCTCACTGCTCAATGGCCCTATAGGTCAAAATTTGTAGATCTCCATCGGCAATTGGTGGTGTCTCCATATGAGTGAAAAATTCTCGAGAGGGACATTAAACAATAAACAAACAAGCGAAGCACACAAACTAAAATTTAAATACTTTAGAAATACACCTGCATCAGTATTCCAAAATAGATCATGAAGACTGACAGTTGGAGTTAAGACTCAGAGTTGACAATAAAAGCAAAGTAATACATTAAAAGATACATTAAAAGGGCAATTAATGTATGATTGCAAAGAATCCCTTTGTCTTATATGCAGAAAATTGTTGTCAGTGTGAAGTTGAAACCTTGTTATATGTTGATCACTTAATCACAGGATCTGGGGAAAACAGGCAGTATTTGTATTGATTTTTTAGACTTAGTCAGCCCCCCGAACTCCCTTGATCAGACATGTGGCAGATGGTTCACTCGTAGCTTAAGTCTCTGCATTGGCTGGTATTTTGTTGGCTGAAAGAAAGATTTTTTTAACAAACTTGAAGTTAACTTGACATTTCAGGTAAATGTTACATTAACAATGTATTTTTATTGTTCAATATCTATAACAGATTTTGCGTAATTTTTTTTATGTGAAGATTTAAGTAGACTGACAGCTTTGGTTTTATGAGAGAAGGATCATTTATTTCATTAGTGGTGATTATTTGGTCTCTTAGATCTTATTTGTTTCCATGGTGATTAATAATTATTTATGGTGACAGAATTATATGAAAATAGGGTTACCGTGATTTATACTGGATCTTCCAAGTTTGAGATCAGGTAATCTACTCCTTCTAGAAAATGTGTGCATATTTTCCTACATAGAAAAAAAAGAAGATAAAAAAGGGGGGAAATGCACAGTAAATATTCCAAAAAATGTACTTTATTCTTTTTGGTCAGTTGTTGATGTCATTGTTGTATTGATCAAGGGAGAGAGAGAGAAGATCTGGTATTGGATTCAGTTCCTGCTTCAATGTGTACTGTGAATTAATTGATGCCAAAGTTTTCAATTTTTTTTTCTTTAGATGAAAGATGAAAATTTTTTTACATAGTTTGCACCCCCAAGTCCTGATGATCTGATTACACATTCATATGAACATTGATGTATTTTATAGTAACCGAAGAATGTCTGTGATGTAATGCTTTTGTATATATATAGAAAGAGTGATTTATCAATAGTATTTGAGAGAGTTAATAAACCCATCAATTATTCTAATCAGGAGAAAACCAGCTTAGTTTTGTCATCTGTACTACCTAGAACAGAAAAAAATGTCACAGTTACTGTTAAGGAAATCTGCAATGTGTAAGGGATCAATGTCTATTTACATTCTAGAAATATTCATGATTTTGACGACCTTACTTTACTCGCAAATATTTTCCTCCTCGAACTATTTATTTTATGAAATTATTTCTATTTGTACTTATGTAGAATATTTCCTTAGTCGCAAAAATTTAGTCACTAAATATAAATTCAAACTGACAAATCGAATATTAGCAAATAATAGTTGTCAGGAATAAATAGAGATGTGAGATTTTATCGGTATATACCACAATTTTTTATTGCATGATACGTATCATGATACGGAGACTAAAATACCGGTATTTGGTACATAATCATAAATTCCGTAAATTATTCATTTTTTGTTTAAACTATAAAATAACAATTACAGGAAGTGTAAAGAATGTTAAAAAAAGTAAACAATGGAATCCAAACATGCTTTATATTATAAAAATAAAAAATTTAAAAAGTGAAGTCATGTTTTCATAGCATCTTTGTAAGAAATATTATGCAAATTATTTGGAATTTCTTGTAAAAATTGTGTGTAAAAAATATCACAATATTATCATGATATTCTGGGGAAAAAATCGTGATATATCACGATATGAAATGTTAGGCGATACCCATCCCTAGGAATAAATGTTGGCTTACAGTAACAGATGCTTTTAATTTCTGTAAATTTTGTTATTTTTGGTCAAATGGTTGTCTAGTTCTGCTTTTTGTACTTCTCCCTTTTATACAAGACCATAATCATTTGGCTGTTTGAGTTCCATTCACAGAAATTGTTTTGTATCATTTTGAACTTTAGAACAGTTAATTTATAGACATTCGTTCTAACAAAGGATGAACTTAAGGGGAAAAACCTCAAAATACAGGTTAGCTACTGAGACAAAAAGCATGTTCACTGTGTGGTAATTAATTGAAATACTGCATGTATATAGCCTGCATAAAATACTTGGGTTATGCGTAGGAATGTTTGTTAATTTTGTTTATTAGTTGCAGGAAATTAAAAGGCAATCTAATTGAATGGAATACCAAAACATCTGAGACCTCGGGGAATTTAGTCAGTGCATCTGATGCTGCATTCCAATAAGTTAGAGTATTTTTTTATTGCTCTGTATTGTGGATTTCCCAGAGTACAGCAGGACATATATGTTGGAATAGGATGTAGTTATTGTTTGATTATCAGGGTTAGTTAGACAAAGACTATGCTGGAATTTATTTTCCCTTTAATATGCAAAGCAGAATGATCTGTTTGGTTCCATTGATATTCAACAATTTATAATTACCTTGCTGTGTAGTACCGGTATTAGTGAATGCATCTGCAGAGGAAACAAAGTCAGGAAAATATATGTACATACCTCAAATGTATACTGGATTGTAATGCTTAAAAAAATCTTGGTATTTTTGGTGTCTTTACTGTTTAACAGTAAGACTCTAATTAAAAGATTTAATTCCTTTTGTCTGTGGTGGATCTAGCATTTTTTCAGCTGAGTGTGTAAAGTAGATATGTATTGTATAAGGCAATACTATTAAAGCACTGGTCCAGACAGGGTGCAATCCTGTAAATTATAGCATAAGACAAATCTACTGCTCCGTAATGCACTACCTATAGCCCTCTTATCAGCTTGATCTTTAATACTGGTTTTTGGCTGAAAGATCTAGCTTGCAATATATATACAATACACTTGATGTACTGGATTTTATTTTTAATTTTTTTTACAGGCTGTTAAAGCTGCTGGTGTTGCCTCTAAGAAGACTAAAGAGTTTGGACAAACAGTTAATGAATCTGTTATAAAACCCACAAAGGAAAAGGTCAGTTAACCCTTAGAAGTATATTTTCTGTTGTATAGATTTTTTTTTCATGCTCAGAGGTGCCCTGGTTTTTTGTTGTTGTTGTTTTTTTTTTTTTCAATAAATGGGTAGTATTTAGTAGTTAAATAATATGGAAGATTTATTTGATGTACATAATTATGTAGATTTCAGTTACTTTATTTCGGTTATTTGTTTCTGAACTCTTTTTTTATTTTTTATGTTGTCCATTAAGTGTATGGATGTTGATTAATATTGTAATGTACGTAGGTTAAAGAAGGTAAAATTCTGGATGATGTTTCAACATCTATGTCCAGTTTTGCCACTAGAGTAAGTATGTCACGTATTTGAACTTATCAGGTTATTGTTTGATATTTATTTTACCTTTGTAGCCCCTTTGATTTCCTGCTTTTAGACCATCTGTTGCACATTTACCTTTTAATATTCTTGTTTATACATACTGCCTTCTCTTAGTGCTAATTTTGCTAATACGCTAGGAAATAAATCCATGCTAACATTTCAAGTTGTTTAGTGAACTGTAAATATTAGTCCATTATTGGTGAAACCAGAGGGAGTATAAGTTTTACGTTCATTGTCCACCATCTTTTTTACCTTTATTTTTAGAGACTGGTTTAAAATTCAGTCCAATATTGTGTATAAGAGGAATTACAGTTCAAACTTTAATTTCAACATGGGATTTCAATTTTTTGTTGGAATTATTTAGCTGTGTATTCAAGAGAATTCAAGGATTATTTTTTCAGATAAAACTTTGAAACACTGGATAAGGATTTGTTACCCTGATATTATACAGTAATGTACAAATATTGACTGGGGTTGAGGGCAACATTGGTTATGATAGCCCCCAAAAGATGAAATATCTGCAGATCAGAGGGCAATATTTTCATCCTGAGGGGGATTAAATAATCAGTGTTGCCTGAAATTTCAAAACACAGTCAGTAATTGTTTTGATATATGAAAAACATTAAAAAAAAAAAATCAGTAAAATAGTATTTTGATTTCAGTCATGAACATTCAACAACACATCTCTTTGCCAGTTAATAGTGAAAATTAAATGATCATCAATATTTTTTTAGAGGAGTTAAAATAAATTATGTTGACTGTTTCTCTATATTAGAGAATATAGACACTTTTCTTTATTGAATATGTGTACTAAAAGAGGTGCAGATTAAGGTGTCTCATACATAAACAGAAAAAAAAAATTAACAGTCATATATTAAAGAAAATGTGTAAATATTCCAGAGATCAAAGTAAAAGAAGAAGCTTTACCAAGAGTTTTATATATATATATATATATATATATATATATATATATATATATATATATATATATATATATATATATATATATATATATATATATATATATTTGTATATATATTATCTCCAAAAAAAAAAAAATAGATACATGTATGTTCAAATAATTTAACATAGTAGTGTATGGGCAAAGTATAGTATCATTTTCATTGATAAAAAAATAAGAGTTAAATTTGCCAATGGAGAGAAAAAACAAAAACTCTATTCAAGAGATCCATAAAAATATTCCTTATAATTTGAATGTATTAAAATACTTGGGTCACAATGCAAATTTAGGAGAAATTAATTTACTTTTAGATATTAGATAGATTCAATATCCTAGCTGGAATTAATGACGTGGTGCTTTTTTCTAAATACACTGTATCACAAATCTCCTTGCAGTAATATATGGGCTTACATGCTGAATTGCATTCATTATTGAAGAAGCATTTATGATAAGATAATTTTACCTTTAGCTTGCAAAGCTGAAAATTAATGTCTCATGAACCTCAAGTAAAGTGCAGCTTCATGTACCCTGACATCTTAAAGCAATTTGTGGTACTTTAGATTCATTGATTTTTAGCTCTGAATAGCTCACCATGAAGTTGGTGTCAGCGTTTCAGGTAAAAGTTTGGAACAGGTCCATGCTAAAGGGCCAGACTGGACCGCACTTGCATGTTTGACACGTTTAAAGATACATTCTAACTACCTTGCCAAAGATTATGCAAGTGACGTGTATTTTTGGATGTTTAATGAGAAATCCTATAAAATGACCTCAGATATAATTAATGGATTTCTCTTTACATTTATGTTGTATGAGACTTTTCCATAATTATAGATAACATTTGTATAGGTGAGACTTTTCCATAGTTATAGATAACATTTGTATAGGTGAGCTTTGCGATCTTTTGATGACCTTGTTTCAAAGTTTTAAGATCATTTTTATGACTATTAGAAGATAACCTATATGTTTCAAAGTTTTTGTAGATGAGTTTTATGGCTATTAGAAGATGAGTATATTCTAAACAGAAATCAATATACATGTATCTTGATTCAAAGTTAGCATAAGATTTTTCATGATAAGATTTCAAAGGCCAGTTCAAATTCTTTTTTTTTTTATTTTGAGACAGGATATAAAAACTGGAGCATAAAAATAAGCTATTGATTTTCCGAGACAAAAATTAAGTAATTCAAGTTTTCTTGCTGCAGACATGAAACGTCACGAGTGATGCGAGTCATTAGTGTTACATAAGACTCTGCTTCAGCAGGTTATAAACATTCAGTGACAGTTTTTAAAATGTTTTAGGTTAAAGAAGGTACCTTGATCAACGACGTTGGGACGTCCATGAGTGGGTTTGCAGCGAAGGTTAGTGTTCAGATTTTAGACAGATGGATTCAGTGCTATTGGTTTATACTTTTTGAAGCATTAAAGGAAAGCTAACAAAAAAGATAATTTGAATACTGGTATTATTTCAGAATGTGACATGCTGAAGATTTCTTTTTTTTTTTTTTTAATAAAATTCAAATATTTTAAGGATCTTTTTTTTTATGAATAAAATGTAGTGCATGTATGTATAATGAAATGTGATAATGATGATTTTTTTAGATAAGCTCAAAGGGGTGGAGCAATTTTTCCTTGTGGGGTGATGCTAAATCCCCGACAGGTGGCCCCGGAGAGAAGTCTTCACTACTCAAGGATAAGTCATCTAACAATGAGTAAGTTAAAGAACCATTTTTAAAATATGGATGAAGATTGTATCTTAGAACAGTATAGCGAGGTGCCAAGGACAAACAATTTTGTTTCGTTGTAAACATAATTTGTTATTTCTGACTAGTTTACAATACATTTTAAAACCATGGGGAATACATCGTCGCAAACCTCAGCCAAAATGTACCCCATTCAAAAAAAGCTCTCTCCCATTCTGGGAGAGAGCTATATGCAGACTCCAGACCATGACTTGAGATGATGCAGGGAATGAAACTCACTTCCCTGTTAGCATAAATTCATTATATGCGTGTTCACTATAACCATGTTTTACAGTAATAATTGCAACAATGTGTACTTTTAAAGAGATTTCATACGAGATTACTGTGATGCTGTTTGATGATATTTTAAAATGGACTACTTAAGAATTGACTGATTACTTGATATGAATAAAACTAATTTACAGTAAAGGGACAAAAAAACATCAATTTTGTTGAAACTTGTGTTAAATTTTTTGAACTAGATGTAAAGCAGTATGTAGAGAGCATACATGTAGCTTATTCATTAAAATACTTCTGTTAATCAGTCATTTTGTTTATTAATGCTTTAGCGACCCCAGTGAGAACAGTTTGTTAGATAATGAAGAGGATGATTCTTGGGGTGGATGGGAAGAACAGAACTCCTGGCAAAACAACAAGGAACCTCAAAACAAGAAGAAAAACAAACCTCAAAAGCTCAGTGAGGAAGATGAATTTGAGGCCTGGTTAAACGATGATCAGCCTCTTCAGTCATCAAAAACAAAATCAAAAAGTAAAGATGGATGGGATGACTGGGGAGAAGACAAGACAGACAAAAAGACGAAAAAGTCGGACAAAAATGTGAAAAAAGGGGGAGAGAAATCAGTAGGAGGGGATGGATGGAGTGATGTGAACTGGGAATCAGACTTTTCTTCCCCTCAGAAGCAGAAAGAACCTCTGGTGGGGAATCTGTTGGACTTTGGTGAGGTGGAGACGGGGGGAACCTCCTCGGGCTGGGACAATGAGGTGTGGGCCGAGGAGGAGGACAATGAGGATGCTTGGCAGAGTCTAGAAGAAAGCTCCAAGTTAAAATGATTGTAGTTGTAGATTTAGGATTTTGAATATGCTCTGTGCCAGTATTGTAATATTTTAAGACACTATCTCAGCATCATTAAGAGGTATTTACATGTACATTATCCTACACATCTTATGTCAAATTCTGTTCATTTATTAGGATCTTGTGAGTTGTTTGTCCTCATGAAATTACCATATGCTTTTGCAGTATGCTTGGAAATATGCTTTGAAAAATAACTAAGGACCATATTTGTTATCTGTTAACTTTGTACTGAATTTAAAAAAAAAAAAACAAAACTGATATTTAAGAGATACATACATTTCAAACCAAAATCCAGATTACAATCAATATGCCTGTAAACAGATTTTATCTGTTTATATTTATGAATTGTATGCATATACAATGTGTTGTTCAAATTCTCCACTTAAGTCATTTTATTGTCATTTTAATGCAGAATGAGAAATTGCATGATGTATAAGTGGTCTCAGATAAGACAACTGTGCAATAATTAAGATTATGTGTGATAAAAAAAATGTTTATTTATCAGACAGGGGTGTGAATGTGAAGTGGACTTTTTTTTTTGGGGGGGGGGGGGGAGTAGGCACAGAAGCAGAATTCATAAATTGGTTGATTGTTACACAATGATAAGTCAGCAATTTGTATGATGTTAGGGTTAGTCATTTGGATATTACCGGTATTTTCTTATGTATATTACACATCTGGGAAGTAAATAATATTGAATACCCACAATATATACCAACTTAAAATATGTTGTTGAAAAGTATATATTAATTCAAAAAGGAACTTCCTGGAAAGAAAGTGAAACATTGTCAGTGACAGTGTATTTTTAGATGAATAATTTTGGAAAGATTTTCTACAATTCTTGCTGAGTTTAAGATAATGTACTAAAAATTTGGTTGAAAAATTAATCTCATTTTAGTTTAGCATGAGTGTGCTTTTCTTTGAATTCAGATTTATTGGTTTTGAAGCTGTAATGAGTTATAAGCACCTTTCATTTTTTTAACTTGGAAATGGAAAAAAAAAATTAGCTACCAAAAATGACCTGTGAATCATATGTAGGTGACAGCGTTTGTAAAAAGCTGTTTTTTTTAAAAAAGAAATTTGTTTTGAAATTTTTTCAACAAATGTTACATTTTGCTTTCATTTTGGTGCTTAGATTTGTTGTACTAGGGGCCATTTCCTTTTAATGTTTGTGACAAACAATGCTGCATTAAAAAAAAAGTAAATGAAGTAAATATTTTGAAAATGTTACAGGTGTTTCGTATGCATTCAGATCTCCACTGGAGTGAACAAGGATTTTCTTGGCAAAATTTGAACTGAAAAAGATAATCTTTATAAATGAAATCACAGATTACCAAAAGTTGCATATAAATTATGCATTTAAGTCTCTCTGGAAGATATACAAAAGACAATGTTTATGTTGTAATATATGTAAATGAAATACAGTCAAACTTTGTTATCTGGAACTCAATGGGACCGAGAAAAAACTTCGGGATATTCAAGTATTCAAGGTATCAAAAGGTTAAGTACTTAAAGAATAAGTGGTTGGGACTTCCAATTCACTTCGACATATCCATGGTATTCGAGATGTCAGTGTTCGAGATACTGGGGTTCTACTGTATTTTGGAAAAACCCAACTATATAAAGGTCAAGGACCAGTTGAAAGATTTTGTAAATAATTACAGGTTTTAATTGTATTTACAGTGGATTTGGCAAAACTGTGCACTATGTGCATACTACTTACAAATGATCATGGAATTCTTTTAACATATTTTATCCTCCCCTCCCTCCAATCTGTATTTTGTGGTATGGGTATTAAACCTAAACTGTCAACTAGGTTCAGGTCAACTTAATTCTGGTTTATATTTAAGGTATTATACTGAAAAAACTTTTAAGCACAAGTTATGTTTAAATGCATAGTTAAATGTTTTTAGATTTTTTTAGTATGGTCTGATTACTGTGGTATTTTCACAGAAAGAGATTACAAAAGCGGGGGGGGGGGGGGGGTGCTCTCAAATGAGTGAAACAAAATCTTAAACTTCTACAAAGTTGCACCTGTTTTATTCATTTATTTATTTATTTTTTTTGTTATATAGTCAAACTGTAAGCCATTGGACATTCTCTGGTTATTTTGCATCACCGTATCGGGTAGATATTTTCATGAAAATGAAAATATGGCCCTTCTAGATTGTGACATGGCTATGTTTTATCAGGCCGTAGTCTAAAGTGGGCTGAGAGGGCAACTTCCAAAGAAAATTCTGACAAGGGGGGGGGGGGAGGGGCAACCAGCATCGTAAGAAAAATTTACTATAGCAAAATAATATACCCCCTACCCCCCCCCCCCTCCCGCGTTCTACAGGCTTCTTTACTCCAATAACTCACAGCATTTTTCCCTTTCTAAAGTATCAGAATAATCAAAATCTTTTCCAGTCAAAATTTAAAAGACAACAATTTGTGAGAATATTTTGATTTTTTTTTTTAAACACCCCACCCCCAAGAAATGCACGTATAATCGTGTTCATTTGTTTAATTAGATTTATTACATTCAAGAGGTCAACTTATTCCAAAATTCAAGGCCATGACACGAATTTGTTATTTTGTATTGGGGATATAGAAAACACCGATAATCAACCTTTTGATGTTACTCTGGTACTCTGTATTTTATATTTCAATGAATAAGATCTAGGGAGCTCGAGGTCAGTTGTTCAAAACGCAAAATGTTATATTATTGATTTTATAGTTAAACCAGAGAAGTTCGTGTATCAAAAAGTCTGAGGCTCTTTTACAAAAGTTTACACCCCCTTTTTTATCGAAATGTTGCACTATGTTCAATTTTGTCTGGCTCTCTTAAAATTTGAAAAAAAGTGTGCACTACAACAAGACATATCATTTGTTTTATAATTTTTTATAGACAATAATGTTATGTCAAAATTGAAGGAAAAAATATTTAATGATGCACATAATTATTTTAACCTGATTTTTTTTCTGACAGATTTAAAAAGAAAAAGTCTTGTCAGAGGAAAACGAAAAAGAAACTCTTTCTTCACAGGCTGTATTTTAAGTTCAGCAAGTCAAGCTTTAGCCTCGTCAGAGACTTTTTTAAATTCAGATGGACACAGGAGGTGGACATATTTGATACGCTCTGCTTTAAAATCAACCTTTTTCAGTGACTGTCGGGGCTGGGCAATAGAAACGGAGTCAGATTTTATTCAGTTTATATCGAAATTGTATGCTATTCGCATCATTGCACGATGTTTGATACCCGCTAAATTGAAAACTGAAATCGTGGAGTTGACTTATTGCACGAAATGTGTGTATATATACAATGTGATGTCGGCTGCAGATGTAAGATTAAATTTCTCCCTTTCGGTTAAAGGTATACCCAAAACTAGTCACGCAAAAACACAAAAGGGTTTTATTTCAAGCTTGACGCAGACTATGACTTTCTTTCTTTTCCCTTCTTAAATAAAAATTTCCACAAGCAATAGTTAATCCTTGTTCTGTAGACATGACGAGAGAATATTTTCTATCCCGTTCTCTTCTCCTGGGATTCCTCTTGGTATTCACTGGAGCCGAAGGACTTCACTTGAAGGTAAGTAGAACTAACTCTGGGCTTCTATTTATTGCGTCCTTTTTCAACAAGGATGGGTTGGTTTGTGTGTGTGTGTTAAAGTGACAGTACGGCGCATCTCATCAAAAACTGACTAGATAAAATTTTCCGACAAGATTTGGCATTTTTTTACTACTCATAAATGTATAAACTTTCAGAAAATTACAATTTTTACAATTAATTAATTTGGATTACTTCATTAAAATTAATAGTTATTTATGGGACGTAAATATATACATCGCAACGTGTTCGGGGTTGGACCACATTCCATGCTATGCACGCATGCGTAGTTTTCATAAACAAAACAGCATGGTTAGAGAGGGAATCCCGGTAGGCCTGCTACATTGACAAAGTCGACTAAAAATAAAAAGAAACTGAAATAGAACTTGAAAAAGCAACTTTCCTGACTAAAATTTAGTTTGGGGATTAATATAATCGCTGGATAAGGAAGAAACGGGAACTCGGCGACACTCAAGCAGGGCTCTCGAAGGTTCTACTCGACAGGCTTGTTGATACTTGTTATCATTTCTCATTTTTCCGTCGCTTTCAAAGAAAAAAAATAGTGTAAACTCAACATAAAAAATACATCTTTGACTTATAAACATTGTTGCCATTTGAAATGCTAATTTTTTTTAATTGTGCAGAAAAATATTTTGTTTGACATTTGCCGGATAACGTATGATTAGTTGGTTTTTCCTTTCTCGGACCCCAATACACAAAACGTCAACATTTGTACTTTTAATTCTGTTAAATTCGCCTGAATGCAGACTAAAATCTTTACGATTATTATTTTAGATTATTTTATCAGAAAGTTATGATAATTTGTGTTTTTGAAAATTGCTTTTACCTAATATTCATTATAACTGTAAACTCTACAGTGTAGGCACGTGCCGTTTTGGAATTCACGTGGTACAAATAAACAGATCTAAGATTGCTCCAGTTCGTACGACCCTTGATTTTCCGGCAGATTCTAATTACGTTAATTTTGTTTGAGTAGAGAATATTTCTGTTTCTCAAACTGCTTACATCAACTTTATACCTTATTTCTTAATGACATATTGGGTAAATTTGGATGAAAAAGCACACATTTTGCAGCCGTACTGTCGCTTTAATATAAAAATCAAACTCAGGTGGTTAGGATGCGGTAGGATACCACTATCCTTCATTGTGGCTGCGTACATTTGACCTAAACCAGTACAGTCTTTGTCTCATTCCAATAAAAAAAAAATTCTACTTGTTCTATGTTGTGCTGAACGTTCGTTTATTACTTTTGTGTAAGTTCCCTTAAATTGATTTTTTTTTCTTTTGAGATCATTAATTATTTTGTTCTTTGTGTAGGGGCGGTACAGTGGACTTCAAGAGCGAACGTATCGTACGTACTTTCTCGACAATTTGAAAGTTTTATGGCTTTCTGTATCTTCAGGTTTACATAATTATTACTCATGAACAGAGGACACAAATCTGTGTTTAATAAAAAAAAAAATAATTTTACTCTGTCCCTCCCTACTTATTGAACACTGTTGATCCACTCCTGGCATATTAATTAGTGGTATATACATCCTTATTTTTCCATTTTCAGAACCAGAGAAGGGCCCTAGTCAGCCATCATTGGAAAACTTTCTACGATTGGTTTCACGGGAAATCGAAAAACAAAATGACAAGCAAACATGGCGAAATCTTATAATCCTTGGGGAACAGGAAGGAGAATTTGAGACAAACGATGACAAAACTGGAGAAGGTAACGATGTCCTGAATGAAAACGATGAAGATTTAGAAGACCATTTCCCCGGGAACAAGAACGATGAAATCCCTGAACTGGATGTCAGATGATTTAGAAACCAAGATACTGAAAACGAGAATGATGCCTGGGAGAAGAAGTCTGAGGACGTCGGAAACAATGACAAGAGAAATAACAATGAAGATGATAAGGAAGACAATGAAAAAAAGGAAGAAGAAGAGAAGGAGGAAGAAGAAGATAGTATTGGTACGAAGAGGGAAATGAAAGATGACAACAGGAGAGAAGGGAAGGAAACTGGTAAGGAAAATTCCGAGGAAGGTAATGAGGGAGATGAAGAAAGTGACGAGGAAAACGAAGGCGATGATAAAGATGACAATGGAAATAAAGAGGCGGACCAAGGAGAAGATGAAGACAAAAGAAGGGATTATCAAGATCGTGCGAAGCTGAAGCTGCTCAACGTTTTGATACGTGAGCTGAAGGAGCTGGAACCAATCCCAACAGAAAACAAACGGTGTGATGGCTACTGCGTGTAGTCAGAGGAAACAACACATTCAAAACTTTTAACTTAGTCCTTAAAGTCATATATGGCGTATTTTTGATAAGTGCAGACTAACAAAAATTAGAAAGATCTTTCTATTTTTTTCATTACTTTATATAAAGATAGGACTTTCCTGTAAATTACACAATTTAAATCAATCGCGTTTCATAGGTATTAGAAATTTAAAACAATAACCGATTTATTTACCGACTCCGCATTTAAATATCAGACACAGTTTACAGTCAATTTAACTATAGAAAGGTGGAGTAATTCAAGTTCAAACTCGGTGAAAATTTAAATATGATTGTAAATAACAAATATCGTGTTCATCTACACTCAATCTCGTATTTTTATTTTTTAGCTCAGATACGCCACATATAGCTTTAAAAAAAATAATTTGAGTTTTTTTCGTTTTTTTTCTCCTTCCTTGTTTTAGTGAAATCATATAGTTCTAAGACTTTCCTTAGAGTTCTGCATTATGTTGTATTAATTTTAACTGTAAAGATCGTACTTAATTCCGAAGGAGATTTATACTACTAGTATTTAATGTTTATACAACACTATATATACATTTCATAGATTTTACATTAAAATAAAGCTGAATCTCGTTTTGTAATTCTTCTTTTTTTTTTAAATAAAATATATTTTCGCAGACAAATGTAATCAGTTATGTACATACAAATACTTTCGGAAATCTTAGGTTGCACAAAGTTTGACAATGTTCAGTTAAGAAATAGGACCATTGTGTTTTGAAGTGAATTTTGTCATTTGAACAGTGTTTCTTTTTTTTTTTCTTTTTTCTTTTTTTTTTTTTTTTACATTTTAAACTTTTCAGAAATATAGGTGGTCATATCCGAGTATGGTTGATGGCAAGTAATATATATTTAAACAAGATGTGTTTTTGAAACACTGATGACCCCGTATGGCAGCTTATGGCGAATGTTTAAGTTTTTTAAATGCAAGTCAAACTCCAGGTCAAGAAATTAAAAATGTTGGTACCCAAGGAAGGTCTTGTCTCGAGGAATATACCTGTGAAATATGAAAGTCCTAGTACAAACCGGTGAAAAGTTATGTCGAAGGTTAAATTTTTTTCAAAGTAAGTAAAACGGCAAGGTCAAGGTCAAATGGTGCCCAAGGGAAGTACTTGTCACAAGTGATACACATGATCGTGAAATGTGAAAGCCCTAGAACCAAACGTTCAAATGTTATGGCCAATGTTAAAAATTTTTAAAATTAGGTAAAACTCCAAGGTCAATGCCAAAACTGTTGGTATCCAAAGGAAGGTCTTGTCACAAGGAATATACATGTGAAGTATGAAAGCCCTAACACCAACTGTTCAAAAGTTATGGCCAAGGTTAAAATTTTTCAAAAGTAGGTCAAACTTCAAGGTCAAAAGGTCAGGGTTGTTGGTATCTTAAGAAAGGTCTTGGCACAAGGAATGCATATGGTATGAAAGCCCTAACACAAACTGTTCAAAAGTTATGGCCAAGATTAAAGTTTTCCAAAAGTAGGTCAAACTCCAAGGTTAAGGTCAAAGGGTCAAAGTTGTTGGTATCTAAAGAAAAGTCTTCTCATAAGGAATGCATATGTGATGTATGAAAATCCTAGCACTAACTGTTCAAAAGTTATGGCCAAGTTAATTTTTTTCAAAATTGAAGTAGGAAAGACTCCAAGGTCAATGTCAAAAGGTCAAAGTTGTTGGTATGCACAGAAAGGTCTTGTCACAAGGAGTACACATGCAAAGTATGAAAGACCTAGCTCAAACTGTTCAAAAGTTATGGCCAAGGTTAAAGTTTTTTCAACAGTAGGTCAAACTCCAAGTTTAAGGTCAAAGATGTTGGTATCCAAAGGAAGGACTTCTCACAAGGAATACACATGTGAAGGTTGGAAGCCCAGGCTTCAAGTGTTCAAAAGTTATGGCCAAGGTTAAAGTCTCAAAATTTTTTTTACAAAAGTGGGTCAAACTCCAAGGTCAAGGTCAAAAGATCAAATATGATGGTACCCAAAGAAAGGTCTTGTCACAAGGAATACATGTGAAATATGAAAGCCACAGCTCCAACCAATTAAAAGTTATGGGCAAGGTTAAAGTTTTTGCGGACAAACAGACAGTCAGACAGACAGACGGACGGACGGACAGGGCAAAAACTATATGCCCCCGAATCTTCGATTACGGGGGCATAAAAACTAATATACTTGTGCATCATACATACTGTAGGTCTACCTAAAGTGAAAGTAAATAAGGTCTGAAGAAGCCACCCCACCCCCCTTTGAAGTCGCAATTACACGACGACTCTGGCATAATCATTGCGAAGATATGATATGTAATGTCAGATAGAAGACCTAATCCCAAAAAGTTAATTTCTTCATCCTGATAACAGATGTCAAAGTATGCTGGGATCATTAATTAAAAAGTATACGTAACATATTGTCCTATGATGCTGTATATATTACATAATTAAATGCCAAATCTGCAGAGGGTCGTTTAAGAAGTGAATACATGTATATATGTATAGAGAGAGAGAGAGATTAAAGCATAAAATCCTTGATTTTTTATCTTTATTTTTATTACTTTTTCATTACTGGTTATTATTAAGTGTGTCCTATTAATTAAACCACTGCTATTCATTATAAGTTCCTATTCTTTTTTTCCTTATATAGCCAGCACATTAGAAGTTGTAACACACAGGGGTTGCGCATGTAACCGTTTGATGTTCCTATAATTACAAAACCGCCCTTTGGGAAATTTTAAATAAAAAGTTAACAATAACCAGCCGTGCGAGAACCCGCAAAAAATAAAAAGTTAACTTGCGAAAACTTCATAAATATTCAATTTAAATTTTTTTCGCAAACGGCACATCGAACAAAAAGCAATTACTCGTCTAAACGGTTTTTTGTCACGAACTCGCGGGGATTTACAAATCGCATTACAACCCCCTGTTTTATGCGTCCCTTTCCTATCATGTGTTCATTTTCATTATAAAAGAAGGCACTTGAAAAGTAGGCATTAAATTTGAATGCTGAGCAGACTGTAGCATATGGCCATTCAGACGAACAAATGCTCTGTCCACCCAGCGCTTAACAGATTGACGGCAAATCCTTGTTTATTGTCAAAATATTTGAAATTAATGACAAAATTAATGCTCTTAACATTTAAATAATTTTCCTATTTTGATATCATCTGGTTCGGTGACATTATCATTAAGAGGATTTTTTAAAGATGCACGCGTTTCGTTAAAAAAGGTACGTATCTAATATCTTGTATACCCTTAACAGTCCGTAGTCGTGAGGGAGATTTTTTTTTGCCCCCATTGACAATGAATAGAAACAGTCAAAATTCATGCAGTTTATAATCACTGTCTTTATGAATAACAAAATTAGAGAATTTCAAACTGGGGGTGTGAATTCGATAACCAAGTATGTTGGAAACTATGAATCTATCTTCATACTATCCTGAAATACAATGCAAAGCTGAAAAATTACTTTAAAAACATCTTGCTGCACTATACATTTTATTGCATGTCCTATTTCATGATTAATATTTTTGTTTGTTTGTCTGATTATTCGTTTCTTTTGCTTAGGTTGTTTTTCTTATTGATTGATCGATAAGACTATGAATTATATCCAAATTTTGTTTGAAGGAGGAAAAATTATTCAGAAAGTTTACTGAAGTCAGTATTATTGGTTTGATTCATTTTGTTACAGTTTTTGGACCGCCCATAGATGGACTACCAATAGATTTAACATTAGATGGGATCATCCAATAGATTTGGGTATTCTTCGTTCTCAAGGATGCACAGCTGCGCAGTGAATGAACAAGAGGACATACTGCGGACATCCCGCCAATCAAAGGTTCCTTGTACGTTATCACGACAAAGTGATCAATTAATTTGATAAAGCAACACTGCTATTTCTAATCTAGAAGATCTTTTCACCACATTGTGTAATATTTAGAATTTTTTGTGTGGTATCAAGAATTTGAAATCCGTGAATTTTTTTTCTTATCACAGAGAACAATTGTTTTAAGGAAAAAAAATAAATTAATATGGATGAAAATTACATGGAAAGTAACATGCAAGACCGACGGAATTTATGCGAGACCGAAAACACGAGGAAAGATGACTATCATTCGATAGGAAATAATTTTGGAAAGTTTTCAAACACTCCCAGTTTTACTCAGCGAGAAAGTTCTGATTCGGACGAAGGATCCGCAACTATAGACATAGAGGAAAATAGCGATGACAGTGAAAGGGGCTTTCCCTCCGTCAGCAGACGACAATTTGACACATCCAGAGAGTACCCGGAAGGAGAGGTATATCCCAAACACAAACAAAGGAGAGGAAAAGTGGAGAAAACTGCACGATTAAACATAAATGCACGTGAAAGACGGCGAATGCATGATCTGAACGATGCATTGGACGAACTAAGGTCCGTGATTCCATATGCTCATAGTCCCTCAGTCAGAAAGTTATCCAAAATCGCCACATTATTGTTAGCGAAAAACTATATTTTGATGCAAGCCAACGCTCTTGAAGAAATGAGACGAATGGTTACCTATATGAATTCCACATCTTCCCCCTCCCCAGCGTGCTTTGAACCTCTTGTGTCGTATAACCGGCTACAGAGATTTCAGGGACTGCCCTTAACCCCGGGGCAGGGTAGGTCTAACTGTGCATCTAGGTTTGATCCTGCGACAGATTCCTAGACAGTGAGAATTGCGCGAGGGAAATTAAACTATTGACACTGGAAGTGACCACAATAACGGACATTGTTGTTTTAAGAAAACAGTATGTCCAGTGGATACTTTTTCAGAAATGAATTCTTGGATTATCTCAAGATTCTATTCTTAATTTTACAGGAAAACAATAAGATTCATTTAATTTATTATTCGTTGCATATAAATATATATTCAAACGCTTTTTATATACTTTTTCATAAGTTGACAATTTTTCGTTCACAGTGATTAATGCATTAAAGAGATAGAAAGAGTGCCTCTCTCAATAGACGGAATGTATAATTATTTTGCTTTATAATCTGTCTAAAAATTGTGTTGATTTCAATTTATTTGTAACATTTAAATCATTTTATGTGTACGCTTATTTATTTAGCAAGATGAAAATTCATATTAAAACCCGAAATCTAAAATCATAACACTTTGTAAAAATGGTTTTCATGTTCAAAATATAGCTATTTAATTACAATGAAAGCGGGAATTAAATCTGATCAAGACAAATACGATAAACTGTAGTGGAACCATTTTCATATTTCCTGACATTTCATTTACAATTTTTATGTGTCATGTTTGCACTTACATGTAATTATATTCAATGAAAAGATAATTATATATACTCAATCGAAAATAATGTAAACTTTTAGTTTAATGCATGAAAGATAATTTTTTTGTGGTTTGATTTTACATTGAGAATTAAAGTTTTTTTTAATTTTATTCTGATCTAAAGTTGAGAATACACATTGCCAAAAAAGTATTGTGTGTGTTTTTAATAATACAGGTATATTGAATTGTGTATATATTTCATTACCTTATAATGTTTGGTATAGATACTCAAGTAAAGGAAACTTTTTAAAGAAAATAATGAGATGTAGATTAATGTGTTCTTACTTATTCCTTATTTTTATCAATTTGTAATAATTATGGCAATATTAAAGTGCTAAAATAATTGTAGAGTTGAGCTATTTAATTCAAAAATAACTAATGCATAAATACATAAAACAGGTATCTATATATTGAATCTGAAATGTCCAGTTTTATGTTTTGGCACATTTTTTCCTCCTACGAGATACGAGGCGACAAAATATGGAAGGAAACTTACCTTCGGTTGGAAGTATCACCTATATTTGTTTTGCTGACTTTTAAAGGGCAAACAAAAATAGTAAATTTACATGTTTACTTTAAAAAAACAAAACATATACCTCCGTTGTGTTTACCTTTATGAGCAATCAATCCTTTATTTTTTACATCTGAATCCTTTAATTTAGCTGCCTAACATGACACCCCCATTCCTTTGGTCGTTTTTAAGCTTTATATCTTATTTCTATTTATTTGTACATATTACATCAAATATATTTTTGTACATGTATAGTTACTGTAGGGAGATAATCTCATTGACCTTTGTTGGTTCCAGTGTATTCAATTTGTTGAACATTATTTTGTGTAATTAATTTTCATAAAGGAAATGACATTCTACGTTTTAAAAACATGTGTGCAATCCTTTTATATACTGCCTATAATTCTTTCACTTTTATTTAATTCATTTTCTTTTTTAATGAATTAAATTCTGATCAATTATATTTGCTTTTTAACGGGTGCAGTAAAGATTTACATTTCATTCATAAATGTCTCAGACGTTTAACGCATGTTTGTAACAACAATAAATTTCAGTTTTCTAAATTTAAAATTATTTCTGCATTTTTGTACGGAGAAGACATTTTTCAAAATTTCCTAAATACTGGAGAAACCTAAATTGGTTTCATATGTAACATTTTTCTTGAAAATAATGAAATTATAACGTGTATACTTCGTAGAAAAAAAAGAAAGTGCTGTGAATTTACAGAATTTCTATGGGGTTCTTTCCTTTGTATTCGTTCTTTATAGAGACCTATGATGTTATGTCCTCCACGAAATGTAGAAATTTCAAACAACAGTATCACGTTTGTCTATACCATATAGGCACGTAGTATCGGAAAAATAATTGGCAAGTGGCGAGCAGAATCTTGACAACCTCCCCCACCCCCTAAAAAAAGGTGGTGGTTGGGGGGGGGGGGTACTTGTCCAAACTCGAAAATCCTAGTTGGGGTGGGGTTGGAGGTGAGGTATAGATTCCACTTTTTCCCACAAGAATTTTTTTGTTACATTAACATGGGACGAACTATACTACAAATAGTGGGGGACAGGAGGAGGACCGGCCTTCCAATGAGCATCTTCATACTAAACAGTAAAACATTACGCTTAGAAAATGGGGGTCATTCCCCCCCCCCCCCCAACTCCCCCCGGTGGTTCATGACTGGTTTAATTCCCCAAGCCGCGAAAATTTTACTCATATAAGTGTTTTTTACATTATATAATGCTGATGGAACATTTTAAGACAATTAGCGAACATTCAATTTTTATTCGAAATAACAATAACGAGCAATGATTCCATTTATAAGAAGATATAACTTAAAATAAAAAGAAGAAAAAAGACAAAAAAACTCGCTTGGTACATAATATGCCAATCTTTTGAATCGTTTCTAAAGACGGATTGAAGATTTTTGTATGTTGAAACATTAGTTTATTGAGAGGGTTTTGAATTAAAGTCATAAATTGATCCTGGCAGATAAGCATTACGCTCTGGAGATCCTTAGAGCGAATGATTAACTCAAGCGACCAATTTGTCTTCGTTTTCGTTGACGACACTTGATGGTGCGATATTATCCAGATGAGCTCCGAAAACTGGCTTGATGTATCAGATCAATTTGTCATATCTAGTTTGTTAAAGCGGGAAAAGGAACGAGCGGGGTCGCGGGATACTTCAGCAAGTAATGGGAAAACAAATCTATTTTCTTCACAAAATTGTTCATTTGATTCGTCTCTGTAAGAGTGTTCGATATAACACACAGTAAGTGAAGAATATAAATACCGCACTATCTCTACAATATTATTCATGTAAGTTACTTGTCATCCTCTTTAAGCATACTTCATAATTACACGAGTTTCATCTCGTTCTCCAAAAAATCAACTTTTCATTACTTTCATTAAAGCACCTTTAAGTTATTGCTACTTTTACTCTTCCCAAAAATACATAGTAGTTAATAAACAAAGGGGGATTGAGAAGCAAAAAAAAAAGTCTCCGATGAGAGCGAAGCTCTACTGGTGTGTACTTGGTGTATCTTAGTATAGCGGCCTTGTATGTGTACCAAGCCTTATCGAAATTAAAACCAAAACTGTAGGAGGAGTAGCCTTTTGAAATTTCCTTGATATTCTATCAAGGAAATTTCAATTTTTGGTAACCATGAAAACACCGTTTGTCGAAATCAAAAACCGATACACAGAATTATGTATCTTAGTAGATTCTACTTGTGTATCAAGTCTTATCGAAATTGGAGCAAAACTCAAAGAGAAGTAGAGTTTTTAAAGAATTTCAAAGAAATTTCTGTTTTTAGTAACCACAACAACGCTGTTTATTGAAATCAAAACCCGATATAGAAAACTATGTATCTTAGTAGAGTCTACTTGTGTATCAAGTCTTATCGAAATTGGAGCACACTCTACAAGTAGCGTTTTGACAGAATTTTAAAGAAATTTCTGTTTTTAGTAACCAGAACAACGCTGTTTATTGAAATCAAAACCCGATATAGAGAACTATGTATCTTAGTATAGTCTATTTATATATCAAGTCTTATTGTAATTGGAACAAAACTGTAGGGGGAGTAGCGATTTGAAAGAATTTCAAAGAAATTTCTGTTTTTTGTTACCTTGGCAACGCCGTTTGTTAAATTCAAAAACCGATACAGAATTATGTATCTTGGTATGCAAATTAGTATAGTCTACTTGTAAGCCAAGTCTTATTTAAATTGGAACAAAACTGTGGAAGGAGTAGCGTTTTGAAAGCATTTCAAAGAAATTTCTATTTTTAGAAACCATAGCAAAACCGTTTGTCGAAATCAAAAATCGATGGCACGGATGTATCTTAGTAAATGTAATTTACTTCTATATCAAATCTTATCGAACTTGTACCAAAATTGTAGGAGAATTAGCGGTTTGAAAGAATTTCAAAGAAAGATTCTTTCTATTTTTAGTACCCATGACAGCCGTTTGTCGAAATCAAAACCCGATATAGAGAACTATGTATGGTGTAATTGTTAATCTGATTAAAATCAGATCCTTTGATCCGCTCACATATATCGCTATACCTTGTGTAGCGATCTATGTGAGCGGATCAAAGGATCTGATTTTAATCAAATTGATGTAATTGTGTATCAAATCTCGTTGTGATTAGAACAAAACTGTAGGGGGAGTAGCATTTTGAAAGAATTTCAACGAAATTTCTATTTTTAGTAACCATGGAAACACTGTTTGTCGAAATTAAAAACCAATAAAGAGAATTCTGTAGCTTATAGTACAGTGTCCTTGTGAACGAAGTCTTACTGAAATCGGACTAAAACTGTAGGAGAAATAGCCTTTTAAAAAAAAATGTTTATGGATAGACACACAGAAGGACACCTTAATCACTATCGCATAAGCTCTTTTGGTCTCTGACCAGTAGAGCTAAAAAGTGGCCGTAAAAAGTTGATAAGCCATAATAATAATAATACGGAAACTATCCAAACCTATTTTGTTAAAAGGGGGATTATTTTTATTTTCGAACCAAAAAACAAATACAAAAACAAAACAAAAAGGGGGGGTGCGCAACCTGCCTTTAAATGAAAATTTCCCCACTTTGCAAAAGACTTATCCAAGAATTAAAATATTCAAAAAATATAATTTCAAAATGTTACTATCCTATGGATTTGCTCTATTTTCCATGAAACTTGGTGCATGCAGAAGAATATTCAACATATATAATTTTTAGATCTGTAACAACATCAGTGTAATCGATTCTTAAATATTTCAGAGTTGTCGACGGATTTTTCCGTTATTTCCCGATCATGACAAGGAGCACACGGCGGGTGTGACCGGTCGGCAGGGGATGCTCACTCCTCCATGGCACCTTATCCCACCTCTGATGTTTTGGAGGTCCGTGTTTGCTCTGCTCCTATTTTGTATTGTTTAATGGACTGTTGAGCTTGAATACTGTTCGTTATCTCCATATATTTCATTCCACTTCTCATGTATTTTTCTTATTTATTTATTTATTTATTTATTTATGTGATTTAACGTAAATTTTGAACAAGGATTGGCTACATCAACATTTGCTTATAATATTTGTTACCATCATTGAATGGCATAATAATGAATGCTGAAACTTAAGATATTCTATGTAATATATTCTTTTCTTATAGTTTTGATCTGTTTTCAACAAACATTTGACTTAGTAATGACTATACATCAAGATATGTAGCAGTTTCTGATTCCATTGATTTGTGTAACCATGGACACTAAAAATAAATTCCTTACAGTAAATCATTTTTCAAAAAATGTTAATCCTTCATTTTTTTAAGTCATATTTCATGATATATTTCATGATTGTAAACGTCGTATGAATCATAGTTCAAGTGAGGCTAAACCAGGATTTGATTTGTCCATCAATATTTCAATTCTTTGACTAGATGTTTTCCTGCTGTACAACTCTCCTTGCACTGGTGTTTTTTTTTTTTTTTTGTCTAAATTGAAATGAAACACGTACATATATTTATTTTGTTTTATTTATTGTATTTTAAAAATTCTTTATTTTTTTTATTTCAATAACTCCACAGCGCTCTACCTGATACTGAACTTTTGCTAAATATTAACATACTAATCTCAGTCTCAACTTTTCTCTTTGATATGATTTTTTTTTTAGAATTTCACTCAAATTCAAAATCTAAAAGTATTAAAAATAAAGATGCTTAAATTTACTTCAATTCTGAATCTGTAGAGCTGCAGACTCATTAGAGACTTATGGTTAAAAAAATATCTTGGTGTCTTCTGGAGCAAATCCATTCCAACCACCACCAAAACTTCAAAAGACGATAATAAAAATATTATGGTGATTATGACCATCAGTATTAAGTCAATGTCTGCGAATTTGTCTCATGTGAAATTGCGTTATATTTCTGCCTGGTTTCTAGAATTAGCGTGTTTCCAAACTGATAGCGACGCGAAATGTGATTACTATTTTCTCACCCGCGCGATCTCTCATCCCCTTGGGCAACTCAAACGCTGTAATAATCCGGCATGGATGTTTCTTTATCTGCAATGTTGAATAACGTATTTGACGGCTAAGAAAATTGATTTTCACTGGCTTAGAAAAGCTCGGCGTTAAAATGCATCACCAATGTCCATCAGAGAGGCGATATAGCTTTCAATTTCTCAAAAAGAGGCCTAATTGTTACCACAAAGGGACCGGACTGATTTTCTGAGCAAGTGAATTAAGCAAATCGTGATATTGATCAACGTCAGGATTAAATCTACAAATGTATATTTTAGAGGAAGGGGGAAAGAACATCGTCGATTACTTATTTACATAAGTGACAGATATGAACTACATCGCACAATTTACTCAGATAAGATTCTTCCAAGGATGTCGAGCTGCTTAAAAGAATTAGCCAAATAAATGACGATTTCTACCATAAATAATACAAATCCTTTTCCCCCTCTCATATCAGGTTCATCCATCTCATAAACCATGTTATTAAATAAGCCTGCTTAACCTTCGCAGGGAGACACACCGAGAACATTTAATCAAACACAACTATAGCGTCGAAAATATAGGGGGGAAACGCATACGTTCAATTTTTGTTGATGATGTGTCACAATTTCATCTCCAACCATTGAAGCAACACTTTAAATAATCATCACCAAAGATTGGTATAGTAGTTAGCGTAATATCACCTTCAAATGCACACAAATGTGTCATCATGTAAAATTACCATAGCAATGTTAATTTTAGAAGTACATGTACATTTACATGAGAACAATATATAATTATTGCTGGGTTTTGAGGTCAATATGATGATTTAGACACCTGAGGAGTACAATATTCACCGAGCCCGAAGGGCGAGGTAAATATTGTACTTCGAAGGTGGCTAAATCATCGTATAGACCGAAAAAAAAAACCAGCATTGTTTTATTATATGATTCAATGATTAAATGACACACACTCATTAAGCGAACCATGCCATCTTACTTGTTTACATTTACTGAAGTACTAGCCAAACATAATGGGAGAAACGGGGTTAAAAAACATAACCAGTTGTATTATTTTTTGGAATTTTTAATTATACCTCAGGTGCAATGTAGACAAAAATAAACGTCAGGCATGCACATATATAGGAATGATTTCGAAAAAGGGGGGCATTATAAGGGCATAATAGGAGAAAAAATGAGAACTTACCTGAAAACAAATCTTTGACCCCCCCCAAAAAAAAAAGAGAAAAGAATTCCCCCACACCCGCACCCCTCACCCAAGAATCTATGTGCCTTAATGTTATGTTCATATGAGTAGAAGTCCATCGTCTCAAGCCACGGTCCGAAGTCCGCATATAGCTCTCTCCTACAGAATGGGATCGTACATTGTGGCCGTGGTTAGCGACGGTGGTGGAAGTCGGCTGCAAGTGAAATTAACTTTCCAAAACTATTTGCATTAATTTGGAATTTCCCAATCTAATTTGAGTCTAATGTGGAGAAAAATAAATCCTTATATTCACCTGGAAGGTCACGTGCAGGTGAATATAACGTAATATTTTTGTCTACATTGTTGGATCTCAGCCAATCAGAGAGAAAGGAATTATTCAATCATATAATAAACGACTATATCTCATTTAGAAAAGCTAAGATTTTGAGGGGGAAAAAAGAAAAGATTTTTTTTAAAAATAAAATGATTGTGCCTTTTTTGTCAAATGCAAAGTAGCCTATAGTGCAAAGTATTTATTTGTTGTCACCTTTTGAAGAGAACATGCATGGCGCGCGCTGGCAATTATTTGATTGTAATAAATGATTTTACGGAACCAAAATAACACAGTTAAGCACAGGTCAGTCTGGCAGAAAATTAAGTTTGCTGGCGCGTGTCTGGGCATTATAGAATCTAATTTTGTAGCATTCGGGCTCTGCTTTTCTTTAATAAAATTCGGGATTGTAAATTCAAAGCGGTCTCCGAAAGGTCCCGTATTTACCGAACATTTTCTCGACACCATCTGGTCACATACTATTTAATTTTCTACGCTTTTAATCGAAATCTGGGAAAAAGAGAGAGAGCGAGAGAGAGAGGGAGAGGGGTTTACAGATTTCATTTTGTATTTGTTCTTTGTTTTGTTTTCTTTTATTTTTATCCCCTAAACCAAGAAAGGAATGAAGAAACAACCCCCCCCCATACAGAACTCCGATTTCTGGATTTTTTTTTTTTAGACGAACATTTCTTTTTAGAAGCGTAATTTTCGGAGGCCAATCCGTATTTTAAAACAAAAATCAGGGATAAATACATAATTTCCGTAAAAGTAAACAGCTCTGCTTCTGGTATCAATTCATAGGTCAGAGATGATATTTCCCATGCACGTACAAGTGTATCCGACCTCTTTTCCAGAGGGGGTGCACTTTTCTGCTTTGAGATCTACTTCCGTCATTGAGAGACATTCAAATCTACTTTTTGTTTACTGGACACACAATAAAGGATTTTTCTAATACTGTAATATCGTGCACGAAAAACAAAGCAAAACTTGCAATGAAGTCCACTGAATTCTGTCTCTGTGAGTCCTCTCAACTGCTCAAATGTTGCCTGGCGGGGCTATGCACAATGTTCACTATACAAACCCGGCCTGGCCGGGTTTGTATAGTGAACATTGTGCATAGCAAACCTTCCCACGGAATTAGCTTCCCCGTTGGAATTATTGCACGATATCTTGATTCACTCTCTACCATCGGCTCATACATTCATGTCTGAGAGAGAAACGAACGACAACTCTGCATAGGAGATTGATCTTGATTACTGTTCGTTATCTTCATATTTTATCGGTCAGTCGCGAATGGAAATGTAAAAATATAGGGATATCTTACATTTAAAGGCAACAACCAAAACAAAACCAAAAAGAAAACATAACAGAAAGAAATAATATAAATACGGATTTATCGCATTTTCCGTCATCAATTTTCTTTTTATTTCATCCTGTTGATATCCGTTTTGACGAATTTGATGCGTTCGCATGTGTTGCTTGTATTATTCATTTTCAGTTAAAGAATTTAAGAGATGTCGTGTTTGTTTTATTGGAAATGGTAAGACATTACATAAAATTACAATCTTCTCCTCCAGGTAACGTGACTCGTACATGAAATCATTCATTCTAATTTCATTATGTATCATTTCTTTCAAAGACATTGAACAAAATATTTTTTCAATATCTCTGCTTCTTTTTCAGATGCAAATCATTATATTAAATATTAAAATTTAAAAGATATTTATTCATAGATGGTTTTTAGAATGAATGCCCTTATAAGATTCCATACTTTTCTCATCATTTCTCAACGGAGAAAATCAAAGTAAAAGCTGTGGATTACTGTTGCATGAGAGCTTAAATTCCAATGCATGTTCCAAAGATGTCACCTCCATGAAGCCAAGCTCTGAAATTTTCTGTTTTTGAAAAAATAATAATATACTTCCAAGGGAAAAATTCACATCTGTTGCAAGAATGCGAATGATGTCTGATTAAATCTCATCATACTTTTGTCTGCAGCACTAAAGGACTGAAAAATTTTGTCAGCGAGATTGGTTTAATAAAGGTTAAACACATCACATTGTATTTTCATGCATTTTTATTAAATAAATGGAATTCTTGCATTATTTTAAAAATATGATGAAAATTCCCTTATACAGTAATGTTTTTATTACTGAAAAGAGGAACAATTCCATTTTAGTGTAACAGTTACGGAAGAAGGGAATTGTGCCCAACCTGTTCATAGCTATTGCAATCAAAGTTCTAAAAGTTTTGAGGCTATATAGTGAAAATATGAAGTAATCATACTTATCCATGCCTCACTGCAAACAAGGTGGTGTATAGTTACTCAACAATGGAAATACATCTTTTGCTTAAAACGTGTCCAAAACAGCAATTTTTAAGCTCTCTCCACTCTGGGTTGCTTATTTGAAAGTCCATAGTACAAATATTTGTAGTCGTATACTTGCGAATTTTTGTCTGTTGTAAATAAAAAGCAAACTTGTGAAAATCTGCATTAAGGACAGATGATACCAGGCACAGATCCAGTAATTTTTTTGGGTGGATCCAAAAATAAACCTAAACTCCTTTCCCAAACATATCAAATCCAGAAATTTTTTTGACAATTACACCCCCCCCCCCCCCCAAAAAAAAAAAAAACACATAAAGTCCATTCCCAAACATGAAAAAAAAAAACCCAACTATTTCTTGGTGGGGGTGATGGGTGTTTTATAACAGTATACAAGCAACAATTGAAATTCCTTTCATTACTTTCAGACAGTTATGTGAAATTGCCACTCAGAAAATAAGACAGCTTCAGAATGAGTACAGCAACTGAAGGTGACAAAACGAAGAGGGCAAACAAAGCCCTCACTGTGGAACAGATTCAGGAGGACAACATCACACAGGTTTGATCTAGGATCAAGTTACTAAATTTCATCTTTCATTTATATATGATAATTTCAGGAGGCTAAAAGTACTCAGGTTTGAGCTAAGATGATGTTTAAGTATGTTATATTTTATTAATCCATTGCCTAGGTTGTAGCCATTTCTTAACTATCTAGCCAAAAATTGTAATATTAAGATGATTAATTGTAGGGAGTGAGTGTTAATTTTGGAAACTTTTTGAATAATGTCCTCTATATTTGTGAAAAATGGACATGTATTTTGGAAATCAAGTTTTGTGTCTGACAGGAGACCAATGTAAGTTGTGTATGCTCCAGGAATTAATACTCCTAGAATTTATATACCAGGTAGTTGGAAATTTGTATAATGCACAAGTGTTTGTTTTCATAACAAGTTATTAGGCCCCTTATTGCACTTAACTGAAATCTGAGGTACTCTGGTACTATTCACAGTTTCTGTCTAAATATCATGTCTGTCTACCTGACTGTCCATCTTTTCATCTGTGAATGCTTTTATTTGACATTTAGGGACAAGGTAACTTTGATTATATTTCAGCGTACAGACTTGACTTCCTAGGTAAATGACTGGTTAGGAAGAAACCTACATAATTTTGGGATCACTTGATCAAAAGCAAAATTTTATGTTTAATTGAGTACCACCTAGTCTATAGGAAGGCAATGCTATTTAGTATTCAAGAACAATTTTATTTAAAAGTTACTAAGAACAATTTCATTCAGTTGATCTAATTTTATGTTGCAGCTGGCAAGTCAGCATTGGTCGAAGCAAGCTCTAGAAAATGGTGTTCCATTTAAAACAGAGGTATACTCAGTACACAAATCCAGCTTCAAACCACATGAGTTGACTTTTCAATTTTTTTTCCTGGCATAAGTATCAGTGTTTATTTGTTTGGAATAATGAGTTTCTCCTTTGTTTTTTTTTCTGCAGATTGTTGAAAAAGTTTTTCAAGAAGAATTGCTGGCATCTAAGTAAGCAATTAACTACCGGTATATATATTTTACATACATGAAATTTCAAGAAAAGAATTGAAACTTTTGCAACACGATGGTTGTATCTTATAAACCAGATGTAAGACCTTGAACATACTATTTTAATTTTCAGTTACTTTTTATGCCCGAAGATCAAAGATTGGGGACATTTTTTTATGTCCTGTCTGAAAATCTGTTGTTCAATAATAAACTTTAATCTTCCTCTTGAACTTTTGAATCGAAGAAGTTGGAGACTATATGTTTGGCAAAATTATAGAAATATACATGTATACAAGAGCTTTAATGCTTTAATATTTAGCATTTGCCTTGTCCTTCTGTGTGTCTGTCCATGCAACTGTTTTTTTTTTTGTTTCAATTTTAGATTCTCAACAAAAAGAACAATGCTGTTGGAATTCAGGTATTTTTTTGAATTGGCATTTTACACAGTTCATTTGTATTTATTGTGTGATAGTCTTTTTGCATGTTTACTTAACAATAATAAATTTTGTTCACTATTCACAATACATATTAGAAAAGAAACTATACAAGCTGGGATTGTACATGTAATTCTTAAAGGGTTTAATGGTTAACTTTCATTTCAGTCAGTACCTTGAAAATTACCTATGGCCCAACTTCTCAAAGGAAAAGGTTAGTCCATGAATACAGTGACATAAAAGATTTTCTGCACAACTGAATATGAGGCTATGTCTTAATAATTTCTGAAAATTCCAATATACAATTATGCCATGTGTTAAAATGTTGAAAGTAAAGTTATCATGCTTGAATTAATTCTAGGGCCATGCACACACAATGTCTATCATATTGATGGTGAATGAAAAATTTAGAGAAAGGGTACCACCATGGGAGGTAATCTATGCCAAATTTTATAGCTATTTTTACATAGATTCTGTTTTTTCCTGAATGCGCATTTTTCAATATTTTCCATGTATTGCTTATATGTACAACATATCTTGTATGGTTATTGTTACTTAGATTCACTCTGGTTTTTTTTTTATACAGTGTTTCAAACAGCACCCTGAGAAGTTTAGTGATTTCATGCTTAATACACTGGAAACCTGTCTAGACCAGCGCACATCACTTCGAGAACTCTCTGTTTCACTTGTCTTTCTCATCCACTGTTTCAACAGCCTGGTAAGTGATAGGAGGGAGGGTTTTGTTGTTCTTTAAAAACTTCCAGTTTTGGTTTTATTTTAAATTCACTCTGTTAAATGTCTTTTGTTTCTTCAGTTTTAATTTTGCCAAAATGTCAGAAACATTAAAATGGTTTAAGGGAAGGAAGGGGGTGTTTTCTAGTCAGTAGTATTGTATCTTATTTGACTTAAACATGCTGTCTTGGTGACATGGTTAATTTTTTTTTCCTATAAATAAAAATGAATTTTTACTTTGAATTTTGAATAACTTGCAATTTTTTTTTAATGTAAATTCCATTGTAAAAATTATCATCAATTTATTCTTTAGAATAGCTTTAGTAATATGTATTAAATAATCAACAAAAGAAAGATGTTCTTTTGAAAATATCAAGACTCTGGGACAAGTTTTGGCAGATGAGTAGATGTTAAATTGAAATAAATGTGCTCTTACAGGAGGTGGATCTCATTAGGGAACAAGTTCAGAAGCTGGTCTCTCTACCAATCTGGAGCAATATTTTACAGGTAAGTAGAAACTAGTATGATTATAGCTAGTGTCAGTGAATTATCAAACAAGTTATTGGTAAACATGCACCAGCTTCCAAGGGCATCTTTACACCTTCTTGTCATAAAAGTTTATATCTATTTGACTAAACTGAGTCAATTTAAAGAGTATAATCTTAACAAATTTCTTAATGGCAGTTGATTGATTCTTCTACTCATGAACAAGAATGCATGATATTAGATGTGTAGAAACATTTACTGAAGATTTCTTTTTATGTATTCAAACAGGGGAAGAGAGATGAAATTTTCAAAAACAACCCAAAATACAGAAAGTTTTTTAACTTAATCAAGAAGAATGATGCCAAGCTATCAGAGGAGCAGATGAAAAGAGCGACCTTTGAAAGAGGTTTTCTGTACAAGATGATAAAGAAATTTCTAGGCATTCTGGACACTATACCCCTCAAAGGTAGAAGGCTACAGAGCTAAGCAATTGTTCTAGAAGCTTTAGTGACAGCAGTTTCTATATTATCTGTGTTATTTAGCTGAGATACATGAATGAAGACAATATTTTGTAGGAGATGTAGCAGGAACAAAGATAAATTTCTGCGAGAGATTCCTAGAGCTGATGATTGACATTGAGGCCCAGCTTCCCACCAGACGATTCTTTAATGTCCTTTTAGAAGACTGCCACCTTGTGGTAAAATGCCAACTGTCCAATCTCAGTAAGAGGTCAGAGGGCAAACTGTTTGGACAGGTACTTTTAAAAAACATTCATATACATGTACATATATTTGGCAAAGTTTTGGTTTTATTAATGAATTTTGTATGGCAAAGTTTTGCTTCTTTAAATAAATGTTTATGTCTTATGTCTTATGTTGATGCCTGATTACCATATGTTTTACAGCTGCTGGAAATGCTGAAGAGTTACACAGAATTTGAGATTGATGACATCACAGGGGAGGCCCTAACACTGCATAATAGGATTGACATCCATTATGATAGGGTGCTACAGTTGCAGGTGGGTAAAACAAAACACCTTAAGGCTTTACAGTAGATTTGACATCCATATGGATATGGGTGTAACAATTCCATTGGTAAAACAATATACAAATATAGTGAAGTAGAAGTAGCATTATTGAAAAGATGTCTCTGCTCGTTCAAGGCCAATATTTTGCACTTAACAAAAACCATGTTTTCTTCTTTAAAAATTATAAGTTGTCCCTCTTCACAACTTAACACTTTGACTGATTTCAGCATGTACAACTGACAATATATAAGCACATTTTTATACTCTTGATATGTAAGGGTGTAATTTCTGTGTTTGTTTTTTTTTTTCCAGAAAGTAGCTTTCAAGCATTTTCCAGAGTTGAACAAATTTGCCATTGCCAATGTTGCTAGTGTGGACACAAGAGCAGCCCTGTCAAAGTATTTTAAAGCTCTCAGGTAAAAAAATTTTTTTTTTTTTTAAATCATCCTTTGGATACACTCGTAATATTTGATTAAAGGCAGGGGTGTGCAATTATGGTAAAAAATATCAAGCATTAACCTGCAAGCTAGTGGCAGGAGTAAAATCATTAGTCCCAACAGTAATACTGTATATGTATATAAAAAAAAATGGACAAATAAATAGAGGATATTCAATGTTTTGTTGTTGGATATGGAATTAGGATTTTTTGATATTTTCACGAGTGAGAAATAAATTCCATATCCAACTATAAAACATTGAATTTTCTGTTTATTACATTTTGTTTGATTTCTCCTTGCCTCTGTCTTTCCTTAACAAAGTGTTATAGGCTGTGGCGTCATAGTTGAGTGGTTGAGACGTTATAGCTTAGCAATTGTGAAATTGAAAACATTGTAACATGGATTTTAGGAATATATTTAAGAAGAAATTTACAGTTTTAGTCATTATAAAGATGGTTTAGTTACTATCTCTATCTTATGACAGGCCAGAAATCATATTTACTTACTTTGTTATCCTTCATACTGTGACAGAATATCATTTTGGTATCCTTTCACACTGTGAAAGAATATCACTTTTATTAAATAAATAAATCACAGTATTTCACTATTGAAAATGTAATAATGATTAAAAAAAACAACAACAGATAATTCTAATACTAGTAATACTGATAGTTCTAAGATCTGCAAAGTCTGCAGATTTGGGTTAAATTCAAGAGAAATGGATAAAAGACAACTATGATTCTTTTAGAATAATGTATGTACTTTAAAGAATGATTAATTTTTTTTCTGCATGTAGACATTGTTTTCCTTTGTGTCTTTGAAAGCATTGTTGTGTGTTTAACTGAAATGAGTCAATGTCATAGGCTTTTCTTAGCAGACTTACTGCTGTTGTAGATAAATCATTAATTTTACATCATTGCTAATCTTTTTTGTCAGCAATGTGGACCTCCATAAAATCCTGGCCCACATCCACCAGTTGCCTGCAGTTGAGAAGGATGAGGACTGTATATCTGACATGGACTACCTAATGGAACTTCTAATCTCCAGACACGAGAGGCAGAAATCACAGCAAGAGAGAGTGAATGAAATGCCCCTGTACCCCACAGAAAAGATCATCTGGGATGAAAATATTGTTCCTGTGGAATATTTCTCTGGGGAAGGTAAATTAATTGAATATAGATAAAAGAAGGGCATTAATGCTTACAATGGGTATGAAATTGTGTGAACAGTTGTAAGAATATGTTATCTGGTCATGACATGCTTTGTCACTTGAGTTTTGTCACTTATCTCTTTCTAGTAAATTTGCATCTAAATGTATTTCTATGTTTGAAAAAAATATCAAAGATACAGATAAATCATGTCTACGGTTACCATTTCATTTAAAACTCAGCATTGTGTATAAGAAGACACAAATGCATTTAATTTCTTAATTGTTAGATCACTTAAAATTTTTGTTGATTTTATGAACAGGTTGTTTGGCCTTGCCCAAGCTCAATCTACAGTTCCTGACACTTCATGATTACTTACTGAAAAATTTTGATTTGTTCAGGTTGGAATCCACATGTAAGTACATCAGTTCTGTATTAAGCTCTTTGCAGACTTTCAGTTATAGTGTTTGAGAAATTTTGTCAAATAGGACTAAATATTTGTCTTTCCCTATATTTGATGTTCAAAATTTCTCTGTTTACTTGTATCTGATTATTATATTGTATGTACTTAGTATGAAGTATCATGCATTGTTATCGGAGTTTGTTTTTAAAATTTTTTTTTAAAACATTGTTTAGATGAGATCAGACAAGACATAGAAGATTCAGGATCACATCTCAAACCATGGTAAGAAATTGGGGAAAAAAAATTGTACTTCAGTAAAACTTGTCTAATCCGGACACCATTAGTTCCATAGAAATAGGCCAATTTAGACAACGTTCCAGATTAGATAACATTTTAAAAAATGAATTGACTAAAAGGGACTTAAGTTTACATTGTACTAGGCAAGATTTCATCTTCGCTAGCCAAGGGTTTCTGATACACTACTCTCCTCATAAACCCTTGGCATACGGTGCTGACAAAAGACGGGATTGTTTTCGTCACGTGATCACGATTCTTACCAGGTACGCACAGATTGCGTCATCGACAGAAATAAAAAGTGTATTTAAAAAAATGTTTTTAAAGAATGATTAACAAGAAGGTAACGACTTATGTTAATTTGTTATTTAAACGTGTTAAAATGCAAATGTACACCTTCAGTATAGATTCTTAATCACATATTTTGCACGTAGATTAGGATATTGGATGACACCATACAACTATTCATAAAATGACACGTTATCTTACGGATCGTTGTTTACTTGCATTTTTCAATTAAAGAGTCAAGATATATCCCGAATGCAAATATCGTCATTTACAAAAAACAATTGCTGATTGGTCGAACGATGTCGATCAACTCCAATCACAACTTGAGAAAAAAATCCCAACTTTTTTTAACACTGTATGCCAAGGGCTTATGAGGAGAAAAGAGTATCAGAAACCCTTGGCTAGCGAAGATGGCAAGATTTAGGAATACACAATATCTGGATTACACAAGTTTCACTGTAATCTCAAATTTACACATTGCCATACTTTAAGTTTTTGTTTAACTTGATAGGCAATCAGAAGATGGAAGCTGTCTGTTTGGGGGATGGGCTCGAATGGCACAGCTGATTGTTGGCTTTAATGTTGTAGAGGTAAAATACTCACTCGTATCTTTCTTTAAACTTTCTTGAAATCTCAGAACTACAGAATGCTAGTAAAAGACACACAGTATAAACTGAGCTATGACATGATTTAAAGTTTTTGGTTGAATATTACACACAGTGAGGAGATGTATTTGAGGGTCAAGGTCTCAGTACAATGAAATGTTATAAAACTGACACAAATGGGGTGAAAGATCTTACTTAGTAATTCTCAGTTGGAGTGAATTAGAATTGTAATGCCATATGTTGTTTCCAATGACATAAATACGTACAGTCAGACCTTATTGTATCAACCTTGATGCAACTGAGAGAAAAAAAAATGTCAGAAGTCTAAGGTTTGTGATATTGAAGAAGAGGAATACAATCTTATGTAGGTTTTTTATGCCCCGCCATGAATATGGCCAGGGCATATAGTGTTTGTCATGTCCGTCTTCTGTCCTTCCGTCACGCTTTGCGTTTAGCTCTGTTCAAAGCTCAGTTTCAAAGAAACTATCCAAGATATTTTTATCAAACTTCATATGCTGATAGATATTGATGAGAGCTATGCAACTGCATCAAAATTTATTTTTTTGACCTAGACCTTTCCTTTGACCTTGACCTCACTTTTCTTAAATTAGTGTTTAGCTCAGTTTTAAAGATACCATTCAAGAAAGTGTGTAATCAAACTTCATATATTGATACATACTGTTGTAAGCTATTCAACTGCATCAACAATTTTTGACCTTGACGTTTCCTTTGACCTTGACCTCACTTATCTTAAATTAGTGTTTAGCTAGCTCAGTTTTAAAGATACCATTCAAGATAGTGTAATCAAACTTCATGTCCTTTGACCTTGACCTCACTTTTCTTAAATTAATGTCAAACTTCATATGCTGATACATACTGATGTAAGCTATTCAACTGCATCAGTATTTTTTGACCTTGACCTTTCCTTTGACCTTGACCTCACTTTTCTTAAATTAGTGTCAAACTTCATATGCTGATACATACTGATGTAAGCTATTCAACTGCATCAATATTTTTTGACCTTGACCTTTCTTTTGACCTTGAACTCACTTTTCTCAATTTGTGTTTAACTCAGTTTTAAAGAAACCATTCATAATATTTTTATCAAATTCATATTCTAATACATACTGATGTAACCTTTTCAACTGCATCAACATTTTTTGACCTTGACCTTTCCTTTGACCTTAACTTCATTTATTTTAAATTAGTGTTTAGCTTAGTTTTAAATAAACCATTCAAAATATTTTTATCAAACTTAATATGCTGATACGTATTTGTGAGAACTATTCAACTGCATCAAAAACGTTTGACCTTAAACTTTCCTGTGACCTTGTCCTCAGTTTTCTTAAATTTGCATTTTGCTTAATTTTAAAGAAACCATTCAAGATATATTTATGTAAGCTTATGCACTTATACATAATTTGGTGAGAATTTATCATCTATATCCAACTTTTTAAATTTCAATATTAAAGAAACAATTCAAGATATTCTCATCAAATTTCATACACTAATACAAATTTTCATGTTGCATTACTAATATACCCTCGGCGGGGCATTCATCTCCTATGGACATATTTCTAGTTTTATATTCAAGGTCACAGGAGAATGCATCACTATAATTATTTTGAGCTGAATTTTTTTTAGTTCCTTTAAATTTTTATATGTTTTTGCCTCTTATCAAGTAGTTTTCCTGATTGTTACTCAAGGTGGGGGGTCATGACCTTGAGTATCATTGGGATATGATGTAATACTTATTATTCAATCATATTTGCTTTCATGTAATATAACAGAAATAAGATTTTATCTTGTACAATTTCTTTGGTAGGTGGCCAAACCAAGAGTTGGAGAAACTCACCCAGCACAAGTTCGAGCAGACGTAACTATTAATCTCAGTGTCAGACCGCAGATCAAAAAGGAATGGGAAGGTAGATATGCCATACTTTTTTCCTTTGGAGATTTTGTCTGATGGAGATAACAATAACTTATTATATATCAGATAAGTGTAGGCACAGAATTCTCTGCTGATACATTGACATGACTTTTTGTCTTGTAGATCTAAGGAAACATGATGTGGCTTTCCTGATCACACTGAGACCCACTGTTCCAATCCATCACAAATATAACTTCAGGGAGCCCTTTATTCCCCAGGTGGGGCTGACCTATGTACGGGGCTGTGAGGTAGAGGGAATGTTGGATATGGAGGGCAAGGTCATTGAGGAGGGTAAGTAATGCTGGGAGGAACCTGTTGTTTTGACTTCTGAGGATAAAATATTTGTACAGTTTAGTGATAGTTGTGTGAATTTAGTATTATTCTGTTCATTAACAATTGAAAACTTATATTTGCAAAACTTCATGTGGAAAAATTGTTTTACATGCATACGATTTTGACTCTCAGTTGTCAATGTTGCAATTGAGGTTTGACATTTAGTTTGGTAAATAAAGTAATTTTCATCTTTCCTTACTTTCCTCACTGGAATGTAAAAAAAAGTAAAAAATAGATAAAGAATTGACTTGAATCTGATGTCTCCCTAGGACCGGAACCAAAACCTTTTGTACCTGGTGATATTCGGACTTTCCGTGTGTGGCTGGATCCTAATCAGTACCAGCAGGACATGACAAAAACTATGGATGGTGAAGAGGTGAGATGATTTTACAGAAAAAAATATAATTCTGAGTAATGTTGTCTCAATTATTATGAACATAAAAGTCTTGAACAGAGTATTTTAATTTTACATTGTTGTGAAGAGTTGGCTTACATTAATGTTGCAGCTGTTGCACAATGAAAGACGAAGTATTGTTTATATTTATGTCTGTATATATAATCATATGAAGGAGGAATAAGTATGTTAAATACATGTATTATATTGATATACTTGTATACATCATCATATTTTTCATTGGTGGAAGAGCCACTGCTCAAGAAATCTATAAACGTTACTTACTTAGCAACATTAAAGTATTGATAAACGCCATGGTTTCAGATAATTGTTTCTGTTCCTTGTTTCCAGTACCTGCATACTTGTACAGTATTTACTTATTTTCATATTTCTTTATCAATAGGATGTGTATGAGACATTTAATGTGATCATGAGAAGAAAACCAAAGGAGAACAACTTTAAAGCTGTCCTGGAAACCATTAGAGATCTGATGAACACTGAATGTGTTGTACCGGACTGGTTACATGATCTCATACTCGGTTATGGGCAACCAGATGCTGCTCATTACTCAAAGTGAGTTTTGTTGGTGTTAAATATGATCAATTGAATGATATGAATTTGTTAGTATAACATTTTGTAAGTTCCAGGATTAAGGTCTGTGTACAAATTTTAATTGCTTCCCCTTGGTGACTCTCAATTTTGACCTTTTGATAAGTGGATAGCAGAATTACATGTACTTGTATCTTATTTTTGTGTCTCAAAATAAAATTCCCAGTGGGTCTGTATAGTTTTAAGGTTATCATTTACAAGAAAAATTTTTTTTTTACAGAAATGGCAACATTTTTTTTTCTATTTTGTGTTGGAATTAGAAAACCAAGTTTTAATGTAGGTGAAAGATGTCTTGGTATTGTGTGTAACATTATAATTTTGTACCAGTCACTTTTTAGTATTTCAGTAACAAAAATTTGTAACTTGAGAGATGTGAATCATTAATAATCATTTTAATACTCTTTTCTTCTTGAACACAGAATGAGCAACACCATTGAGACTCTGGATTGGAATGATACATTCCTGCATATCAATCACCTGAAGGCCAGCTTCCCGGGGCATGAATTTGAAGTAACCACAGATGATGTCAGCAAACAGATACCTCCATTCAGGTGTGTATAGTCACATTATTTTTTCTGGTCCTTTCAAAGATAGTTTGATAGGGATGTGTTGTTTTTATTTTCTGTCCAAAAGTTTATGCTCTATAAGTTCTGCTCTATATATTAGCATAGGTCATAGCTTCACATCAAGTCAAGATAAGACCTGTGGAAAAATGGAATTTGCCAGTAGAGAAACTAATTTTCACCAAAACATTATGTTTAATCAAAATCAAAATTTATATTGTGCTTTTTGACAGATTGACATTTCCCAAGCAACAGGAGAACACAACAGGGAAGAGAAAAGCAGACGAGGAAGAACCGTCTGCTTCAAAGAAAATCATTGTGCAACCTCATGTCATCGAAAATAGAGGCCCTTATCCATACAATCAACCCAAAAAGTAAACTTTGTGAATCGTTTTTGAATCTGGAAAGAAGTATAATCAATTTAATTCAATAAAATGCCCAGAAAAGCAGTATTTATATAAAGTACTTGTTTGAAGTCATCATCATTTGTATTTTACTTGATTAAACTTACAAAATTGATAAATCAACTCTTTATGTTATTAAGACAAGAAATTCATGGACATTGTTGATAATTTGACACAAATTTTATCGCTGAGTGCACCAGCTTATTCTGTTTTTATGAATTTAACTTTGTTCAGAGTAAATCCAAATCATATTGCATTGTAGAAACCAGATACCATTCACTCCAACCCAGATTGAGGCTGTGCGATCAGGCATGCAGCCAGGACTGACCATGGTAGTGGGACCCCCGGGGACAGGAAAGACTGACGTAGCAGTGCAGATCATCTCAAATATCTACCATAACTTCCCAGAGCAGCGTACACTGATCGTTACCCATTCTAATCAGGTAAAAGGGCTTAATTTACTCCAACATTGAAGGGTCAAAGAGATAAATATCTTTTGGTGTAGGACTACTTCTTAGTGTCTCATCCTCCTCCCACATTGAGGAGACATATTTTTATTCAGATTATTGTGTAATGTTACCTTTGATTGGAGTGAATCATGACTAAGTTATATCTTTGCCCATAGTTTTGTCATTGATTCAGGAGTTTAGATCATTCTGTATTTTTCAACATTCTGTATGCAGTTAAATATTTGCTACCCTTTAAATTTAAATGTCAATGAAAGAGAAAGAAGTATAAGTTGCATTGTTCCATAAGTAGTATTGTTTATAAGTTGAACAAAACATTTACATGCTATTTTATACACATGCATTTGTACACAATATTTGTGTTCGAATCATACTTTAGAAGTACCTATAACAATTATTTTTGACAGGCCTTGAACCAGCTGTTTGAGAAGATCATGGCTCTAGATATTGACGAGCGACATCTTCTACGTTTGGGTCATGGAGAGGAAGCTCTGGAAACCGAAAAAGATTTCAGCAGGTAAAAAACACCATTGACATGATGTATCTACTCTGTGTACTCATTTGGGTAAAACAATTTCCCTGTGATGTGTTAGATTTTTTCATAACTATACATGTAAAGGACAAATATTTTTTTTATTCTGTAGATATGGTCGAGTGAATTATGTTCTGGCTCAGCGACTAGAACTTCTGGAGGAGGTAGCCAGGCTACAAAACAGTCTCGATGTCAAGGGAGATATGTCTTACACATGTGAAACGGCCAGCTACTTCTATCTCTATCAGGTCTAGAGGTTTTTTTAATTAGATGTGCATTTATGTACTTATACAGGGATTATTTTCACCCAATGTTATTTTTGATCTGCTGCCTTTCCAAGCAATTTTCCCTGTTCTAAACTCCCAAGACACAGTTGTGTTAAAAGAGAGATAACTCCGTCTCTGTTGAATTTGCTTCGTTTTGAATTCGCCTTACGACGACAAGAGCGAAAAGGATAAAAAAAGTATGGGGACAAAATTTCCTGAATTCAGTATTAAAATGCACCATTAGAGGAAGTCACTGCTGTGCTAGTACAGAGATGTATTATGAAAGTTGCACATGTCTGAGTAATGCAGTGCAAGATTTATAAAAGAATATTTTAACATATAATAAATATCATATTTACAGAAAATTCAGATTTTAGAGAGTTTTCTATATAGTATGATTTCTTCTCCAGGTGTTGGCCAGATGGGAGGAGTATCAGAGTAAACTCAGAAATCAAAAAGTAAGTACTGATAGGTAGAGTACTTATATCTCTAAATAAATCTCTATAATGGCATACAGACAGAATATCACTCTCTCTGTATTAAAGAGATCCTGGAAAACATTGCATGATTTATTGAAGAAAGTCATATAGGATTACTGATATTTATTTTGTACACAGTGTATTAATGTTCAAAATCAACTGTAGGAAAAGACTGTTGACATTATCAAAGATGAGTTTCCATTCACCAAGTATTTTGAGAATGCCCCTCAGCCTATATTTAAGGGAAAGTCTTATGCTGAGGACATAGATATGGCCGAGGGTTGCTTCAGGCACATCAAGAAAATCTTCACACAGCTAGAGGTAAGTAAAGAAAGGAAGTTCAGAAAAGAAATATTTCTTTATGATGACAAAACCATAACTTAAGTTCAACCTCTATAGCTTAAGTTGAATATTTTGTTTTTGTTATCTCAAAAAGGAATAAAAATACATGTTTGTACAAAGAATGAAGATTTTTTTTCACTTGAGTTTGTCTGCCCTAAAACTGTGTTGTAAATGATTCTTTATGCAATATTGCCTGTAATTAATTTGATTTTGAGACAGTCCTAGGATTTCCCCCACATACATAAGTATTGAAATTTGTGACTGGTTATAGGAGTTCCGAGCCTTTGAATTGCTGAGGAGTGGGGCTGACAGAGCTGAGTACCTATTGATCAAAGAAGCCAAGATTATTGCCATGACCTGTACCCATGCTGCACTGAAGAGGAGAGATCTGGTGTCCATTGGTTTTAAGGTATCAGGTTTATATCCTACTGTTTTCATTTTTATTTCTTGCCATTTTTCATTATTTTTATTAGTTCATTTTTTTGATGAACATTTGCTTCTTTTCATAGTTTGACAACATTTTGATGGAAGAGTCAGCACAAATACTTGAAATAGAAACTTTTATTCCATTATTGCTTCAGGTATTGTTCCAATTAAAAACTCTTTGTACATGTATTTTAATATTTCATGCTTTAATTTTATTAAGTAGGCAGTTAGGAATTAACATGTTTTGATTCAAATAATTTAAGATGTGTATGTACATTAATATAATTATCAAAAAAATACAGTCAAACCTTGCTATCTCGAACTCCACCAGACCAAGGTTAAACTTCAGGATATCCATGGATTTGAGATAAAAAGGTTTAAAACATCAAGAAAAAGTGGTTGGGACTGCCAAGTCGCTTTGACATATCCTTGGTATTTGAGATATTGGCGTTCGAGATAACAACAGTTCAACTGTAAATGGATTAACTCTCAACAACTGAGATATTTTATTGTTACATTTGGCCATACACAGAATCCTGAAGACAACAACAATAGATTGAAAAGATGGATCATGATTGGAGACCATCATCAACTTCCACCTGTAATCAAAAATATGGCTTTCCAAAAATTCTGCAATATGGAGCAATCTCTATTCACTCGACTTGTCAGACTTGGAGTTCCCACCATTGACTTAGATGCTCAAGGTCGAGCAAGACCAGGGTAATAATTCAAACAGCATTGGAGAACTTTTTTTCAGAATTAATTTTTTTACTGTACCATGAATTTCTTATTCATAATTTTTAAGTTGATACATAGAAATTCTAAATTCTTAAGTTAAAACAAAGGAAGAACTTGAAAGTGATTATAATCTTCAGTTTGATGAAGAGATGAAAGTTTTAATTGGATTTTCTTTCAGGATTGCAAGTCTGTACAACTGGAGATACAAGAAGCTGGGAAGTTTGTCTCATGTCAAAGTTAACCCTGAGTACAAAATGGCCAACCCTGGTTTTGTGTTTGAATATCAGCTGATTGATGTCCAGGACTTTAATGGTGTAGGAGAATCGGAGCCCAATCCCTTCTTCTATCAGAACTTGGCAGAAGCTGAGTACGTGGTGGCGACATTCATGTACATGAGACTTCTGGGATATCCCGCAGAAAAAATCTCCATCTTGACAACGTATAATGGACAGAAACACCTGATTAGGGACGTTATCAAACAAAGATGTGGCCGAAATCAGTTTATAGGTACCCCACACAAGGTAATGTCTAGTAAGAATAGTTTCCTGACTTTGAATCCTTTGGTTTCTATTGTTATAAAATATCTTCTCATGATAAATAACATGTAGAATATTGGTTTTAACAACATTATCTATACCTGTATGTATGTCTTTGTCTGTCTCATCTCTGATTATAAAATTTTGATGTGATTGCATCGCAGTGAAATGTATTAAGGAATTTATTGTGTCTTTTCTTTATTTCAGTTGGATTTATTTGAGCAGTTTAGATTTAGGATATTTTTTAATTTTTAAAGATATTTTTGTTCATGTATTTCTTATTTTTACATGAATATATGTTTCTTTGGTTATTTTTTTTTTTAGGTTACCACAGTAGATCGATATCAGGGTCAACAGAACGATTACATACTTCTCTCCCTTGTCAGAACTAAAACAGTCGGTCATCTACGGTATTGAACACTTTCATAAACAAAAAAAATGCTGAATAGAAATAATTAAGATTTTACACTTTTCAAAGAGCAAAATACAGTGAAATTATGTAATTGGGAAATTTATATTCACAAGATTATTTTTTCTGCCAATTTTGAATGAAATAATGTAATTGAGATATTTATATTCAAAGATTTTATTCCTCCAATTTTAAATCAATGTTACACCTAATGCCTGTGAATATTTTTTTTAATAGAATATTCAGATATTTAGCTGGAAGGTTCTTGAATGTAACAAACTAAGTAGGAAAAGATTTTATTGTAATTTATAAACCTATCTTTTTGTATTATATAGAGATGTACGAAGACTTGTGGTGGCCATGTCTAGGGCTCGGCTAGGTCTCTATGTGTTTGCCAGAGTCTCATTATTCAGCAATTGTTTTGAGTTAACTCCTACATTTAACAAGGTAAGACAGCTAATTTGTTCTATCTTCATGTTCCTTTTTGGGTTTTAAGAGATAATATTTTATGCTTTGTACTTTATTTTGTGATCATGAACAAGTATATAAAGTATCTGAATTTGGATATGCTACCTGAATAAATAGCAATTAGTAAAAATAATACAAGTCATATGTAACATGCTAATAAATGTACATGTTAATGTATGTTTTTGGACCAAAAAATATGGCCACATCTTGAGCACAGGTAGTGCTTGCTTCTTTTGGTACATGGCATATGTATTATTTTTTTTACTATATAATTAAAGTTGATGACCAGACCGTTACAGCTCCATATTCTTCCATCAGAAGTGTATCCTCCATCAAGGAAGGTAAAATATCTTCCTTTTTGTTTATAAAAACCTTAATTTTTAAATTGAAAGACTAGCTGAAGGAGTTTCAGAAGGGTAGGGGCTGAAATGTGATTACCTTGTCATGCCACAAATATAAGTTTCAAGGATTGTCACACCTAGTATTTAATTATACGTATGTGTATTTAGGGAATTACATACATGTATAACCTGGTATCTTATTTTCCCTTTTTCTGACTCCGGTTTACATTAGAAAAATTGTTTTTTACTGTTAAATCACTAATTTTGATGGGGATTTAATTTTCCTTCTTTTTTATTTTATGGAAAGACCCATAAATTTATGTCCTCCATGAAATATTAAAATCATAAACTAAAGTGACATGATTGTCCTTCAACCATGAAACCAAATCATCACAAACCAATATTTTTACCTTAAACCATAAAAATTTGACCTCACAAAAATTAGGAGATTGTACAGTATTGTATTTTTATCATAAATTATCAGTGTATTAAATGATAATTTCATATTTATATACATGGATTAAAAAAAATGAAGTTCAGTGTGAAACAATATAGAAGAGAGTGACCAGATTGAAACTGGTATAAAAATTCTTCTTTTTTTTACATGTATATTATTTACTCAGGTTACTAACATATTATTTTACAGATGCATGAACAAATCAGGGGTGAAGCAATGGTCATGAAAAACATGCCACACATGGCTCAGTTTGTGTTTGATTTCTACAACCAGAAAATCAACAGACTAATGTCTCAGTCAGAGGGAGGCAGGCAACAAAAGGTAACAGCTTAATATCTGTTTTACATAATATATGTACATGTATATTAGCCAGAAAATCAGATTAATGTCTCAGTCAGAGGGAGGCAGGCAGCAAAAGGTAACAGCATATCTGTTTTACGTAATACATGTATATTAACCAGAAAATCAACAGATTAATGTCTCATTCAGAGGGAGTTAGGCAGCCAAAGGGAACAGAAGAATTACCGGTAGTGAAAATTTAATGGCATCTTTTAAAAATCTTGTCCTCAAGAACCACTGGGTCAGAAAACATGAAAATTACGTGAAAACTTCATTACATATTATAAATTCAAGATGCCCATTATGCATAAATTGTCCCATGTTTCCAACTGTTGTTAAGGAAGGTGGTTTTGCTATACATTAGATAGTGATTACAACATCGGACTTGTATGTGTGGCAGTGAATGATTAACAATGATTAATGATTTAAAGATTTTTTTCAGGATGAGCCCCTAGAGGAACCTCCTAGAAGTGAGCAACCAATGGAGACGCAGGAAAATCCAACAAAGATGGAGGAAGATAAGCCAAGTTAATGTGGACTTTAAATCCATTTATCATTTGTAAATAGTCACTGGAATCCATTTATTTTTTATGGACTAGAGAGTGTACTGTTCTATGTTTTTATTGATCAGTTGATGATTAGATACAGTAAAAACAATAAAGGACACATCTGCTGTATATCTTTTGTACATGTTCTTTATTCTTGTTGTTTACCATGAAGTTTAAAAAAATATCATTACAAAAGTAATTACAAATTATTAGTAGTATAAATATTGTAAAATTGAAAAGGTAATTGATATAAAAGTGTATACACTCTTTTTGAATGTTTCCAAAAAAGGTAAACCCTCATAGCTGAAAGCCAAACAGGTGATTGTGTCAAGATTTTCTAAAATATTCACCTAACCAACAGGTTAGGTTGTTTTCAAGACATACAGCCCTCATATTATAGAAAGCTGGCAAGCCTCACTAGAGATATTTGTACACTGTCACCTTTTGGTATTCTTGTCCAATATAAAGATTGTTCTCATCATCCATACACATACCACAAGGCTTGAACAAGGAAATCTTTTGTTTCGGTGTGATCAGAAAAGACAAGAACTGGCTGTCTTGTTCAAGGAGGTGAATCGTGTGACTGATATCATCACACACCAGGATGTGACCAGAGACATCAGTGCATATTCCAAGGGGACTGAAGTTTGACGCCTGACCTGTGTAGGAAAACCTGAGTTGTCCAAATTTATCCAGCACAACCACTCCTTTGTTGCGGTCTGATGTACAGATATCTCCATCGATGTTTTCTGTGATATAGTGTGGATAACTGTAGAGATTCTGTCCCACAGCATTCCTTTGTATGTTCTTTGTTTCTTTGCCTGCACTGTTGTACCTGGTCACTTTAGCCTCTCCATACAGTACCATCCCCACTAGTATGTCCCCATTTATGTGGGAGAAGTGTATGCTGATTGGTTTCCAGTCTCCCGTTTTAATGAATTTAGTGACATCATTATCTGGTGTCATCTTTTTGATGACTTTGTTGTCTTTGTCTGTAAACATCAGATCCCCCTCTAGTGACAATGTATGGTAGCCATACCCACCACTTGTTTTCCTTTTCTGTAGCTGATTCCCCTGTAGATCTGTTTGGACAAGGTTACCAAATTGATCACTGATCCAAAGAATTTTTGATTTACCTGATTTACCTATGGATAAATGGCATGCATTCTTTAGGCTTGGAATATCTAAATCCCTAACCTTGGTGACAGAGGGAGATACAGATTTCTGATGAATGTTCTCCTCTAAATGGTCACTAGTTGGAGTTGAAGATGTGACATGAGGCTGTACTATCATGGGCCTTATTTCTCTCTTCTTTTCCTCTTTGTTTGGGACATTCATATATCCAAGTAATTTGACCACATCTTCTTTGTTGTACTGACCAGTGGTAAATTCTGGTGTGATTGGTTTTGTTGTCTCTGGTATGGGTTGAATTTTCGGTTCCTCTGAAGAGAATGTTGAAAATAATTTTGTAGAGGACACACAGGTGGCAAACTCTTCCACAACACCATTGAGATAGGTGATGTAATCATTTAGTGTTTCATCATCAATCTTTATTTTTTTTCAATAAAAGTTCTTCCACTCTATCTATTTCTCTCATATTTTCTGATGTCACTGTGTCCACCATGCATTTCAGATTCTCTGCCTCAGCCTTGGTGGAGGATCTTATGCTGTCCATGAGAATCTTTATTCCTGAGAGATCTTCACAAATTTCCTTTTGTAAATCTTTTGATGTTGGAAGAAAATATTCATAAATTTTTGTCATTTCCCCTTGACAATTTGAAAACATCTCCTCCAAAATTGGTCTGGAATCGGTAAAGGTGTGACATCTATGTTCAGATGTGGTAGTGCAAGTGGAACATATAAGGACTTGGCATTCCTTACAAAGAAGCTCTATATCCTTGGTGGGGTGGATCTTGCATTTTTCTTTGGGCAGTTGTCTTTTCCGTAGTTGGTATAGGACTACCTCATGGTATTTTGTTTCTGGACTTCTCAGATGTTCATCTCTACATTGTTTACACATTGGTTGGTGGCAAGGATTGCAGTAAAATTCACGGTTTCTCTCACAGTTTTCAATGCCACACTCTAAAATATGTTGGGCTGTGCCTAGTGTACTCATTTTGGATAGAGCCATCTGCAATAAGTTAAGTATATTTTCTTACTTTTGAGAAGCAATTATGTCGAGGATATCTGAAATGATAAAACTACTTGTCTTAGATTAACTAGTATTATACTATTTCCTGAAGTTTTTTTTAACATGTTTCACGAAATCTCATAAACTCATCCTTATTTTTGTTGAATAATTGTCTCTGCTAGATCAAATAAAAAATTTTTGACATGTTTCAAAGTAAAATGTAATTAAAGATATTAAGAAAATATTATGATCTAAAATTTAAATGATAACAGAAGCAATATAAAATTTATTTAGAACATTTAGTGTAATGGTACATTTTCTTTGACACAACCTAACTTGAAACAACATCCTTGGGATGCTTCAGTGTCAATAATGGCTAACTTGGCCTTGCTGCTCTAAGAAGAAGTAAACATGCACTAGATAAAAATTACTCCCTGTTTTTTGTCTAACTCTAATGACAGGATCTATAATTTGAAAGGAAAAAATTGAATCTTCACAACTTTATATGCCTTGCGATAAATATGGCCAGGTCATTCACACTCTTGCTTAGCTCAGTTTCAAAGAAACTATTCAAGATATTTTTTATCAAACTTCATTTGGTGATACATATTGATGTAAGCTATTCAACTGCATTAACATTTTTTGACATTGATGTTTCCTTTGATTAGTGTTTAGCTCAGTTTCAAAGATATTTTTTATCAAACCTTGCATGCTGATACATATCGGTGAATGCTATTCAACTTCCTTGACATTATAAACCCTCCTTTGACCTTGACCTCATTTATCAAATTTGTGTTAAGCCAAGTTTCAAAGAGACTATTCAAGATTTTTTTTTATTAAACTTCATACGCTTATACATTTGTGAGTGCCATTCAAGGGAATCAAAACTTTTTTACTTTGACCTTTGACCTCTTTTTTCTTAAATTTGCATCATGCTCAGTTTCAACAAAACTTTTTGAAATATTTTTTATCAAACTTCATATGCTAGTACTTATTTTTAAGAACTATTCAACTGCATCAAAATTTTGACCTTGATTTCCCCTTGCACTTTGACATAACTTTTCTTAAAGAAGATGGGCGTACTTGACGTGCGATCTGCTGGAATCACGTGTACGAAACCTTTATGGTTTAAATGTCAAAGATTTGGTCGGCTGACCATTAATGGACAGACCTTACAAAGTTACGCACATAGGAAAATGTTTAGATTTACATTGAAATAGCTTGCAAATTTGAAATATTTTAGTCCACTTATTTTAATAATTACGATAACACAGTAATACCTCACATAAATAATAAACACCTAACAAGATATTAGGGTATGATATATGAAATGAAATTGTAGTGGGTTTGAAAAATTGCTTTCGCTCCCCGTGCAACTGAATTTATCTCTTTTCAAACTTTTATTTATCAGTAATCTACTCCTATGTGCACTGGTCTGGTAACGCATACGACTGAACCATCATCGCTACACAAACACTTTTGGAATTCAAAACGACAAAGAAGCAACGCATTTACACATTGGTTTTTTTTTTTTGTTGTTGGAAAAAGTTCATTTTATAAAAAATGTCTCTGGGTCTTCTCTCAATTTTTTACAATTGTCTGTTCGTTTCTTTGAATACAAATGCACACAAATGTCTTTTTAAAATCATGGAGAGATGACCCAGAGAAAGCAAATTTTTAGAAAAACGTGTTTTAAAATGTAACATTTTGTGACAAATGACTCATCTAGCCATGTTTCAAGTTATTTTTAAGGAAATCAAAACACACTATAGGGAAAATATTTTCCTTTCCTTTTTCATAGGAACATAATACATCAAAAGAATGTAAAAATTTAATTTGACATTTCAATATAGTTTTCACTTTTCAAGTGCGCCCTGATTCCTGCCGAATGTCAATTAAAAGCGCCCTCGTTCTTTTGCTCAGCTTTAAAGAAACTATTTAAAATAATTTTATGTAAGCTTATGTACTGATACATACATGGTAATTTGGTGAAAGGTTATCAACTGTGCCCATACCTTGACCTTCCCAATGACCTTTGAATATATTATTCATTGATTATAAAACTCAGTTTTAAAGAAACTATAATTTAAGATATTTTCATCACACTTCATACACTAATACAAATTTTCATTTTGAATTACATATACTAATATTTACATCCACTGAATATTATCTTTTTTATTTCTTAAGAAAACCATTGCCGTTTATCAGTTCGTAAACACCACTGAGCGTATCACCTCTACAGATTTCTGGAGCAGTGGCTGTTCCATCAATGAAAGTACAATGACGTGCATATCAATAATACACTATTTCATCTACTAAATCCTATTTCGAATGAACAATTGCACAGATATAAATGTAAACAATTAAATGTCTTTCTTTGATTGTTAGTACGGGAATTAACGTTGCAGCTATTGCAGAAAACAAATTACATATGCATTTTTTCTGCAACAGCTGCAACATTAATTCCCGTATACAACCAAAGAAAGCATTTTATTGTTTAAATGAACCCTTGGTGGGGCATTCATGTCCTATGGACATATTTCAAGTTTAAAAATGAAATTCTTGGATTAAAAATATCAGATGGATGTTGAAACCTCGCATTAACGGCTGAGGGGCAATATGAAAACCATCTATCCTTCTGTCTTCAATAATTCAGAAGTGAAAAAAAGAATTAGATTACATGATCATATCACGATCAATCACAGGTGCTTGTGGACAGGACCCCCCCCCCTCCCGATATTCAACCCCGTTCTCTCTTATAATGTATTTAGTGGGGTATTTTTGTGTGGAACAATTATTTTGGGGTTTTCACGATTTTTTTCCTATGGTACACATGATGAATAAGTGTAATAAATATAATGTCCAACAAGCCCCGGGGTAGGGGTCCTGTCCACAAGTACCTGTGCGATCAATATGTAAAAGTTCTCTTTTATTATCAGAGAGTGTAAATTTTTATAAAAGGCTAGTTTTAGGTTAATTTTTGGATTTTTCAGTTGTAATACTTTGTGAATGTGTTAAATTAAAAGTTTAAATCTAAAGTTTAAACTTATCTATAACTATCTAAACCAAAGGGTGATAAATGTGTCATAGAAAAATTAATATAATATTTTTAAAAAGTCGAAGAACCCATGGGGTACGCAACACGGGGGGGGGGGGGGGGGGAGGTCCCGTCCCCAAGCACCTCTGACAACTACATGTGTAAATTGTATAACAAACAAGATGTCTTCAACTTTTCAATGAAATCTGAAGATAGTTTTTAGTAATCATGCTGAAAAGTCCAATAAAAGTTTAAAACAATACAGATTATGAACACGCACAGAGCAGACGCAGACTTTTAAAAATATCAGAGGTACGTGGAATCAAGTGCCATGGATGAGTAAGCATTACTTGTTGACTTTCTAAATCGTACAAATTATATTTGAAAAAATCGTACAAACGATTTTCCAAATTGTACAAATGAATTTCTAAATCGTACAAACGATTTAAAAATCGTACAAATGAGTTTCTAAATCGTTCAATTAAACGATTAAAAAAAATCGTTCAAACGATTTTCTTAATTGTACTCGATTTTGTAAATCGTACAAACGAATTCTTAAATCGTACACACGATTTTATGTATTTCTTTCTGCAAATTTGAAATTGCGATTGGCAAGTCGGTGGTACAACCTGTAATTTTTATCGTTAAGGTCAAGATCTAGTAAATGAGTTTAGACTTTCTTCTTGGTGCTAGATCCTTTATGACGTCATAATTGATTTAAACTTAATTTTTCCCGTACTTTACGACTTCAATAGAATTATGTAAAAAATAAATGACTTTCATGGAATTCAATTTGAAATCATGTCATATATAACTCCGATACCCTTATTCCATTTAATATCATTTTAAAGTAGAGATCAAGAAGATATGAAAAACTGTTTTCTGAGAGACTGTAGGCAATAGTCATACAATTCCTTTGTCTGAGATGGAAAAAACTCCCATATTTATACCAGACTTTCTTCAATTTTCATAGAAAATGGGCAGTTTATACTATGTTTTTCCGAAGAGTTTACCCCAAAATTATGTCCGGATACACCTTATTTTACCAGGCTATATTCGTAAAGGATCATTAAAAGAATGTGTATCTCAAAATTGAGAAATCTGTGGGCACCTCTCATTCACTAGATCTTGACCTTAATTTAAAACGATCCCCACACACGCGCTAATGATCGAACAAAGTATGGCTATTTGCTATCGGAATTCACCATAAAAAGTGATTTGGCACACTTTTTATTCAAAGTAAAAAATCGCCAGATTTAAAAATAGAAACTCGGATGTCATAAGCATTTTCTAAGCATCATTCGTCCATATTCTTTTAACAGAAATATCTAAACAAAAACAAAAAAGTGAGACAAAAACCCATACCTTGGAAATTACTAAGTATAAAAGAACTGTTCACTTTTCAAATTTGATGTCTCTGAACCATTCACAGATTTCTCACGAAACGTAATATACGCCACTAGACAGGTGTACGCCATCTGCTAAATGTTCAACTATACATTGGTATACAGTTTCACATACAAACCTCCTTTTCGATGAAATTCACCCGATTTAAGCTTCAGTTAGTACAGCGTAATGCAAAACGACTGTCTGTCCACTTAATTTTAATCGAAATATGAAATTTTCCAAGATTAATATGTATACAGGAAATATTTTTCATAAACTCATTGTATAATTGTAATATCATATATCAGTCATGTCGGTGTCATTTTCGCAGAATAACCCCATGGTCACGTTTCAACAATTTTCGCAGAATAAACTATAAATGGTCGTTGGAGGATCCAGGGGGGGGGGGGGGTGGCTGGGGTTGAACCCCCTTTCTCGATTTATTTTTGCCGTGGAGAGAGAGAGAGTTTGTTTTAATATTGATTATTGTCTATATTTTTACGTTAATGATTGAATTATTAATTACAGTACTAAAAACGTTACGGTTTATAGATTTGTTTTTTATTTATTACTGGTCTCGGAAAACTACGAAAGCCCACTTAGCTCAATTTCGTAGGTAAAAAAAAATATTTTTCGCGTTATAACGCGAAACTTTCGCGAATAAACGCGAAACTTTCGCGTTATAACGCAAAACTTTCCCTGTAAAACAGAGACATTTGCATAAGTCTCCAGTTTGTTTTACTTTTTAATGATCTAGTTTATTCATTACAATGAAAAACGAAAGACTATTTTGAACTTGGATTATCACGAGCTGAAATTTTATGTTTTCTCGCCATTGAATGTGTCTCTCCTCTTTCTAAATCTTTTTTGCCGTCACATTTTGTCTTTCTCAATGCTGTTCAATACAAGTGTTGAAGCGTATAGTAGAGGAGCGAAAATACAAGTCTAATTTTAATTAGATTGAACACTCTCTATAGAATTTGAAATAAAAGATTTCAGAAAATTGACATGAAAATGAGGCAAATTTGTATATTTCACGGAACAATTGTGTCACATCACATGAGTAATCTAATGTGAAAATTGGATGACAAATATTCGTATCAAATATTTCATCTCCGATAGACTCACTGTAGAAATACAACATTGTATTTTAAGGTTGCACCACTTGGTCATACCATTACTTACTAAAACATTGACAATTTATTCATAGAAAGCAACGAGTGGAGATCTTCCTGAGAGAAAAAAAATTAGTCTATAGAATTTCTTGGATTCAACAAGTGAAAAACAAGAAAATCTTTAAAGGAATATTCATTTAATTAATTAGTATGGTTTTGAGATAAAATGCAAAATCAACACTAATCTATCCATTTCTCCCATCAATTCTCTTTTACATCTTCTGAAGAAATATCATTTATAAATTCATAGAAGTCCCCCTCTGCGTTCATGTTTTTTATCTGTCAGTCAAGATTACAGGTTCCTGAGTAACATGACTATATATGTATAATTTCGCGTTATAACGCGAAAGTTTCGCGTTTATTTGCGAAAGTTACGCGTTTATTCGCGAAAGAAACGCGTTATAACGCGAAAGAAACGCGTTATAACGCAAAAGTTACGCGTTTATTCGCGAAAGAAACGCGTTATAACGCGAAAAATATATTTTTTTTTTACCTACGAATATGAGCTCAATGGGCTTTCGTAGAAAACAGTGTTTCGAAAGAAAAATCATTTCAATACTGATACTAAGTATTGCCTTTATATGAATTTCACAGTCTGATGTTTACATTATATGGGGTTAAAAAAATAAAGAAAGAAAAACTAGAAACTACAAAGAAATTTTTATTATTAAATTATTTTGAAAAACCATTTGCAGGAACACAAAATTCAATGCACATGTTTGTACACAAGACAGTATTAATTCAAATATGTTTCTCCCATTATCAATTGTGTTTCCCCACTCTGGCGCAGTTAATTCTTCTTTTTTTCGTGTTCATAACGTGTTAGGAAACACCTAGAAGACGATTCTGATTGGCTGCTTATGCGTATGTAGGCCCGTAGAACGCGGCGGGGAGGGGGGGGGGGGTTGCGTATGTAGGCCCGTAGAACGCGGCGGGGAGGGGGGGTTGCAAAGATTATAGAGTTTCTTAAGTACATATATATATATAGTATTTTGTTAAAAGTAAACTTTCCTTTAGCTGCTGGTTTGCCCCCCCCCCCCCACTTTTTGTTGCTATAAGGTCGAACCAGTTGCCCCCCCCCCCCCCCACTTTTGAAACTGCTTTTCTAGGATATTTTATTTCTCCAAGTTCATTGCCATGATGGCATAAAATGCAGGGACCTGTTTTACAAAGAACTTATACGACTAAGTCCACAAACTTTATTAAATTGTAAAATTTTGCAAAATCAACGATTCTGTGTAAAATTGCTGGGGTAAAAATATCTTTCTACATTCCTTTTAAAAAGATTAAAATCGTTTTCAATTTAATGTAAATTAGAAAGTCATCAGCAGAATTTAATTTTCGTCTTAGTCGTAAGTTCTTTTGTAAAACGGGCACAGGTACCGTGCATGTTTATAAACATTTTTATTCCTTGAACTTTTCCCTTGTGTATTTCAGACCATCGAAGTATCAAGCCTTGTTTCTCTTGAAAATTAAAACCGAAGTCTCTGACGAGACTGTAGCTGTACTGGTTTATACTTTTAACAATTGAAGAGAAAATTAGCACTTGGACTTGAAACTATGCAAAAACAATATATTAGAATAATGATCCTTGGTTTAGCCTTGAAATCAAAAACCAATAAAAAGAAATATGTATCATGGTGTAGTCTACTTGTGTGCCAAGTAATTTTGAAATCAAGCCAAAACTGTAGGAGGAATATCATTTCGAAAGAATTTCCCGGAAATTTATATTTTTAGTGACCATGGCAAAACCATTCACCAAAATCAAAAAATCAATACATGTATGTAGAATTATGTATCTTAGTGTAGTCTACTTGTGAGTTTCAAGTAATACTGAAATCAGATCAAAACTTTAGAAGCATTTTAAAAGAATTTCAAAGAAATTTCTATTTTTAGTAACCATGGCAATACCGTTCATCAAAATAAAAAACCGATATACAGAATTATGTATCTTAGTGTAGTTCAATTGTATTCCGAGTTATATTTAAATTGGACAAAACTGTAGGAGGGTAGTGTTTTGAAAGTATTTCTCAAAAAATTCTATTTTTAGTAACCATGACAACACTGCTCATCGAAATCAAAAACAAACTAGAGGTACTGTGAGCACTGAACTCACAAAATGATACCCCCTGCCTCCCATATGTTTATAATGACAAAGTCCGATTTGCTATGGGAGACCCGAAATATGTGTCTGATCAAAGTGAAATAGGAGGTGCAAATGGCGCTATATAACAAAGATTCCGTGAAAATATCATTCATTAAGTTTTATTCAGTGTTATAAGAGGAGTTGTGGATAAGAAATGGGTACCCCTCAATATTATAGAAAGAATGGCAGTGTCTATGTTTTGCTACTGGAAACCCAAAATGTGTATCCAATCAAAAAGTAAAATAGGAGGTGCGCTATGGCACTATGTAACAAAGATTCTGTGAAAGTATCATTAAATTTTTTTGAGTGGCATAGGAGGAGTTGTGGATAAGAAATGTGTACCCCAAAGCATATCGGACGGACGTACAGATGGACGGACACCCCCATCACTATATACCCCCCCCCCACTTTTCAAGAGGGGGTATAATAAACAGAATTATGTATCTTAGTGTAATCTACTTGCATGCCATGTTTTACTGAAATCGGAGCAAAAAAAGGAGTAGCATTGAGAAAATTGTTTACAGACGAAAAACAGACAGACATAAAAACAGCTAGACGGACGACGGTCACCTTATAATCGCATGAGCTCTTCTGGTCTATGACCAGTATAGCTAAAAATTAAGGAACTCGAGTTTGAGAAAAACTCGTTATTAACAAGCACTACATGGTTATGGAACCTTTACTTTTTAATGCTTGCAAAAGTTACGCCTTTGAAATGGCACGAAAACGTCCCGATTTCTTAAAGCTCCAATGAGGCATTGTTCAGGCTTCACATATGTATATATTATCTCCACTTTGAAGCAGAATCTCAGAGTAAAAGTCTTTGATTGGTGAGAAATGCTCACGGTAGACATATACTTCCATTACGCTTGATCCGCCTGAATTCGTTTTCCAACTCTAAAGACTATTATAGTTATGTGACCGTTTTCCCTATGTTTCAAAAGGACATGACTTGAGTTAAGGAACTTTAATCACCGAGTAACATTACCACATTTTAAAAAATACCACCAATCACAGGCAGAAATTGTATAATAGAAAAGTGTCTGAAGAGAAGTGTTGGAGAGTTTATTTCCGTGGAAGAAGCAGGGAGGGGAAAACACAGGAAGCCCCCCCCCCCAATAAAATAGATAAACTATAGTCAAGTTTTATACAACATGAACACATTTCAAGACCTGGTCGAAAATTTGTGCTTACATGTATTAGTTCATTTAGACTTTTTGAATATAAACAAGGTGAATGGAATCCTATGGTAAATATTTTCCAGCATAATTATGTCTCTGAGATTCCAGAAGTCTCTGACTTGTGTGTACTTATTATAAAAAAGGTATCTACTTGTGTAAAAAGTCTAATTAGACCAAAACTGTAGGAGGAGTAACATTTTAAAAGAATATGAAGAAACACAGTTTGTTGACAATAAAAACTGATACACTGAATTATGTATCTAAGTATAGTTTACTTCTGTACCAAGTCTTATTGAAATGGGACCAAAAGTGTAAGAGGAGTAAGTTTAAAAATATTTCAAAAAAATTTCTAATTTTAGTAACCTTGGCAACACCATTTGTCAAAATTAAAAACCAATAAAGCCAATTATGTATCTTAGTGGAGTCTACTTGTGTACCAAGTCCTATTGAAATTGGATCAAAACTGTTGGAGGAGAAGCATTTTGAAAGAATTTCAAAGCAATTTCTATTTTTGGTAACCATGGCAACACTGTTTGTTGAAATCAGTAACCAATGTAAAGAATTATGTATCTTAGTATAGTTTACTTGTATACCAAGTGTTATTAAAATTGGACCAAAACTGTAGTAGAAATTGCACTTTGAAAACTTGTTTACAGATGGACAGACAGACACCTAGACAGATGACGAACCCCTTTTAAATGCATAAGCTCTTCTGACCAGTAGAGCTAAACATGGGGCATGTTGGACAGCTTCCACATTGGAAAAGGCCTCCAAAGCACAAAATAGTTATGCTAGTTGTAACATTTTATTTGTAAGTTGATAATTTAAGATCACGTCATTTCCGCTTCCCTTTTGGAGCCTTTTCCCAACCTTTGATGTACTTCTTTGGAATCCTATATTTTCCTACAAATGGATTTTTCCAATTCATTATTCAAATCAAAAATCAACCACACCTTAGAACAAATAGACTTTAACCAAATTTAATGAATTTCAAATCACCTGTCAATAGATCTGTAACAAAGGCTATCTGATTGCCTTGGATGACCACTTGAGTTTTATTGGAACTACTTGTGGATACAGTACAGCTGCACTGAATTGTAATCTGGATTTCATGTGCAATCTCCTTTAGATCCAGACCAAACACTTCCAGATTATCCACTGTAGTCACCTTAAAACAGAACATGAGAATAAGAAATGTAATAATATTTCACTTAATTCTAGCTGTTACAAAATACTGTTAGTTTATTTTTTTGTTTATCCTTAAGTTTACACTCATGGTCTATATTCAGAAATGGAAAAAAATTTATTGAATAAATTTAAAACAATTGTACACAAACACACACATGTACATTCAAAACAGTCACCAAGTTCCCAAATGGATTTTCATTTTGTTCAGTTCAAAACCATACCTTTTTATTGGATCCTCTTTGGAACACATTGAGTGTTATTTCCTCTATTTTGCCTTTCCTAATAATTGGAGTTTGTCCAGGGAATTCTACTTTGTAAACATTCTGCATTTTGTTTGCAATTCTGTCAATAAAAAACCCTCATATTTTCAAAGGCTCCAATATATATTTTATGTTTTAAAATGTCTAAAAACTTTAACTAAAATAATATCCATTATGCCATAATGCTCACTTGAGTCACATTAGCTTTCTATGCCAAATGTGAATAGGTAATGTAATCTCTTCTAGTTACCCAACTAAGTTGAAGGTCATATTACATGTACTTATTTGTTTAAAATACCATACTGTGTCTTCATAAGAACCCTTTAGAATATATATGTTATCTTTTCTGGCCCATCCATACTCTTTGAAAAAATAAGAAACTCTATTGAGTCCCCACCATAACCAAGGGGTTCATGATTTCAAGAAATCTGTATCTACATACTGAGACCTTATATGCTCTTTTTTGAGATTTTGAAAGATTTTAACTAAATATTTCTATGTTGAACATTGATATCCTATTGTGGCCCCACCTTAGCCTTGAGGACCATGATTTCAACAAACTAGAATCTACTGTAAATTAGGAAGCTTCCTCATAAATTTTGTCTTTTCTGACCCATGAGTTCTTGAGAAGATATTAAAATACCATAATTTTGCTATTCTAACTTATTTTCATTTGAAAGAGTGAATGACTCTTCATTTCAAGAAAATTGAAGCTCATTTAATCAAAGATGCTTTATGACAAGTTTAGTTAAAATTGACACAATTGCTCTGAAGAAGAAGTTAAAATGTGAAAAAAGTTTACAATGACAAAAAAATGAACAGATGCCAGGCACTCTTTGATAAACAAGGCTCAATTCAAGCTTTGCTCAGGTGAACTAAAAATTTAAAGAAATCTTTAGGAGTTAATAAGTTCAAATGTGCTGTTTACCTTGAGGTTAAATCATCCCATCGTAATTGTGTGACATCATTTTCTCCCTTACCCAGGACTATGGAAGCCAACAATGGATCTAGTTTAACCATGCTAGAGTTTATGGGTAAAATACAAAATTCATTAGAAATTATTATTAAGAAAAAATTATCAATGATTATAACAAGATTATCATAATACAAAAATTACATATTACAATAAAATGCGATTCAACATTATACAATCATATAATATGTATGTTAAATATAGTTTTAAATCAACAAGAAAACCATCATTTCTAATTATCACTTGGATCCTGGGTTTATAAATGTCTGTTTTCAAACCTACCTTTTGTTGTTTTCATCCTGTAGATTGTTCTTTCTCACATATTCATTGACGATGTTCCTCAGCTCTGTTCCTGTTATTGCACTCCCTTTCCTGTGGAGAAATTCTCTCATTTTATTTAAATGAAATACACCAAAAAAATCACAGAGCATCGTTCGATAGTGATAAATATAGGTACATACAGGTAAATAGGGTGTTATATTCAATTGTACATATATGTATACAGTAAAACAAGCTTATAACAAAGTGCCAGGGATAGACAATTTTGCTTCATTATAAGCATAATTCTAATATCAGCTGTTAAGTTTGCAATATATATTTTAAAGTCCCTGGGGAATGAAAATCACTTCGCTGTAAGCATCAATTCATTATAAGTATATTTGCTATAAGTGTGTTTTACTGTATATTTTATGTTACAATGCTTAGATTAAAATTCTGCTTTCATAATTTGCCATAACATAATAAAACATGTTATAACAAATTAATATTCTGTGTAGCCTGTATAAGAAGAATTTTTATAAAGAACTATCTAAAACATTTACTTACTTTAGTCCTAAATCTTTTACAAGGGAAATAACTGCTGCTGTGACAGACAACATGTCTGTGATGCGAGGAGGTTCATACTGTCTGGTAGGTCCCTCAGGGGGCAGTTCCAGAACTGCAGCTCCCTCTGGTGGAGAAATGTGCCGTAATCTGAAGAGAAGACAAATTATCCGTACAAAGCATAATTTTTTTGCCGTTCTTTTTTGGTCCAATAAATTCCATGTAAGAAATTCTGTTGTACCATATGTGAAGAGTTGTTTACTTACTCTGGGTGGTCTTTATTCATTTCTGTTATGCTCTCCACTCCTTTTGTTAATTCCTTCACTTTAACATAACCCAGCTTCTCCATTTCCTTCAGAAACTTTGACAACTTTTTAAATGAAGTTTTTTTGACATCTAAATGTTTATCTGCTGGGCTAATGAAATGAAAAGGTTCTGATTTAAATCAGTAACAAGTTTTATGAAAGTTTTTTTTTTAATTTTGCATTTGCCAATTTCCGAAGGCAACACCCACCAGAATTTAACCATGTGGACTTTGTAGAAAGCACTGGTTAGAACGGGTAGATCTGCTGGTTTTAGTGATTTTTTCAGAGCACACTGGAAACACAATTTGAAAAGGTCATCCATTGATTCTACAAAAAAAACTTTATCATTGCATATTTATGTGAGACTTATCTGCTTGCAAAAATTTCACTTTCATGTATATTTGTTTTATTAAAGATTAATTGATTTGAAACTGAAAAATCGCGAATAAAAGATGACGCGAATAATAGTTGGTTTACAGTATATCTAACAATTTACAGATTTGTGAAAATTTTGCTTCACTTATATATATGTAATTACCATCTCAAAAAAAAATAGGGCATTGCAAAAATTTGGTGATCTACAGTAGTGTAAAAGATACATCACACAAATGTCATGGTTATAGGATATTCTTTACTTTTGACCTTGACCTATGACTAAGTAACCCCTGAAATATGTAGGTGTTTTCCTCTACTGATCCTCCATTGATATAGTAAAAATGAAGTAATACTAGAGAATTCTAGCATACAGAAGAAGAAACTTGATAATAGTAGTTTTTAGCTCACCAGAGTAGAAGGCTCAAGTGAGCTTTTCTGATCACATTTTGTCTGTTGTCCATCTGTCTGTCTGTCCGTCCAACCGTCTGTAAACTTTTCACATTTTTGACTTTTTCTCCAGAACCACTTGGCCAATTTCAACCAAAACTTTGATCCCCCATAGGTGTTTTCCTCTACTGATCCTCCACTGATATAGTAAAAATGAAGTAATACTAGAGAATTCTAGCATACGGAAGAAGAAACTTGATGATAGTAGTTTCTAGCTCACCAGAGTAGAAGGCTCAAGTGAGCTTTTCTGATCACATTTTGTCTGTTGTCCATCTGTCTGTCTGTCCGTCCGTCTGTAAACTTTTCACATTTTCGACTTTTTCTCCAGAACCACTGGGTCAATTTCAACCAAACTTGCCACAAAGCATCCTTGGGTAAAGGGGATTCAAGTTTGTTCAAATGAAGGGCCACACCCTCTTTCAAGGGGAGATAATTAAGAATAAGTGAAAATTTGGTGGTATCTTTTAAAAATCTCCTTCTCAAAAAGTAATGGGCTGTAAAAGTTGTAACTTAAGTTAGACCTTCACTACATAGTGAAGATTCAAGTTTGTTCATATCATGACCCCCTGGGATAGGGTGGGGTCACAATGGGGGATACATAGGAATATAAGGAAACAAATCTTTAAAAATCTTCTGCTCAAGAACAGCAAAGCGATTTGTTATATTGATATGGAAGCATCCTCAGGTAGTTCAAAATCCAAGCCCCCCCCCCTTTAAACTTTTCAATACTGAAGTGATTTGTGCTTTTTCCTAGCCAATGTGCTCAGGTGAGCGATGTGGCCCATGGGCCTCTTGTTTTGAAATATAAATGCAGTAAATATTTCTGTTGATACCAGCAGGTGACTGATCCTCAAAGTCCTCCTTTGGCACCTCCTCCTCAGTTTCCTCTTTTGGCACCTCCTCCTCTAAACTCAATTTGTCTGCAGACAACACTAATTTCTCATCTTCCTCTTTCTCACTGGGGATGTCCTCTACTGCTGTTTCCTGCTGGGGTCCTTGACCTTCCTCACACTGATCTGACCCCTGGGAGGGATCTGACAAGTTTATAACCTGAGCTGTGTTACTATCTTTAGATTCATTCCCGAGTGAACTAGCTGTGTCGATGGCTGTATCTTGAGGTTCTTCTGGTAACAAAGGTGGCTTTGATTTATCTCCAAAGGCCCTGCAAACATAGGAGTTGGTTTTAATGTGATAAATATACAAATGTAGTATAAGAAGCAATAAATTTGACAATTGATTAACTTAAAGTATCAATACATTCTACTTCTCTACATTTTTTTCAAGAATAAATTTTACTAAAACAATCAAAAGCTGTTGCATCTACCATAATTCATCTCCTAAGATATGCAGTACATGGATTCCCTTTCCTCTCATTGCAGAATCAAACATGTCACTTCCTGACATGACGGCTGTACCAACAGCCACTGGGCTCCTGGTGGAAAAGAAAAGATTTATATATATTTAACAATCTGTTCATTTAATTCTTTTAAGGAAAGTGGAGGGGGAGGGGGGGTTAATTTCAAAATAAAAACATTCCTTGAAAGATCAGCAGTATAAAAGTCTTACCGATTTCCCACCAATGAGATAGAACAAACTGTTCCTTTGTCAATGTGAGCAAATGTTTTAGGAGTTATGTCTCCTTCAACGACAACCCCTGGTAACATTAAATCTACGATAAAAGAAAAGGAATAAGTCTAAAATATTTGAAGATCTCAAATGCTGAACAATTTTAAAAATCTTAGGCAAAACATTTATGGTACAGTGTACTTCTTTTTAACATAAATTGAAAATATGTCTATTGCATAATGCTTTCAGTATTCTTGAATAACTATTTTCAGTGCTAGCTATTTTTGCTTAAGTATATACCCTGCTGGTGAATAAAAAAAGACCTATGGTAACCAAACAATAAACATATATTGTGAACCTAACACAAGTCTAATAGCACATATACATGTACATTCAGTTGAACTTCGGTATCTTGAACACTGAAACCTTGAATACCATGGATATTTCAAATTAATTTGGAAGTCCCAACAACTTATTCATTAAGTATTTTACCCTCAATTTTTTGAATTCTCAGATATTTCCAAGTTTTTTCTTGGTCCCATTAAATTCAAGATAACCAGGTTTGACTGTATGTCTAAATGAGCTGCCATCAATCTTTTACTGTTGGACATATTTTTTTCAGTCCTGCCAAATTTTGAAATATCTAGGTTTGAATGTACATGTAACATTCCAATGTAGTGTAATGTACATAATACACATTGTACCTGCACCACCTGCTAGTTTTGTGAAAACAGGTGGATGTGTTCTAAACACTGGTAAGAGGTCTGGATATTTCCACAGAGTGTACACAGAAGGAAAGACAACTCCATCAACATCTATTAAAACAGGATTCTTTTCCACACAGTACACGAGGACATTAACTCCGGAGTGTGTGTTAATTTTAGCAATGGTCATCTCAGCTTTGTTTGGAACGATATCACAGGCATCCTTTGTTGATATGGATGGGTAACAGCTCTGTAAAGTGGATTTGACTTTCTTCCTGAAATATAAAAATAACAGATCATCAAAAAATTATCCATGTGCTGTATATATTTAACCTGTAAAAATTCAAAGAAAATGCAATCATCTTGCCTATTCAATTAGAAGAAGGGAGAAAATTGGTCTGCATGACCTTCAAGTTGAAGTCCACACCTTTCATTTTACAATATTTGACTACAGCTTCCATACTTATGAATTATAAAATACTCAATACTCAACAGTGTCTAGATATCAAACATTTTAACAAAATCCTCTTACGTGTTCATGTTCTTCTACCTACAACTATAGTCCCGCTGGACATGTCACTAATAATGACATGAATATAATTAACAATTAGAACCTTAAATCACCTATTTTTAAATGGGTCAAATTTGAAGGAACCCGATCTTTCAATTGGTGACAAAATTTCATAAATATATGCATTATGAGTTCTGTCAAAAAGTAAAAAAAAAAAGTAAAATTTTTGAACACTTATACAACTATTCCCCAAGAAAAAACTGAGACCATACTTTTTGATGTAATAGACAACTGTTTCTTCAATAGAAATGAAACATAAATTTGCATACCTTGTCAATGGTCATCTGAAAACTTATTTTGTAAAAAAAAAAAAAAAAAGTTCTGATTCTACACACAAGTACTCAGAGATTGATATTAAAAAGATACTTGAGTTTCTCATTGACAGTATATGCTATATTTGGAGACCAGGTTTCCAACAATCTGTTGGAATTCCCATGGTTTCTAATTTTGTCCCATTATTAGCAGATCTGTTATTATAGCAAGCCAAATGAGAGGCTTGAAGCCTCGCTCGCAAAGCGAGCTCAATAGACTAACGTGTAAGAACAGAGAAAATTTGAACTGAAGTCTGTATACTCATCAAGCAAATTTTTGTGTGAAACCTTCCTAGAATTCATTCAGCACCAGCATTCCATGTGATAATGGCGAATATATCTGGCCCACAGTTATTGTGAAAATTAGTTGATGGCAACAGCTAAACCTTATGATAAATGTCATCATTCATGATTCAGCTTTTCTATCTTCAACTTACCTCATTTCAGTAAAATACAGTAAAACTCGGCTATAGCGAAGTCCTGGGGACCTTTGAATTTACTTCGCTATATCCGTAATTCGTTATATCCGTATAACAAATTTGTAAAATTATATATAGTTCATTTGGGTTGTCCCTGCCATAGTTTATCAAGAATTAATTTACTCTTCACAATATCTCTGAGATCTCATCTTTTTAATAGTTTGTCTAAAAGTAACCAATTTTTATGGTTAATGAACTGTGAAGATGTTGATGTGCTGTGCAATTTGTGTGAATTTATAAGTCATATGTAGTTAGACAAATTCAAAGTCACATGTTGATCTTGACTTTCATTTACATGTACTTTAATTCACTACTACAGTATGTAATATGTTGTTAATATGCGTGTGTTGTTGTATACTCTGCATTGAGCAGAAGTGGATTAATTAAAATAATAATACTATCCTTCAGCACTGACTCTTGCTGTCCATTGCAGTTTAATATAATTTACACATGCCATTCACCATACATTTTTTTTTTAATTTTTATTTTTTATTATTTTTGCTATTATTATTAATTTTTTTAAAAATACTTTTTTCATAGATTATTATCTGTTTATTCTACATGAGGCAGAAGTGGACAACCTATGTCTACATATGAAACTCAAAATACCACCAATGTACTAAATGGAAGAATTGTTCTTCATTATATATTGTATTCTGTCTGTTATCTTATCTGTAATTATACATGTTACATGTTTATGCCCATTGGACCCTGCATGATTTGGTAATAAATCCTATTCTATTCTATTCTATATAGCGTATTCGCAATACACATGCTTTCCTTTATGTATGACTGCCGAATATGTTCAGGGAAATATTGAATACAAAAAATATCTCATAGAACTAAAAATCTGAGATGAATTTAATTTCAAACATACATACTTATGGAAAATAATGCCAGTTCAATACTTAAAATTTTGTGATCTTAAAAATTCATTAAAAAAGATGTATATTGCATTATTTTTAACTTATACTGGATACATAATCAATTCGCTATATCCGTAAATTCGTTGTATCCGTGTTCATTATAACCGTAAAATTTCACAAGGAATTGTTATTATAAGAATTTTAATGGGGATTTCAAAAAACTTTGTTATATCCGTATATTCGCTATATCCATGTTCGTACTAAACGAGTTTTATTGTAATAAACCACACTCACCTGCATATGGGGTATTGCTAAAATGACTTCATGTGAACCCAAATATTTTTAGAATACATGTACTACATTCTAAAATCCATAATTCCATATATGTCAAGTCAACACTTGGGTCCCATATCAACTCTTTGGCTGACATGGGGCCAATGGGGAGTATGGATTACAGTTTGTAATCTTCTCTATTCATTGATAAAACAGTTGACTCTTGTGATGACACTACGGGCTGACATTTAGTGATGTCATATGATGAATAAATATAAACAAAACTAGTGTCAAAACGTTGCTTCCTACCTATCAGATCCCTTGATGCTTGTCTGAGTTTTTACCCTAAACGGTTTCAAAAACATATTTGCTAGCAGATGTCAACAGTTACAGTATCATCATAATCATGACAGCCGAAGTAGACTAATGTGCAACTTCCGGTGCGTTTCCCTTTACGTTAATTTAACGACATACAAGGTTTATCATCTAAGCGTGTATAAAATTTACTCGCTAGGTAGATGCAAATATGATATAGGCTTATATTTATGTTTTATTGTTTTCAATATAACAATATTTTTAATTTATAGTATTGTCGTAAACAAATCAACCAATCAACACCTTCGATACAAATTTAATAAACGAATGAAAACGTATTTCATATCATATGAATGACGTCTCCTTAGTGACCACTTGATGCGGCAACATGGATTCTTATGATAGCATTTGCTGAAGTTGACGCTAAAAAGAACACAAAATGACCGATATTCTTTGTAAATGGCTCAACGATGAGCTGAATATAACACAGCAAGTCGGTAAGACTTTGTTTATCAATAGAAGAAAGGTTTCAATTTATGATTTTAGGCTTTCGCACAACTTTATATACTATTCAAGATGCATGTATATATGTGTGTTTACCAATGACAGTTAAATACATTACAGTATGGTTTGACATAAACACTTCACACATTCCTTAGTTTTGTGTAGACTTCTGATTGATCATCATCTACACACACCATTGTCAACAATTCATTTAAATCTCTTTCCATATTGATTTATTATTTTTATTCTTTTCTTTTTTTAGCTCACCTGAGCCAAAGGCTCAAGTGAGCTTTTCTGATAAAAATTTGTCCGTTGTCTGTCGTCGTCGTTGGCGTCGTCGTCGTTGTCGTAAACTTTTCACATTTTCATCTTCTTCTCAAGAACCACTGGGCCAAATTCAACCAAACTTGCCACAAAGCATCCTTGGGTAAAGGGGATTCAAGTTTGTTCAAATGAAGGGCCGCGCCCTCTTTCAAGGGGAGATAATTAGGAATTAGTGAAAAAATAATGGCATCATTTAAAAATCTTCCTCTCAAGAACCACTGGGCCAGGAAAGATGAAACTTATGTGGAAACATTCTCAGGTAGTGTAGATTCAAGTTTGTTCAAATCATGACCCCTGGGGGTAGGATGGGGCCACAATGGGGGATCCAAGTTTTACATAGAAATATATAGGAAAATATCTTTAAAAATCTTCTTCTTAAGAACAGTAAAGCCATGATTGGTCATATTTATATGGAAGCATCCTCAGGTAGTGTAGATTCAAGTTTGTTCAAATCATGACCCCCGGGGGTAGGGTGGGGCCACAATGGGGGATCCAAGTTTTACATAGAAATATATAGGAAAATATCTTTAAAAATCTTCTTCTTAAAAACAGTAAAGCCATGATTGGTCATATTTATATGGAAGCATCCTCAGGTAGTGAAGATTCAAATTTGTTCAAATCATAACCCCCAGGGGTAGGGTGGGGCCACAATGAGGGATCAAAGTTTTACATAGAAATATATAGGAAAATATCTCTAAAATCTTCTTCTTAAAAACAGTAAAGCCATGATTGGTCATATTTATATGGAAGCATCCTCAGGTAGTGAAGATTCAAATTTGTTCAAATAATTATTTTACAGTCAAATTAGAAAGAACTATGAATTACAAGACTACTTGAAATTTCCAATTAATAAATCTGTACGTTCTAAATTAACAAAACTGAGAATTTCTGCACACCCTTTAGAAATTGAAATTGGCAGATATTCAAAGCCTTGTATCCCAAAAGAATCTCGTTTTTGTCACTATTGTAAAAATGTTGTAGAAAATGAAATACATTTCATATATGACTGTCCTATATATAAAGATTTGCAAAAAAAGTATTACCCTTTGAACATCTATAATTTAAATGATAACATGTTGAAGGAAAATCATTGTAAAGTACTTTGTAATCCTGACAATGCAGTTCATTCTAGAAGGCTATGCGAATTTTTACATGAATGTTTTGAATTGCGTTCTAAAAATAGAGCACAATAATATATATTTAATGCAGTAATTAGTTTATCTCTGTCCATATTATACTGTTTATACTATTTGCATAATGATTATGTATAACTTCAAGTTGTAAAAGTAGTTGACTTCACTGATTTGTACACTTGCATGTATGTATGTACTTTAGTATATGTTTTAGTAATCTGAAAACACACTGTATTTTTCATTTTGTTTGTAACATGGTTGTATGCCAACATGTTTGGTGAATCAATAAATTGAATTGAATTGAAATAATAACCCCCGGGGGTAGGGTGGGGCCACAATTGGGGATCCAAGTTTTACATAGAAATATATAGGAAAATATCGTTAAAAATCTTCTTCTTAAGAACAGTGAAGCCATGATTGGTCATATTTATATGGAAGCATCCTCAGGTAGTGAAGATTCAAGTTTGTTCAAATCATTACCCCGGGGATAGGTTGGGGCCACAATGGGTGATCAAAGTTTACAGAGGAATATATAGGAAAAAGTCTTTTTCCTCAAGAACAGAAAAGCCATGATTAGTCAAATTGATATGGAGGCATCTTTGGGTAGTGTGGAGTGAAATTTGTTCAAATGAGGGCCCCCGGGGGTAGGGTGGGGCCACAATGGGGGATCAAATTTTTACAAATGAATATATGGGAAAAAAATCTGCTGCTCAAGAACAACAAAGCCATTTGTTATATTGATATGAAAGCATCATCAGGTAGTTTAAAATTCAACACCCCCCCTCCCCCTATAAACTTTTCAATACTGTACTGATGTTTGCTTTTTTTCCTATCCAGTGTGCTCAGGTGAGCAATGTGGCCCATGGGCCTCTTGTTTTATAATTACAACACATCCATTACAACATTTATATTTGTACAACTCATCCATTATAGCATTTATATTCTGTATTCACTCCATGAAACATATACCTCTTTGTACCATAAAGAAAAAAAAGCAGGTTTTGTACATGTAATTCTAAAAAAAAATATTAAGTTGCTAATATTATTTACATGTTTTCTCCTGTGTTAGACTGTAGTATTAATAAAAGAAATTTAATTTTTAGACCAAGTAACTTTTGCCAGAGAATTTGCATCAGGATATCTCATTGGAGAAGTCTTAAACAAGTATCAGCTTCAAAATGATTTTGATCAATTCTCTCAAAGCAAGTGAGTATAAATGCAAAGATTTTAATACCTTTCCCACACCATACTTTCTGATTGATATCAAGGCTATAATCAACAAATTAATGGTATCAAATTTTCAGTCAGATATGCTCAGTTTGTTAAAACTCTTTTCTGCATTTAATTGTTGCTTCCTTCAAAACCTCTGAGTCTGTTAATTAATGTCAAAACTCTGTTTAATTAAAGAGATAGAGAGCAGAGAATTTTAGATAAAGAAAGAATTTTTCTAACCATTAACTTGATAAAGCCGTGAGAAACTGCAAGTCCAAATATCAGTATCACATGCAATCTCTGTCTTGAAAAAAAAAATCACACTAGTGTATACATGTGAGTTATATTTTTCAACAATTCATGATTTAAATAAACTTGTACAAGGCCTTCAGAACGGGGGTTGCTTGGGTGTGGTCTCCCTTTAAAAACAAATGCTTGAAAATATAATTTTTGATTAAATTAATTCATTACTGAGTTGTTGAAACTAATGCTTCTAGATTAATTTTATTTCATTCTTGAAAGAATGAATTCAAGAATGCAGCAAAACCAACCAAAATGGTGCACATTTATAAAAAAAAAAATAATAAAAAGGGGGAACCCCTCCCAGACTCTTCTCTTAACCTCCCCCCCCCCCCCCCCCCTCCTGAAACCAGACAGTGTCCGTATTGACCAAGGAAGAGGACTTGAATACCCTAGGTATCAATCCCCTTTCTACATGTAGAATTATGTTTTGGTAGATTTGCAGAAATATAACTTATATGATCATTCATTTGTGCATTAATACTGTTTTTCATTTTTAATTTGTTATGATTTAAAATTTTTTCTTTACCCTAATTTGTATTTTAAAAACTTAGATAAACTGACAAAATTTGATGTTTTTATAAATCTGATTTTAGAACTGCTGACTCAAAGCTCAACAACTTTACAAGAATTGAGCCAGTTCTGCACCTCCTTGGAATTCCATTTGACACAAATGTTGCTCGTGATGTGATGACAGAGAAACATGGTGTGGCAACACGCCTTATGTATCAGCTCTATGTGGCACTGAACAACAAGAAAAAAGCTAATCTTACTGGAGTAGCCATGGAAACAATGCGACCAGCTGCCCCAGCTAAACTGAATGCAGTGGAAAGTGGCATTTACAAAGAAGTAATGTTTTAGTAATACATATATTGGTCTGAAGAAGAAATGAATCTTTCACTGACATTTTTTTCCTTTAAGCTGAAGAATATCTTTGAAAACAAATTTCCATTATTTTGAATTGATAAAAACATCTTAATACCACATGAACGAGATTCTGAGATATCTAAGAACAAAAGCACAAGACTATGTGTCAAGAATATTCTCAGACTTTAGTGTACCTATAATATTAATTTGAAACACTGCATTCATTAATTTTTTGTTTGCATTCAGAGACTAAAGCATGCCACTCCAAGACAGACAGATCTGAATTTAGAGGCCTTGGTGCAAACATTTCATGAGAAACAGATAGAAATGGAACAAGTGGCCTTTGCTGACAGGTTTCGGGAGCAAGAGAGGATAAAGCAACAACAACAGGACCAGAGAAGAGCTCTGTTGGCTAGATCTCAGAGATTAAGGGAAAAACAAAGTGAAATTGTGGCCAAGATACAGTAAGTTTGTAAATCATTTAAAATCTGAGTTGCTGTAGTGAGAAAACTGGTAAAGATATGAAAAAATTCACTGAAGTAGTGATAAATTCTGATGCTGTCAATAATTGTTTTGAAATATTCTGTTTGTATTTGTGTAGGGATCAAGCTATTTTTTAGTTCTGAAATTCTCTCAACTGAACATAATTTCTGTGTTTTTTCATTGATAGACATATGATGATTTTATTCATTTTCAATGATGTAGTCTCTTAATTCTTAAGCCTAAATTCTGTCACTGCTTCTCTTTCTTTCCTGTTAATTGCAAGAAAATGATTTTTCAACTCTTTAATCCCCATAACTGGAAAAAAAATTGCTATTAAAAAAAATCATATTATATTTTTAAAGAACTTAATTTTTCTAACTCATTGATTTGGATCAAATTTGCTTATAAAAATTCATAATATTTTATATGCACATTTCTTTACGTACAGCATATCAAAAATAAAAATCTTTAAATGTGTTTTTCGTATTTGTAATAATGTAATGTAATGTAATAAACATCAGAATTCAGATTGCATTGTCTGACTCCTATCTGTTTTATTTTTGTAGAGAAAGGTAAAACAATACTTGTAGCTTTTAAGTTTTTATTAGATGTTTCAGCAGGCATGGTGTTACTGTTTTGTCACGCCTTGTTTTTGATCCACAAATAGAAATTTGTTGTAGCTTTACAATTATTATGTACGTGTATCAATTAATCTAAAAGCTTAGTTTAGCATATTTTTTCATTCAACAGGTTTATAACTTTCATAGTTATTACACTGATTTTGTTCCAAGCTGGACAAAACTACACAAATAATAATTCTGTTTGATCAGAGTTGATTTTCATTGTTCCATAATTTTTGTGTTCATTTATTCATTCTCTAAATATGTTGTGAGGGAGAGGTGATATTTATGTACCTCGTACCCTTATATTGTTTCTACATGTTAATAACTCCATTTCAAAACCCTTTTGATATTTCCACCCAAAGCCTCCTCCTCCCCCCCCCCCCCCCCCCCCCCCACACACACACACTAAATCAGTACACCATTCTGTAATTGAATATTAGACAGGACATTTATGGTTACACATTTTTTTTCACTAGGTTGGTTCCCCTAGCTTCTCAAAATCATTGTTGTTAAATTCATAAATCTGTGGGAAAAATCTTTTGTTTCATATACTATATGAATTTTCAGATTTATTTTGACAAGTGCATTTGTACATAAATTCTTCTATGCTTGATTTAACAAACATCTATTCAAATTTACTGCCTTTCCCAGGCCTTTCAGAACAATAATTTAAAAGGGGAGCAGTCTTCCCTTTCCGCCCAGTTAATTTTTAGGATACTGAAAATCAATCTGTATGGTCCTTTTGTTTTCAGTACACATATAATCAACTTGTTGCTATGATTTTTTTATAAGAACAATGTTGCTTTTGCAAATCAAGGAAGCAATGCATTTTTATCCCTATATATACATTTGTACCTGCCAGTTGCCAGAATTGTTATTATTATGCACATTATGCTATGATGACTGACACATGCTTATGAATATTCATTTGGAAATTTATATCGTTTGTCTTCCTACATTATAATTATATTAGAAATATTTGTAAAAACTTTATTTTTATGATATTTAAATTTATGGGGAACATTAAAGCTGTTGGATGCCTCCAAGAATGTTTGACCTGATTTTTAAAGCATTTTATAGTACCCGGTACATGGAATTTGACATAGAAAATAATACACCTTTAACTTAATGTAATGTTCAGTTCAAATCAAGCTTTTATACAATGCATTTATAATATTCTGATTTTTTTATACACCCCTTTAGTGTTTACACTGGTGGGTTTAATGGATAGTATAGTGAATTTTAATTTTTTTAGGTGTATTAATTTATGGTTTTGACAGTTTACAAATTACATGTAATATTTTACAACATTTGATAAAAAAAAAAAAAATCCCTAATGATTTATTGTTATTGGTTAACTGATATCAATTTATTTTGATACTTTCTAGAGAAGCTTTTATCTTAGATTTATTAACTATTTAAAATTTTAAATAACTAATTAATGAATTGGAAAGAATATAATCTACATAGCACACATTCTTCAAGGAGTAGATTCACAAATTTAACATAATACTTGAGGTAGAAGAACTACTGATTTAACCAGAAACTATAAGATGTATTATTAAAATGAAATGATGTAATGATCTTGTTTAATTTCTAACCAATAAGATATACCATATGATTAATTAACTTAACCAACAACAGCATGCTTCAAAATTCAAGTTACTCAATAATATTATCACCTTGATTAATTAGTAAGCAGTGTTTTGACTGATATTTTATTTTTCAATGGTAGAGCTGCTACTGTCAATATTCCAAAACCTCCACCAGAGCAGACAGCTAAAGCCATCCAAAGGAGGAGAGAACTGAGGAGACGAAGGGAGGCAACTGTATGTTACATTTTGAATAAAATTCCCTTTGTGTAATCAAAAAGCCACTTTGAAACTTTTTTGTTAAACCTCTAGTTCAGTGTAAGGATTTGATAAGCTTGATGTATTTGTGACATTACTTTCATTTGTTTTGATTTTTATTAATGCAGGAGACAGTAGAAGCTATTTCTCAGTTTGAAGACAAAATGAAGATGATTTTGCCTCCATCTAAAGATGACGATGGGTAGGGGCACTGATTTTTTTTTATTAAGTTTTTCCTTGTTGATTGATTTACTTGAATACTTTTTATGTCGAGGCACAAAATCACAGTCTTAACTGTGGGAGTCTTTGAAGTATTGCATAGTATACCCATAAATGTCAATGCAATTTTATGAAAGTCCTGAGAGTAAAACAGAGAAGTGTTTAAATTGTAAGAGCATGCAAATTTTTGTGTGTATTGTGAAACATTATGATTAAAACAAAAACAAAAAAAACATTCATTTTCAGAGAGGTGATAGATGTGCAGTACATTTTGACCAGAGATGAAGATCGTCTGCTGGATGCCATTGAGCTGATAAAGCCAGCCTCTAATGATGACTACATCGGGAAGATCAGAAAGAGGCTGCAGGAGGATGAGTCCGCTCGAGCTGAGCGGGAGAAAAGGAGGAGAAAAGTTCTGGTAGATCAAATGAAGGCTCATGAGGCTCAAGAGGTAAGACAGATTCGGAAGAGCATATATGTATCATATAGAAACAACAGATATGTTACTTGAACTATAGACAGGTTTTAGTAAGTTACTGAATTTTGCTATGCAAAAGTTTATTCCAATTTTTTTATTATCTAGAAAGTGATACTGCTATTTATTCAATTAAATTATTTCAACAAATCTTAAATATGCTTAAACACATCTCTTTAAATTCATTAAAATAAAAAAAAATTAAAAACAGGCAAATGAATTAATTTTAATTACACTTTGCTGTGTGTTTTGTTTCAGGAGGCAAGACGAGAGGAGATGTTGGTAAATCGCTTAATGAGACAATCCCAACAGGAGAGGAGGATAGCAGTCCAACTGCTGCAGGCCAGACATGAAAAGGAGGTCATCAGAAAGAACAGGATCACCAGGGAGAAGCAGTATGAAGACCGACGACTGAAGGACTTTGTGGATGCTCTCAACCGAGAAGCTGTAAGTTCACCACCGAATATTGATTGATTTTATTTTTGGTAAGAACTTTATGGTCAGTTAATTAATTAGAGTACTTTGATAGAAAATGGGAACTTTTCTCCTCATTCTATGTGGGATTAAGGCATTGTATAATTGTAGCATTCTGGAAGTTCTACATGCTGTGATTTTCTCTATATGTATTTTTAATGTCTTACACACGAGTGATTTATTTCAACACAGGAAATGGCCCGCCTGGCAAAACTGGAATATGAGGAACAGACCAAGAAGGACCAGGAACTTCATGATAAGATAGCAGCAGAGCGTGCGGAGGCCCGATACACCAAACATTACGAGAGCTGTAACGAAGTTGTCAACCAGCTGGTGGATTTTGCATGTAAAGTGGCTGAATATAGAGAACTGACTGAAAAGTTAGTATTCTACTCAATGTAACTGTTTTAGTGTGTGCAGTATGTTTTATTTCCTTTATGCAATAATTAAATTTTCCACTAAATCGTAGATATTTTGGTCAATATGAATGAGAGACAATTAAAAAATTAATTGTTTTTAGAAAAATGAAGATAAAATGATTCATTTTCTTTAAAATTATTTTCTCGAGGGCTTTCTTTCTGTTGTGCATGCAAATGAAGTACAATACTTTTATTTTAACCAGTAATACAACACAATATTTCTCTGATTTTAGATTAGTGCCAGCCAAGTTAATGAGAGATTGGAAATCATTGTTTGTTTCTGGCAAACCTTTGTATGAACAAGCCCCTCCCCCTGAGTCAACTGAACCCTCCCCTGAGCAGATATTGGAGGAGGAGAGACAAGCTTTGCTGGATGAGGGTGACTTCACTGAATATAAGGTAAAACTGATTTCGTATTGTCATTGATATCTCTGACTTCTGAGTATTTGATTTTGTCCAAGGTCATGTGTTATCCATCAACTTATTGTTCATAGTAACATATAGTAGATAGATATATTGAATTAAGATAAAGATACATGTATTTGAAATTCAGATTAAATTAATATGTATTCATAATTCATTTAAGGCTCAAACAACTTTACCTCTTTTGTGTATTTTTTTTTTAAATTCAAAAGTCACTTGAACTTTTTTTCTGTAATTCTTTTCAATTCTGGCTTGCTTTTTGTGAGAAATGAGTGGTCAAAAACAAAAGTGAAAAATTCTTTGATTTCATTAGTTTTTGGAAATAAAGTACCTCGGGTAAAAAAAAGTCTTTGATGCCATTTGAAATTTTGAATTTAGACTATGACAGGAGAATGGCAGCCACCAGAAGGAGGGGAAGTAATCCAGCCACCAAAAGACAATCCAATCACAGGGCATGTCATCCAGAGACTCTTCAACATGGTCTCTCCCCCAACTGTAAGCATTAACTTTAAAATAATCATATCACATGTGTAATCCTTTATCCAGTGAATATCAGTGGATAATTTTTTCATATCCCACACTATCTAATCAAATGCCTTGTGATGTCATAGAGACATTTAAATACATCTGCTTTTTTTTCTTTGAAAGCCACCCCCACCACCCCCAGAGTTTCCTCCCTTCCCTATTCGAGCATGTGTTCTGGGGAAAGTATTCAGTGGAAAATCTTCTATTGTGCAACAGCTGGCTAAAGGTAAAGTGATAATAAATACAAAAAGTAAATTTAGTTTGAATGCTAGAAACTGTAATGTCAAATAAAATCTTACAAGATTGATCTAATTTTTGTTGTTCCATTTGCAGAACACAGACTTCAAGTTCTTGATGTTGATACTTTAGTCAGTGAAGCTGTTCAAGCACATGAGAATGGAGAAACAATGGCAGTACAGGTAATGAGAAGTAAATCAATTAGATGATTTTATTTTTTAACACCAAAGTGCTTTTTTAACAACATTTTCTCAACTGTAAAAACTTCATTTTTGAAGGACAAGAAAAAATCTAACAAAGTTAAACAGGTATTTTCCAAAATCCAGCTGTGTAAGAGGAGGCTTTACATATGCATATCACTGCAGTAAAAGTTTCTGTGCATGCACAAATAAAAAAACCATGTAAGCACATAATTTTGTAATATACTGTACATATTTTAGGGGTAGTTTGCTAGATCATATCAATTGAATTACATGCATGTAAATTCATACAAAATATACAACTATTCATATTGTAAGATCTGCATGTTTAACTTACTTCTTACTTCCTGATTCTATACAACTTCTTTGAGCTACATTGTACATTAGCAATAATGCATGGTCTAAAGTAGATAAACAATTGAAATATTTTAAAATTTGCATGAAATTTTTAAAAAGTGTAATTTAAAAATATATATTAAAAAAAAATCATTAAGTTTGGAGTCTGAAATGAAATGTATACATGTAACACTAGTCTTAAAATTCAGTCAGACTTACAAATAGAAACTCAACTGCCCAGCAGGCTGAAAAATATGTATTCCTGACTAAAATGAATTGACATCATATTTTCAAGTTTTTCTTGTGCAAAAACTTTTTTTGACAAATCTAAATATAATATTGTAAATTTTTTAAATTTACAGGAACCAGAAGTGGAGGAGAAACCGCCTGAGGCCTCGGAACAAACTGCACAACCCCCAGGTAATATTGCAGTCTTATTATAATATTGCACCACTTAACACTGACTACCAAAACTATCTCATATTGATTTGATACTAACAAACATACTCTTATCATAGCCAAAAGAGGAGTTTTAGAAAACTTTTGATCCCAAGAATATGAACTTCGTCTATTTTTAGTCCTTAATTAACATGTCCTTTCAAATAATATTTACTGATAGTTATGTGCATGTACATCCAGGCAGATAAATACTTGTGGAATCTTTCTTTACACAGACTCACATTGAGCACAGTTTGAGGAATTCATTCACCCATACACTGTAAATAATTTGTCCTTAAAGTAAAGTATATTCAACATTAACAGCTGTTGTTTTAAACAGAGATTTTTCAGAAATTCTATATTATGAGTTTCTCTTATTTTAACATAATGTAACTGAAAGATTAAAACAAAATTAACATGCAATAAATGTCAAACATTAACAAATATGACTAAAAGAAAACCCTTAGAGTTGAAATATTTTTAAAATCAACCCCCCTCCCCCCTTCCTTCTGCCTGCAAAACAGTATAAGGAGAGCAAAAATACTTTAAAATTTATTCACAGAGAAATGAACTAACAAAGTATGATAAATGTCAGTTCTAACATTACAGATTCAAAATTTCTGATCTGATTCTGTGCAATACCATGAGTGAATAAAGTTGAACATTAAGACTAACATTTGAAGCCTTATTTTCTCTCTAGGAATTACAATAAATATTCGAGCCCCCACGGGGGAGGGCTCGGTGACTCTGCCAGGTATCAGTAGATGTCTTTTTCAGCCTGTGTGTTTTCTTTCTTCTACCCCTCTGCTCCATTCTATCTTCATGTTTGCAGTAGTAGACTGCACTTTTGTAAACTATCTCCTTATATGGTAATTTTTCAGTACTTTGTAAAGTATTAAATATATGCATATACATGTACATATAATTATGTAGGCTTTTTGTAGATTTTAATTAATCAAATTTTTAAAAATATATTTATGTATCAAATTAAATAGAAATTGATAATGAATTTTGGTGTTACATTTACTTTATTGGGATTAAATTTGTGGAGGCTTTAATTTAACATTTTTTATTTATTTATTTTACAAGTTTGAATTTATGCAAATAGATGTCTTCCAGTTTTCAACTAATAATTATCATACAAGATCCTTTATTCTGAAATCGTAGTTCATTGAAACTATGATTATAGCAAATATAACTCTGTTATATTAGATAAATTACCACTATTTTTGAATAATTAAGTCACTCAAATTTCATTTTTAAAAGATCATAATCAAGCCAAAAAAGGGACTACTAGTATTTAAGAATTTGATAAAGGGGGGAAATCACAACCTAGTAAATCTTTTTTTTGCTTGAGAAATCTTGAGTAAATAATTTCCCAACTAATGTATGCAGAACTTGTCAAATATGAATTCTGAATTAAAATGGAACATCTTCCTTAACATATTTGTTGAATTTAATGTTTGTTTAGTCTTATAACATACATTTAGCCCAGAAAAAAACCATTTGTTAGTGATAACTGTCTGTCATTGGTTAAAAAAAGGTAAAAAGTCATTTTTATCTTGGATTCTCCCCCCAAAATTCTCACACATTTGCATGTTGCTTCTGATTGGCCAAAAATTTGTGATGTATTAAATATACTTCAGTCTGCTAGAGGATATACAGTGCTTAAGATGCAGTTTTTTATCTTTCACTCCAAAAATTATAGGACTTGTAACTTTAATCAATTGATCATAAATAGATTCTGATTTTACAAAATGAGAAATGTAACTAATATAGATTAAAAACGGGATTTTCAGAATCAGATTCTGTGTCAAATCAATGCATATTGAAACTCATTTAAACAGTTGATAATTTGTCAAATCAAAGATTTAATATCCATGAGATGTAAATTGCTTGTGAGTAAAGACCAAATGGAAACTTGTACAAGAAGAGATCTCTGTATATATATGCTTTGTGTCATCACTCATGAACAAGCTATTGATAACAAATTTAAAATATCACACACACAAATTTTCTGATCAATAATAAAATTTCTGTAGAGTCCCAGGCTGAGGTGGCACCCACACCCTCTGATAACCCAACAGAGGAGGTACCAAAGACTGAATCAGATCAGACAGCACCCCCAGCCACAGAGGCTCCACCCCAGGAGCCTGCCCCTCCCAGCCCTGTCAAAAGAACAAAGTCCAAAGGACCCAAAGACAAGAAACAAGTGGTAGGTATATTTGAGATGAAAAATTACACCCCTTATGACCATAAAGTAAATGAAGGGGGGGGGGATTTTTCCTTTAAGAAGGATTGCTTATAAAAACATCTTTCATCTTATTTATATTAAACAACTTTTGACTGGAATAGTCATAAAAATATTAATGTGATACACAAGGCTTCTCATTTATTGGTGGCGTGATGGATGTTCATGGGGAATTCAAAATAATCTCAGCCAAACATTTTTTTATGAATGGAGGAACTCTCAGTTCTATGATTATACAAAGAGACATATTAATAAATTCATTTTCCAATCCAAAATACAATTTAGGCTTTTTACTGGATTTGGAAAATATCTACAATGAATTAAAATAGTTTTAGACATTTTGTTGTTTAAGAAATTAATTTAAGGCTACGCCATGCAGTTTGCTTTTTTCCTTTCAAGTTTCCTTGGTCCATTGACATCATCACTCTATTTTAGAATTAATTTTGAACAATTAGTGTTGTCGATACTGAGCACATAGAGCTCATAATTATCTCAATAAATATTATTTTACAGCAAAAAGAATCAATAAAAAATAATATGAAACAAACAACTGAATCAACAGTTATATATAGTTTTGACTTTTTTGTTCTTGTATCAGCCTGATGAGCCAGAGGTATATAATTTTAATCATGACCAACAATTACAAAAACCATGTATTACCTTATTGAACATTACAAGTCTGTCATACTCACAGGAAATTAATAATGCATGTTTTATGGAATGCGTATAAAACAGAAAAAAATGCATGCACATTTTGAGGCCAAATGTGGCCAAATTTGCACATTGTGTCTCATACTGTTAAATCGTCTTCACTATGCCTGATTGATGTTGTTACCTTTACTGCATTTATTTCAGTTACAAATAATCCCATTTCAAAGTTTCTTTGTTTGAATACACTACTGCATAGCATTTTGAATCACTCTTTGTTTAAATTCCCCAAAATTAATTATTTGTAATTGCATGTAAACTTTGCCTCATTTATTGCTTTATGTATCTCATTCCAAGCAAAAAATCTTCAGTCATTAATTTTTCTAATGTTGCCCATTTCTGACTAATATTGATATGATTAATCTTCTAACATGCTTACAGTATGGTTAAATATACAATAATTATTTGGACCTTTTTACAGTTTTTTATTTAACTGGTTTTATATTTGAATTTTCAAGCCAACCCCTAAAGCCAAGCTTGGAGCCAAGGCCCTGAAATACTTAAAGAAGGGACAACCAGTGGATGATCAAGTGATTGTAGATATCCTGATTGAAACCATCAGGTAAAGATTAGACGCTTTGAGGCATCTTCAGGAACCATACACTTTTATGTAGGGATGTCAACGAATAGTCGACTATTCGACTATCAGTCGAATGGACCGATGATCGAATAATGAAACGACATTCGATTATTATTATAATTAAGTAAATGCAATAAATGAGTGATGGAATTCTCGTCACAAAATTGAGAAACCGTCTTTCCTCAGAGACAGTCGATAAGATAATTTTCCTCAACGAAAACGGTTGATTTTCCATGTCTGTATAGAAAGTACAGTAATTATAAGTGCTTCACTATACTGCGAGAATTAATTGTCAGTAACTGCCTTTGTCGTTTTTGTAATAAATTACCCACCAATATACTGGGCTTTGTTTATAAAATTATTAATTGGACTTGACCTTATACCATTTACCAATTATCTTTTGTTGTTATAAGATTGCTCAAATGAAAGGAACAAACCATAGCTGTGTCATGTTTTGACTCTTCTATAATTATTCAAACAGCTTACAATTTAATTTGTTAAGGACATTTTCATAGCCAGAGCAATCTAATAAATTTTAAATTTTAAAAAATATCGGCAATACTCACTAAAATAAAAAATGACTACATGTAAAAACGGTATTATGAATTCGATTGACGGGGAAATCGTACATTTTAGAGAATTGGGTTTCCCAATTTATTTCATATAATCATGCGTTACGTTGCATTAATTTTGATGTTACTTGTTAAATAGATTTAAGAAAAAAAAGGGTTTTGAATTATAAATACGTCATGTATCAGTGAAGTTTGAAATAAAATTTTATTTTCAGAAAATGTTCCGAACATTCGACTATCGTTCGAATAATGCAAACGAATAATCGACTAAGGAAAATAAATATTTTGACATCCCTACTTTTATGATTATAAAAGTGTAGTATATTTTAAACACACATATACAGTCAAATCTCATTATCTAGAACCTAATGGGACCCAGAAAAAATTTTGAGATATATGCCATGATTGCAGATATTGAGGTTAAAATACGTAAAGAAAAGTGGATGGGACTTTTAATTAACTCACTTTGATGTATCCATGGTATTCGAGATAGCAAAGTTTGAGATAACAAAGCTCAACTGTACATATCCAATTTCAGGGATATGTTGCAGCAAGTCTGTTGTTGAGCATCGTCTCAGGCCAAAGTTTGGAGTCCACATATAGCTCTTTCTCCTACCCATGGCTGCTTGATCACATAAAGAACTGTAAACTTGAATAATCACCCCTCTATATAGAACTATGAAAAATAATTGTTTCCACTGCAATTGCAATCAACAATATACAAAAATTTTTATTTAAATTGCACTTGGCTATTAATAGGTCCCATATGCATCAAAGTTCATTTTCTGACTATGCCTTACTTGCATTAGTCAATATTTTAATGAGCTACGAAATATTCTTTTCTCATTCAATCACAGCCAGAATGGGAACGAATGTACTTTTTGGCCATGGTTTTATAAGATTGATTTAAATTCAATATAAAACAGGATTTTATGCTTCAAATATATATGTGTAAGAAAAATTCAGTGACCTTGACATTTTGTTTTTAGATGGATCCCTGAGGAAACTGGATGGATCATAGATGGATTCCCTACAAACTTGTATCAGGCTAAAGTTCTTGAGAAAGCACTGACTGGATTTGCTGCAGGTGATAAAAAGGACGATAAATCAGGAAAAATGAAGAGGTCCAACCTTGTCAAAGACCCCCGCCCACCCCCTCCTCCCGCAGAACCTGCCAGTGGTCTGGATGTGGTTATCAGCTTTGATGTCCCTGATGATTTGTGTCTTAAGAGAGCTGCAGGTCGACTGTGTAAGTATATCATTTGGTACATCTATCCATGAATGATGCAACATTCACTAGGTATATATAATGCTACCTTCTAGCTTTGCTACAAGCATTTTAGCACACTTTAAGTTTCATTTCTGGATGATAATTAAATCAACAAGTATATTTTATGGTGAATGTAGAAGAGGTCACTTGTAAGTTAAATGAATTTAGTATGATGATTTCTGCATGTGAAGCATTATATTCTAGCTAATACTTTTACTATGTATTTAAAATCAGAATGAAATGTTTGCAGAGAATCCTTCATCGATAATGAGTACTTATTTAAAATAATCAATCTAGTTCATTTGTTTTTGTGTCTACTTAGATGGAGTACAAGCCAATGAACAGTACCATCAGGAATTCAACCCACCACCAGAGGGCAGTATGACAGGTGTAGGAAAACAGGAGCTTGTGGTTCCTGTTCAGGATAAGTCACATGACCAAGATCAAATCCAGCAAAGGTTTGTGTCTAACATTGTTGTTTAAAATGCCACTAAAAATTATTGACTTGAATTTTGATGATTCATTAATTGGCTTAATTTTGAAGATGTGTAACATTTTCGCCATTTTTTTTTTCAGGATAACCAAATACTTGGACTCGTGGCCCAAGGTTGAAAAGTGGTACAATAAGTTTGGGGTGTTGGCTCATGTGGATGCCTCCCAGGAAATGCGTACTGTGTATCTAGAAGTGGAGAAGGTTCTAGAGGATACACTAGCCAAGGTAGAATTTAAGACTCAAAATTTTGTGGCATGGCACATGCCAAACAGGTTTGTTGGATCATGACTTAATTCCTGTTTTGTACCGTAAACTTGTCCAGAGGAGAGTTAGCTTCTGATTGGAAGCTAACTCCAATCAGAAGATTAAGATTCACATCCCGAACATTTCAGATCAAATTTTTTAAAATAATTTGCTACTTATTCAGCAGCAGTCAGAAAGAATGTCCTTTATCTATAGGATAAAACCTTGAGGACCTAGGTACTCTGTCATTGGCATAAAAAAGTACTGGGGCGATGTGATTATAAATTCAGTATAATATTCTTATGGGGATGGGAAATTTTATAATATCATTTGACATTTTTCACAAGATTCACAAAAGCAAACCAATACTCAGAAATATGTGTTCTAGTGAAATGTTTAATGGAGATAAAAAAGATCAATTATAAAAGTTTTATGATTATTTTTTCAGCTTCAAGGAATTGGTCAGGAACCAGAGCCTGCTCCTGTAGAGCCAGTGGAGGAAAAGAAAGAAGAGGTAGGAGTTAAGTCCTTTTGACCTTTCTTCTTCAACAGAATATAATTATTATTGTCTTGAATTTAAGTTTTTGAAAAGAGTTTCAGGAAAACATCATTAAGCTTAAAGAAAAATTTTACTTATATGTATTTATCTCCCCTTAGCCTAGTTTGATATGAAAGAGTATCTTACTTCACCTAGAAAATTGTTTTTTAAACAGCCACCAGCACCACCCCCAGAACCACCAAAAGAGGAGCCACCACCAGAGGAGAAAACTTCAAGGTCTTCATCCAGAAAAGGTATAATTCTGAAAGCAAAGGGACAATACTCTATAAATAATTCATGATGAAGTAAACAAAATTTATTTGGATTGATGGGGTAGCTGACTATAATATGTCTGTAATAATTTCAGCAATAAGTAGAAATATGGGAAGATATTTTACCATTATCTCTTCATTGATCTATGCTTTTATTTTATTGCAGGTTCAGGGAAGAAATCTCGACCATCTTCTTCTAGGAGTAAGTCCCCTAAGTCACCCAAAGACAAGGATAAGAAAGGGCGTGACAAGAGCTCCTCCCCCAAACGTACTGCCAGCAGTAAAAAGTCAGAGGCAGGCAGCAAGAAAGGCAGCAGGGGTAAGGCCATTTTTACAAGGTCATTACATCATTACATTTATGAAAATTGGATATTTTGCACATATAAAATCTATAAGTATAAACAACATCAGCATTACACATTTGTGCATGACAGTGGTAAATCATATATGCAGGCACAGAAGATAATGTCATTTAACAATGTGTTCTGTTTGATAGGTTCATCACCAAAGTCCAAGAAAGGATCTGGTAAGAAGGGTAAGACCCCTGAACCAGAGCCAGAACCAGAACCACAGGAACCCACTGGGCCTCCACCACCAGAACCGGGCTCAGAGGAGTGGGAATTTGTGGACTTACCTCTTGAAAAGGTAATCACTTCTACTGATACAAAAAAATTGAAAGGAGAACCTTGGTTTACAAAAGTGTTTCAACACAATAGTATACTCTTTATGCGATGTGTATAGAGTTTTCGTTTGGTTCAAACAGGAATTGGCTGAAGTCTTGGCAAAATATTGGGAGAATGTAGAGAAAACATACGTTGGGAATAGTAAATATGTTTTCCGTAAGCTGAGAGAGGAAAGAGAAAACATTTACAGATATTTCTATCAGATCAAGTAAGTCTTAAAAGTTGATTTTTAAAGATCACTTTTTTTTAGGTTATGGAACAATACATTAGATGGCTTTTTAGTGTAGCAATATACAATTAATTTCTTTACATATGGATCACTATAGAATATTTTACTTGTTACTTCCTCCAAAATTTGTTGCTGAATTTACCTTGATTAATTGACTGTTTTGTAGGAAGGACTACCTGTCTTATTTACGGAGACCAGACAACAAGCAGGTGTACGTCAACCAATGGCAGAAGGTCAGTCCTGTCTGGAATTTGTCAGCTTCCTTACGTTAATTTTAATAATAGAGCCATTGATGTTATTATATGTATTTGGGCTCAATATATTATGTGAAAAACAGATTGCTTTGGCACAGTTCAATTACATTCAGGTTTATACATTTATTTACATCATATTTTGGAGTATTTATGAATGATGCACAAGAATTGCACCAAAAAATGTGAATCTCACTTGAATAAGTCCATATATATATGGTATATCATATGATCCAGATTTTCTAAAATTTTCATGAAAATGCATATTTGAAATATAAACATTTCATGATGATTTTGTTCTTCACCAGGAATATAATGATGTCCCTGATGACATGCGAGATGATGAAGAAACAAAAGCAGAACTCCACCAGCGTGTTGATGACCTCAGGGTCAAATTGTGGGACATCTGCGATGAACGGAAGGCCCAAGCAGAGAAGGAAAGACAAGCCATCATTGATGATGGTTGGCTGGATGATCATCTAGGCTTGCTCAGTAACTTCTACCTAACACAGATGCAGGCAGAGGTTGACAGATACCAGGACACTGTTAGAATGTTGAAGGATTACTATAAAGGCATGGATGGACAGTATCCAGAGGAACTCAATACCAATTTTGCTAGGCTTCCTCTCATTGAGGTATTTTAAAAATCTTTTTCAAACTAAAGAGGCTATGGTATAGGAAAAATAACTGTCCTAAGATTAGAATTTTTTAAGATGATTGGAACATCTGGTAACAAATAATTTTCAAAAAAAAGTCTAGAAACTAGTGTCTTCTGGAAAAGAAAGTGAGCCTAATGCACAATAATATAGAGAAATTAGGTCATTGAATCAGCTTACAAAGAATTTCATTCAAAATGTTGATATGTAATTCTGAATCATAAAAAAGACATGGGTTTTGTTTTAAAGCTTCCTGTGGAGAGAGCTGAATCACCTGATAAATCAGAGAGTGAGACAGCATCCAACCCACCCCCAGCAGAGGAGAGAAGAGACAGCGCCAAATCTGACCGCCCTAAGTCTAGTCGCTCCAAATCTGGCCGTTCTAAATCCCCCAAGTCTCCCAAGGAGAGGAAATCAAGAACTCCCTCAGCCAAGAAGAGAGACAAGAGTAAAGAAAAGAAAGAGTCAACAGAGCAGGTGCCAACAGATGAAACAGGAAAAAAGAAGTAAGGGCTTCAACAAAGAGAAAAAGGCTGATCTAAAATTGTAAAACTCTTTTGTGCATTATCTAACCAAAGAAGAATAATGTTCAGTTAGCAAAAAAATTGGTATGATGTTTTGTACAGTTCTCATTTGATCAAACTGCTCAATTTATAGACAAAGGGAAATAACTCCTTTACTTCCCCCAAGGAAAAAAATATACTTGAGAGGGAAATTTTATTTTATTTATTTATTTTTTTTTTCAGAATCCCCTTGGTGCCTCGAAGACCTGTATCCCCTGATCCAGATTCCAAGGCAGCAGGTGCCGGTAAGGATAAGAAAGATAAGAAGCCAGGAAAGAAGGATGATGGGGGAACAGAAAGCCCCGCTCCTCCAATGGATCCGGATGAGAAGCTTCTCTTTGATGGCTACCAATCAGGAGTTAATGCTCTGGCCACTATTGTAAGCTTTTGAATTTCTACAGAGTAATTTTAAAGTTTTCTTTTGTATCCTTCACTTAGTGAAATTAAATTAGTATTACATCCCTTTAAAATGGAATTTAGAGTGTAAAGCCTACAAATAAACTTGAACTTTTTTTTACATGTAATGCTTGTTATATGTTGCATGCTTAATCCTTGCTTAATCTGAATTTAATCTTATTTTAGCTACAAAGTGAATTTGCTGCTAAAGAAGCAGAGGAAGAAGCAGAGAGAAAGAGAGAAGAAGAAATAGAAAGAGAGAAGGCAGCAGCCGCTCAGAAGGCAGCTGCAGGAAACAAAAAGGGGGGCAAGAAGGGCAAGAGTCGAAGCCCCTCCCCCAAGAAGAAGAAGGATGAATCAGCATCTACTCCTACTCCTCGTTAGTACTGAATTTATATTTGTTCATTTTGATAACCTGGTATCATGATTTTGACCACAAATCTGTTTGCTCAATGTTTCAAATTAAAATCTTCCAAGCCCGATTTATCATCAATTTTTTTTTCTTCAAAATTTGCATCAAATTGTGAAATGTTGTTTTAATTTCTTAATACATTGTATATATGATTTCTTTCTGCCTGTTGAAAATTTACGAGCAGCAGACATTATAAAGATTGCAGTCTGGAATAATTTGTCTTGTCTAACTATATTTTATTGGATCAATATTTCTGTTAAATTTGCCCATTTCACCCTTAGCTTCATCTGAGGAGATGAGTGAAGAGGAAAGACTGAAGAAAAAACAGAAGGAGAGAATGAGAGAGGAGTACTATTTTGCCATTCAGGGTGAAGGTATGAGAAATTGTGCTTCAACTGTGTATGAAGTGTTCTGTTGTAATTAAGGTATTCAATGTGTAATGAAGGGATTTTGAACAATTTTGAATCATTTTAAACTAGTTAAAAATGCACTGCTAGAAAACGATGAAAGAGAAATGAATCAAATTCACATGACTGATTACATATAAGAAGCTGATCATTTTGCACTTTGAAAGTTTTTTGAAGAGTTATCTGCCCTTGGTGCAAAGAAGAAAATTTTAATTTCATCAAAATATCTCTGGTAAATGATTAATGTTATTTCATATTTTAATAAAGAGAGAGTGTATGCATATTTTCACCAAGCACTTTTTATAAAATTCAAAATACTTTTACAATATCATAATAACACATGCATTGCCCATAGACTTCAATGTAAAATTCAAGGTTCAATGATTTTGACAATAATCAACATTTTGTAAATTTCTTTGGTGGAGTATTTTTATTTCACAACACCTTCAAAATGATACCATTATTACAAATATAGGACAGTTCATTTATTAGATGCAAAATATGGTCGTTATACATTGAATACCTTAAATTGGATACTAGTAGCTGAAGATTTCATTTATTGACATCAAATGTTGAGAAATTGATCTTAAATGTACCCTTAAACTAATGAGGGTCTTGTTCATGGTTGTTTGATGTTATTATTTTTTTTTGTAAAATTTTGATTCTGTTGTAAATGTTTTGGAGAGTAGACTTTTAAATTCAATCCTTAAATATTTTCTATTGTCAACTGAAGAAACTAATTAATCACAAAGAGTTTTCATTTACTCCTGATCGGTTAATAAAATTCTTTCTTCTAAAATTCATCCTTGCAGAAACTGCCGCTAAGAAGAGATTAGAATTGATCAAGGTTCATGGTATTGGAGTATTACAAGACCTGAAGGCCAAGGCTGACAACACTTATAAAGAAATGAATGATTGGCTGGGAGCTAGGTTCTTAAAGGAAATGGAAAGGTAAGCAATATATGGTGAAATTGGTCTCCACAAAATTTTTAGGTTTTTATCTTCATAAAACCAGTTAAACTCAGTCTTTGTTTTGAGAGAAGAGCATAAAAACTATTATTATTTTATCTATTCATTTATTTTTCTTCAGCATTGATCACATGTCAGAAACTATCCGCTTTGCCATTGAAAAACGACAGAAACTGAAACAGGAACTTGTACTGCAACAAGAGGACTTCCTTGTCAATACTGTGAGTGAAATGTAGAACCTTTAGTCAAATTAGAACTGATTTGCAGCAATGACGAAAATTATTCTGAAACAAAATAATATCTTGAATTATTTTTTCTATGAAGGAGTTGAAAGTATTGCGTTCTCCAAGCCCCGCCCCACCACCAGTTGTAGAGGAAGTGGTCACACCCGAACAGTTTTCTGTTAGTCAGTTACTGAATCTCTACCAACAGGTCAGTTACAGAGTCCTGTGCTTTTACTTCACTCTCAATTTCACAAAATTCAGCAGACATATTTCAGAATAAAAACTTAACAGTTGATAAGAAGAAGGTTTTCACCCTTGCATAATACAACACAGGTGTGAAAATACTGTATTTTTTTTCTTTGACAGTTCACAGCTACAGCTCCAACTGGAGTCATGTCCAAACAATCCTTTGTGGAGACTTTTGAAAACATGGTGTCTGTATGCTTTGGGATGGAGCAGCTTCCTGATATATGGATGAATATCTCTCCTCAACAGGTAGTCATGTGATCAACTGAAAAGAGAGAAAAAAATATGACTTCATTGTTTTAAAGTGTTAGCATGTACATGTAATATTCCAGAAAATTGAAATTTTAATTATGGTAATTAATTTTATAGAGATGGTTTTTCTAGATGCCAGATATAATTTAAAATTGAAATAGCAAAATTTACATGCGATTTTTTCATTTTATCAGGTACAAGAGATTGCTAATGGACTTTCAGCCAATGTGGAGTATGTAGATTGGCGTCGATTCCTGATTGCGGTGGCTCAGCCTCTGCCTTCACCCACACAGACAGAACTTCTGGAGACGCTGCAGAAATTCAGAGAAATGGACCAAAAATCCACAGGCTTTGTCACCAGGGAACAGTATGATAGGGTAAGCTGATTCTAAAGGTTATAAAATACAATTTTCATGAGGACTCAGATTTTAAAATTCCTTTATTTTCAGTGCTTTGGCTTTGCCAATTGTAGAATAGATAGAAAATATTGTCCCAAATCCTTTGGGATGTATAATTTGCTGATTAACTCATAACAGCATGTCTTAATTTCTTTTAAACTTAGATGGACATTTGGTTTGGATGCAAGTCCACTAAAGGTGGAGAGTTTGACCGTTCAGCCAAACTGAAGGCAGCTTTGTTTGACTTCTTTGCAGACCACAGTAAAACTCCGCCTGTTATGAATTATGTTAGCATGGTAAGATTGATTCATTTATCAAAAATATTTTTTCAAGATTAATGTCTAAATGAAACTGCAATGTTACTATTTCTACTTATACCTATGCCCCCCAAAAATAATGAACAATTTTCAATTTTTTAAAATTAAGTAATGCATTTTTCTGTAAAACACTTTTACCTTTCAATCTTCTACAAAGTTTCTGACACTATATTTACATGTACCTGTCTCAATATTTATAGCTGATGTACTTTAGTGCTTCGTCAAATGCCAGCGAAGGATTCCTCCGAGCATTAAGTGTGGCCTCAGGAACACACATGCCACGATTACCTCGTAATGATATGAGGGCACCAAGTAGATCTGATAGGTAGGTTTATATAGTTTATATTATTGGAAAGCAAAGTTTTCACACAAAGTACTTTCCCAAGTTTGAACACAACCAGGAAATCATGAAATTTTGTCCTTATAATTGAGTACAATATTCTTTCTATATACATGTATTAAAGCAAAGACAGCTTAGAACATAGTAGTCAAGAAGAGAACATCTTTGCATCTTGATTAATCTAGACTAAGTATAGAAAATAATGCATGTGCTAGTTATTAAAAGAGTATGCTTGCTATTCAATTGATCTGGTTAGTCAGTTCTATTGCATACCTGTGTGCTGGCGGTTTATCTGAAATAACAAAAATACACATTAAAAAAGTGTTTCAGATTACTCAAACCAAGAGAGTGCAATCCATAAATTAGTAATTGAATGTTTGCTATCTTGAGTATGTACTATAATTTTTTACTTCAGTAATCCTGATATTGTGGAGGATCCCTCCCCCTCACCTCCAGTACCTACTGACATTCCTGAGGATGCCATCAATGCCAGAGTACCACTGGATGCTCTTTATCAAGTGTTGCACCACGGAGAGAACGCTAGTGGTGACAGCCACCGCTTTAGTGTATCAGCTGATCCAGAGGATGCCACATCTAAGGTCAGTAACTGAACTAATAAGAGAGTTCAGTTCTGTTCAGTCCAACATTTTACTTATAGAACCAGTACAAGTATTTCATATGAACCAGTCAGAATTCAGAATTATAATCAACATTTATCAGAAATATCTGAATTTGTATGCATGAATGCATTTAATAATCTTGTTGGGTTTTTTTTTTTTTTGAGAGGGCGTGCTTTCCGGATACACATATGGTAATTCCTACAAGTTTTAATTTTGATTTGGAGTGTGTTGATTATTTACAGGAGAAGCTGTCAAGTGTGTACCAGGAGTTGGGCAGTGATAATTTAGAACCTCTTCCTTACAAAGTCCTTGTGGAACATCCCCTCATACAAGATGTAATGGCTGCCTGTCAAACATTTAAATCTCTGGTCAGTAACTTAATAACTTGAAAGTTTTATGCATGAATAATAACTACATTCTTGCCAAGGTTTCAAACGTGCCCGAAAAATGGAAATGAATTTTATCCAATCTGGACTATACATTTTTTAAAATGACATATATATTCAATCTCCTCTACAGAAATATGTGTGTACAATTATATGACCTTATTGAAGACCTATTATTATGCATCTACTGGCAAGTAGCATGTGTGAAAAAAAGTGCTATGGTTTTAATTATTATTTTGCAGGATATTCGTGGAATTCTTAATAATCCAACCCAAGATATGGATATCCACAGCACAAAAACAATGGAATAGGAAAAAAAATGCTTCAAGAAGTGATAATTTAGAAGATTCACCTTGTTTTGCATATACTTGGACAGAAGAAAAATAGACTACATGTACTTAGCCTATTTAGATGGCATGATTTTTAAAATGTACAAATGTAAATGTTTTGTTTCTATTATAGTATATAATTTCTATTATAGTATATAATAATAGCATAATTTTTGTGTGAACTGATTATACTCTTTGCAATCTGTGATGGATGTCACATGACCTGTGATGCCCTCACATACCAGAGGCACTGCATTTGTCTGTGATCAGCACCTGGTGATGGGATTTGAAGTGATGGGAGGGGCAAATTCAATACCAACACAAACTGCCAAAGCACATATATATTTTTTACTGCATTTTGTTTTGGATTTGTCGCTGGCATTGTGGACTTCCTGTTATCTGCTGTCAACAGTAACTTAGTCCTAGAGACTGTTTATTAATGATATATCAATGTTAAAAGTGTATTTTATTTAATTTGTTTTATTTTAATATTTTACAAGACTGAGAGCATTTATTATTCATGATTGATAACATGTAATCTGTGATAAAAATCTGAAGAATGTAATTCTGGTTGTTTAATAAACTGATGAGAACTGATACAGGTATTAATATTTTGTTTGTTTATAGGCAGTGCATATACACATATTACAAGAGGTCTATGAGCCACAAGAGTTATCTTGGTCCAAGGATAACTATTTTATTCTGGTACCTTTATATTTAAGATGACTTCGACCACACCTCTCTAAAACTGCACTCATATCAGTTGCAAAGTTTCAGAAAAATTGATAAACTTCAAATGCAGATTCATATATTGATGAAAACAATTCATCTGTCTTAATATTGTGGTCCATGTTCCATCTGACCTTGACCTTGATGTAATTTTTCTTCATTTTCCTCTTAGGTTTGTATTACATTGTATTGAATTCAGAAAAGGATCACTTCATATTCTATACACAGATAAATCTCAGTGAGATCAAATCATTTGAGTATTTTGACTTTGAAACATGGTACATTTCCTTTCATATTGTATGTTCTGAATGCCTAAGGAACTGTCCTATGTTAGTAATTTGCTATATAAACAATCATCATATGTTGATTATTAATATAGAGTTCTCCTTTTTGTGGGCATAAAAAATAGCTGTTAAGCAAAGTCGCTGTCTTACCCATTACTCACAGACAATAAATATATAAAAGTCATTCTGAAACCAAAACTGCTGATCTAAATGACATTTTTTTGTCTCCCCATTGATTTCTATCTTTCTGTGATCCAATATAATAATAAATAAGAAAAAAAATCATTTAGAAATTTTATTAGATTTCTCAATGTCAATACAAAGAATGATTATATAGCTACATATACTGTCCAGAAGTTGTACTTTCCACATGCTATGTCATCCATGAATAATCTTTATCAGTGATATGCTGCCCTCACCATATTCCAATCTCCTTTATGTAAAGTTTGTTTATATTATGAAGATTTAATACAGTCAAACCTCGTTATCTCAAACTCATGGGACCAAGAAAAAACTTCGAGATATCCAAGTATTTGAGGGTTAAATACTTAAAGAATAAGTGGTTGGGACTTCCAATTCACTTCGACATGTACAGCTAAACTTCGAAATCTCGAACACGGATATCTCGAATACCCTGGATATGTCGAAGTAAGGCCGCAGTCCCTACGAAATTTGCTTTATAAATGATCAAAATAAACCCCTCTATGTCGAACATGGTAATGTCGAATACACCGGTTATCTCGAAGTAAAATTGTGTACCCATTCATTAAAATCACTTGCGTTATCTCGAAGTCAGGATAATTTTCCGCTCTGATGATCAAGTCCGTTGGGTAAACTGAACAGCCACCTGTCTGTCAAGCACGGGTTACCTGTGTTCCTGTGATCAACAGATAATAGCGCGATAATAATAGGAGGTGTATGTATAGCTTACCTTGATTTTAATTATGCAAGCCAAAGGTTGTGTGTATTAGTCTTATGCATACGCCTGGATGACACGTTGTTTTGTAGCTGGGGTACATTTATCTTGATAATCGCTATTTATGCTATGTGTAATATGCGCGCTTGCATAGTTTATGCATATGAAAGCGAAAATTATAAACATCAAAGTGAAACAAAATTCTATAATTTAATGCAATTAGAATTTATTTTTCCTGTATGTGCATGCAGAATTTACAATCATCGGTACACACCATCATGTGAGCGTGTGTCGCAGTGAAAACGTGCTATAGTGCCCTGTAATTCAGTGTGTTCCGTAGTTAAACAAAAGTGCGTGTTTCTTCTTTTGCATTTGATTTCATTGTGGTAAAATCTTTTCTTTTAACTGATTATACATGTATGAACATGTTTTTCAAATAAAAAAAAATTGTATATTTCGTTTGCGCTATTCTGACAGCAACTGGTTTTAAATTTACAATGCATAGACGATATCCGGTTATGTATACATGGGAAACGATGCTAGCGGTTGATTTGCCGGGTTGTTAAAAGGATTATACAACTGTGCATATTATACAAAGTATTGTTCTGTGAATTATAAAGAGGATGTTAAAATCTTTTTAATGCTAAATACATGTACATGTATATTAAAGAAATCGTATACAGAATTTCCAACAAGAAGGAATTGGACATGTTTCTACTATTAAGTGCATGTTCACTGCACTAAGTTTATTTGAAGTTCATTAGAATTATAACCCTCGATATGTCGAACCCCCGGATATCTCGAAGTTCATCAACGGTCCCGTCAACTTCGAGATAATGAAGTTTAACTGTATATGGTATTCTCGATATCAGTGTTCGAGATACCGAAATTCAACTGTATTCACTTTTTGAAAGCTTTTTGTTTCTTTGTGGTACATGTATATCTTACACTTTGTTTCATTCCCTCATAAAATAATCTCATGCTTAATTACCACAATGACTGAATGTCCCACTTCCTGAATGATAGTTTCTTTTCTTTAAAAGGTCAAAATATTGAAACAATTAAAACAGAACTAAACCCCCACCCCTCCCTTTCTTTTACATTGATCATTGTGCCTATCTTCAACCTTCATCATTTTGTGATACAGTGGTAGTCAAACATTGTGAGTTTAGATCTGAGGTGCTGTATGTCACTGATACATTGATGATCTGGGTAGTTACAGTCTTTGACAGGTCTCACAACATAGCTCTGTTCTCTATTACATTTGTCTGTGTTAGCTTTCTTCTGGGGAGGTTCCACTTCATCACCCTTCCCATCTACTTGCTCCACTTCTGCATTTCCAAGAACCTGGAGCACAAATAATAGATTAAAATCAAAGTTAGCGATTTTTTTTCAACCTTGAAAGTTCTTTCTGTTTTATACAAAAATTCACAGCAAACAAGTAGACTCTAATAAAGACACAAATAAGCTTTACAAAGATAAATCTCTAACATGCATTTGCGTGTTTCTTAAATTCATGGTCAAAACAAGTTTTCTAGAATTTTGCAGTAAATACTGATGCGAGTTTATATACCTGAAAGCTTATCCGTTTCTGGTTTTCTCCCAGATACTGTTTGTACCAGTTCCGCAGGTCTTCTACTGTTAACATCCTCAGTACAGCTACCTACAGTAAAAGAAGTAGATCTTATCATACCAAGTAGATCATATCAAGGTATGAACATCCATATAGATTAGAATACCTACCATGTATGTTATAATAGCTTTCCAGACTTCAAATACACATGTAAAATTGCATCAGAAAATATATATATGCACTTAATTCACTAGCTGCCCTTTAGATCATTTAACTAATACAGTGTATAATAAAGACCTCTTTCTCTAATCTGTCAAACACATAGTTTTGTTCCTTGCACTCCCCCCAGTATCTGTTGACTTCCTCCTCTAACTGTGTGTCCTCTGTAAGCTTGGCTGCTATCAGAGACTCCACCTTAAATATACCACAATGACTTAAAATACACCACAGGGACTTCAGACTAAGACAACAATGATAACATTTCTACATGAAGTATACAGTTAAGTCTTTCAAGGAGCCAACAAAATTGTTAAAGCAACAGAATTAAAGTGAGTTCAGTAATTACCAAAGTATCAAACTCTTCTTTGGACATTTCATCCAAGATCTCTTTGAACTTGTTCAGAAAATCCTCAACATGGTTGTCAACTTCATGCATTCTACATAAAATACAATAATTTGGTTTATCAAATTTTTTTAACAAAAAAACTGTCAATAAAATTCATATTACAGAAGTAACTTTTGACTAAAGCAAGTCAAAAAAAAAACTCTTTATACCCTCATCTATCTTGAAAGTTGTAATGAAACAGCAAATTAACTTAACAGTGTTAATTTAAAATGAAAGCTGTAATTCATTTGCATGAAATCTCTGAGGTTTCAGAATAACCAAAAGTATACATGTACATGTGTATATATACAGATAATGAAACTCTTACGCGAACTTCTGGGCTTGAAATTGGACTGTTACAGCAAGTCCCATGATGCCATTGGTGACTAGATTCTGACAGTATACAGTGTAACCCAGCTGTAGTTGTGTCCTCAATACATCAAAACAGGGCTCCTGCATTCTTAACTATGCAAAAAGAAGTTTACATGTGGAGTGCCATTCATATGTGTGAGGAATGTAGCTCACTTTTATATCAATCACAGAAAACACGGCAAAAGATGTATAAATGAATAAATGAAAGTCACACTTCATGGAGTACTCTGACTGAATCTTTAGAGAAGCTTTTGACACTTACATCTAAGAGTTCATTAATGACAGTTGACCTGATATCCCCGGGATCAGACTGGAGGTAAACAGTGATGCTGGAGTTGGCATCCTCCATGTTAAAGCTGTTTGTCTGGCAGTAACTCCACTGTTTAGGAATCTGGTACAGTCTTCTCTACAAAAAAAAACAAGGAAAAAAAGAAAAAAATGAAATTTTCCAGGTATCTAGTTGAATAAAGATGTAATACACCAAACGTAATTTTAAAATCGATCTTATAGTACATACTATATTCATATTGTTGAGCACATAAGAATTTTCACATTTCAGCTATTACAGGAATAAAAGAAATTAGCCCATCAAATGCACTGAAAACTTTGGATATTTTAGACATAAAATGGATTCCTCTCTCTTTCATCCTGTTGTTTAAAATATACAAATTTATTTTTTTCCTACCATATTTCTATTTTACCTGGTACATTTTAGAAGGTTCCACTTTTCCACATAAATTTGATTCCACTCTCTCTTTATACCAAGTTGCCTCCTGCGAAATAGGAAATTCATAAGTAAATTACAAATCTGTTGCAGTTGATTTAAAGATTTAAAATGACATTACAAAATAAAGAAACAAAAATAAAAGTTTGGGCACACCCCAGAAGCTAGCCAGTGACAGATAAGGAATGGAGAGAGCTCACCATTGCCCTATACTCCAAAGGTGCCAGGGCCAGCAAGTATGAAGTACTAGTCTTATTTCATATACTTGCTCTGTTTATCCGGACAAAGCTAGAGTTGTTTGTGACTGTTTGTCATTAACCTCATCTTCCTCAGATTTACCTTGGATGTAACATTGCCAACCACTAAGATGTCTGCTTTTATACTCTGTCTGAACTCTGTTAGGAAGTGTCGAAGATCCTCATTGGTCAAACTATCAATTGTACTGTATATTTCAGGTGCGGGCCTGTAGTGGGGGTCTATCACAGAAAATCGTAGGATTCTGTAAGGAAAATCAACAACAGTGAAGGAATGTTACAGACAACAATGACTTTATTTGTCCATTCATTGTAAAAATGTAGATATGTGTAGTGTGGAATAAGGAGGGGAGAATCAGCAATACTGATAGTAAATAAGAAATACATTATTATAACTGACTAAAATGAATTTGTACCATCATCCAGTCAATCTTCCTTAATTACAGGTGTTGGAATCTAAAATTCAAGTATTTAACTGGCAAATTCAAGTATAAAATTAAGTAGCTTGTCAGTTTTTGTTTGTTAGTCAGTTAGATCTAGAGTCATCATAATATATAATCCATATAACTTTGTACCGGGGTATCTCTTATTTATGTATAGAAATGGCAGCAGAGTTATGATATCTCATGGAACAAACAATGATTTCTAATCAACACAGACATTCTTGCCTGACAAGTTCAGATGGTCTGATGATGGCATTAAAAATCTCCCTCTTCACTTTATTTCTCATGATGGGAAACAACTCATCATTGCAAGCATAGTCAAAAACAGCTGTCAGAAGTAGATCAAACAGCTCCTACAACAAATCAATACAAGCTTCTCAGATTATCCAATATCATACATGTACACAGAATCTTGGAACATATTTTGCATTGAATGTACATGTACATACATGTATAATTATATGTATGTTCTTATATGGGCCTCCATTAAACAATATAAAGACTATAAAAGGAAATGGGTTTTGATTGTACAATTTGATAAGAATTCTTACAGGCAATTTTTGGTTAAATCCATTCACTTTGAATTTAAGTCCTGTATCATCCACATTGATTGAGTAGCTGAAATTTAAATCATTTTAATCAAGAATAGAAAGTCTACCATGATAACCAAATACAGTTGAACTTCGATATCTCGTACACTGATATCTCAAATAACATGGTATGTCAAAGTGATTTGGAAGTTTCAACCCCATATTCTATAGGTATTTTACCCTGGATATCTCTAATTCTCGAAATTTTTTCTTGGTTCCACTGAGTTTGAGATAACAAGGGTTGACTGTAATATGAATTTTTAGGACAAAACCTATAAATTAAGTACACCAGTACATAAAATTACTTTGCATTTTTTGCAGAATTAATCAATTTCATTGCAGGTACCTGTATTTCTACATTTAAGTAAATGATGAACATAAAAGGAAGATCCGTCTAAAAATAAGATGGACTTTTTAACTAAACAAACTAGAAGACTTAGTACTGTGAACACTGAGCTATCAAAATGATACCCCCATCTCCCATATGTTCATAATGGCAGGGTCCAAAATAAGTGTCTGATCAAAGAGTAAAATAGGAGGTGCACTATGGCACTATGTAATAAAGATTCTGTGAAAGTATGTTTAAATTTTATTCAGTGGTATAGGAGAAATTGAGGATATGTGATGGGTAACTCTGAATATTATAGAAAGAAAGGCAGTGTTCTATGTTTAGACCGTGAGCGCATGTTTGTCTATTAATCCCCGTTTGACATAACATTAGTAATGTAAATATACAGCTACTGTTAAAAAGAGAACAATAGACAAACATGTGCTAACAACGTAAAAAGTCAGTAAAAAAGCGGGCATCCTCATTATCGTACGGAGATTCAAAAAATTGTGACGACCCCCTCCTTTGAAAACAGATTTGTACTTCATAAATACATACTTTTATTTATGTAATTATGTGAAGTTGTAGATTAGATGATGACCATTTCTGAATTTAAAAGAAAAATGCTTGTTTTGAAAGTTTGTTTTGTCTTAAATTTTGCATGTCCTTAAAGTGCAATCATCTTTTTATTCAGTGGTATAAAGGGAGTTGCGGATGAGAGGTGTGTACCCCAAAGCGTAACGGACGGACAATCATACAGATAGATGGTGGGACACCCCCATCACTATACATGCCCTGCTTTTTAAGCAGGGGTATAAAAATCTGATCACTTGATAGTCATTACCAGTAATATATCCATGGATGCAGTATGCACCTACATCCCCCCAAAAATACTAGCTTTTAAACAGGGCTAACAAATTTCTTTATTGTCTATAAATTGTAGGAAATATTTTGTTATTTCTATTATATCTAAAAAATAGGGACTGGCAAGTTGATTCTTTAACAATTTTAGTCAATACAGTAAAACTTGTCTAATCAGATTGTTGTCTATTCCAAAACCTTGCCTATTATGATGTAAACTTTAAGTTCCTCCTAGTTAATTCAAGTGATTGCAGATTAAAATGTTGTCTAATCTGGAATGTTATCTTTTCCAGTTTGTTATCTAATCTGACCAATTTCTATTGAAACAGTCCTGGTAAGACAGGTTTCACTGTAGAATGCATAGATCAATGGCCAAAACCTATACCATACGTTCTTTTAATGGGTCTAGCACTGGAACACATTCTCAAGCTCAAAATCAACTTACTCAAAGCCAGCCATGATAGCAGGATATGTGGGGGCATCCAATTTATGGCACATCACAGCCTCGAATATTTTCAGCAGGCCTTGGCTGCAAAATACCATTAAATATTGCACCTATCAGTGTAGAGTGTTCAGCAAACACAATACTTTTATTTTTCCAATATCTAGTGAAAATTATAGAGAAAATGTTTGTCAACAAGAACCATTTAAAGCATTAAGTGTACAGGAATTATCTAATCTCATTTGATCATTACTTGAGTTCTGTTGATTGATCTGAATGAAAATACCAGCACTTTGTTATGAATTTGCACTCACTTTCTTAATTCTATTGCAGTATACACAATGTCTTCAATGAAATCTTACCTCTTCACCGATTGGCTGGCCAATGGTGACATCAACTGAACACACACATAAGCTACAAAAGAATTTTTTTCATTGTAAACCATGAAACTTTTAACTATCAGTAAAACTGCATGATCTCACAAATGTCTTTAAAAATGCAGGAATATCATCACCCATATACTCTTTACATTAGGAATGACTCTAAATCTTGGCCATTCGAGTATAACCTGGTTTGGGTCAGTTTACGCTTTATAATCCGCCAAGCGAGTCATTCCTTATAATTTAATTTTAACATTAAATAACTATGGGTGTAAAATTTCGTTGCTTTTTATTAGTTCAAATTTGCCGCTCAATAATACAACCGTAGTAACGGAAGTAACGGAAGTGATGGGAAGCAAGGGGAGGTAAAAACTGATACATAGGCCTAGCAGCCTTGTTGTTTGTTTACATGTGGTAAGATCGAATTATTGCTTGAAGTTAAAGGTACATTTATTAAATCTGGAATTTTCCATGAATCCCGAGGACTGGAAATGAGAGGATTGTATGGATACAGATGATTCAGCTGGTTGTTGGGGGGGGGGGTATCCCCATACCAAACTAGGTTATACAGAAATAATTTGTGTTCCTTTTTGGATATTAACCAATCAGAGGCTAGAATACAAACTAAATTATACAGGGATAACTTTGTACATGATATAAAGATACAATGCATCAATTTTTGATGATGAAAATGTTGCTAACACTGTGCAATGTTTTGAACATTTACATTTCTATTTAAGGTCAAGATCTAGTGAATGAAAGGTGCCCACAGATATTTCACATAATTTTAGGGTAAACTCATTGGAAAAACTGCCCATTTTCAATGAAAAATGAAGAAAGTCTGGTATAAAAATGGGACTTCTCTCCATCTCAGACAAAGGAAATGTATCAATATTTCCTACAGTCTCTCAGAAAACGGTTTTTCATATTTTCTTGATCTCTACTTTAGAATGATATTAAACGGAATAAGAGTATCGGGATTACATTTGACATGATTTCAAATTGAAATCCATGAAAGTGCATTATTTTCTTCATTAATCTATTGAAGCTGTAAAGTAAGGGAAAAATTAAGTTTAATTCAATTATGACGTCATAATGAATCTAGCACCAAGAAGAAAGTCTAAACTCATTTACTAGATCTTGACCTTAAATGACAGTTTTAGAAGTATAGGAAATTGTAAGACACAAACTAAAAGATCACGCCTGCTAATCGATCAGTTGCATAACCAGCAGTTATGTATAATAATCAAAAGAGATCGATTTCCAGTTATGCATTTGATACGAATAAATTCAATACACAGATGGTAAGTTGACCCGATGCAGGCAATAATTGAAATTTTAATTAAAATATAAGAATGTGATTCCATGAGCAATTTATTTTTCTTTTATTTTACACCCCTATAAAATGCAAGAATTGTCGATTAACGACGATATTTGTTTTGAAGCAAGGGCTGGTAGAGCGAAAACGCTGATTGAAAACAGAATTGCCGACTGGAATTCGTGATAATCTCAACTAACTTTAAATATCCAATGTTCACCATTAGTTTGCATCAATTACATCTTATCCATCCAAATTTGGACTCTGATATGTGTATTATTTGGCAAATATTCGAGGTAAATAACGTTGCCTATGCATGTGATACTTGAGTTGTGAAAGCAATTTCGGGTTATGCATGAGATAAAGGACAAACAGTTTCAAACTTTATAATTAAAATTAAACATTATGTAATTATAACATAGTCTTCCAAAATTTTAAAAATAAAAGTAAAGGATTTTCCTGCAAACAAGCTGAATTTAAAAAAAAAAAAAAAGATTTGTTAATTGTTGATTGAAGTAAATCTGTTGGGGGGGGGGGGGGGGGGGGGAGGAGGTTCAGTTACAATCAGTACAAACTATTTTAAAAATAATTGCACTAACATTAATTCTCTATTTCTTCACACATAGAACTATTTACATCACATTATTGTGTGTGTATTTTTCAGTTTTAAAACCCAAGGCATCGTTAACAGGCCGATAGCAATGGTTTCAAAAGTTGGGGGGGGGGGGGTCAACTTCCCCCAAAAAATCTGACAAGCAAAAGAAAAGAAAAAAAACCCTAAACTGACCAAAAGTGGGGGCCTACTTCCCAAAATTTTCTGACAAGCAAAAAAAAAAAAAAAAAGAACGAAAGAAAACAATTTACCGTCCAAATTCTGGAATCTGCCAGTGCTCGACCTCACATCAAAAAAGGGGGGCAGCGCATTTAAAGGAAAATTTACTAAAGCAAATTTCTATCCTCAGAAAAAAGATCCCCCCCCCCTTCATTGCGTTCTGGGTATAGATTAGAATTTATTTGGTGAAAAATTCATTAGATTTATGTTTTGTCTAAAAAATGGAACAGACGTTTTGTTTGGGCAAAATATGCTACATCCACAACAGTGTAAAAACAATTTTGCTTTTCCTGGCGAAACTATTCTTTATGGAATAAATCCCATGGGTGAAGCATTTCCTTATGTTCTGAGGCCGAGTATACTGAATTCTGTTATCGAGCTGGAAAAGGCACAAGATGACAACGCCTCATCTTAAATTCTCATGTTTGATGGTAAAAAGGTAAAGATCGTCCATTACACGAAAAGAAGCAAGAGAAAGAAAATGGTTTGCACACCATAAAATCGGTTATAGATGCATGTTGCTATAGTGTATAATAAGAAGTTCAAATTATGAAGAAGCGTAAAAGAATGAATTATTTGCAATCAGAGTCAGTGAAATTGTAGGAAAGAATATTTTACAAATATATCTTTGGGTTTTATAATTCTCAAGCCTCAATTCATACATCATTAGTGAATGTATAAAGAGATAGTAAGAGTTATTTCCATTGGGGGGGTTGGGGGGGGGTTATCAACAACAACATTTAATTTACCGTATATCCAGTTTTTTTTTGTTTTTTTTTTGAATATTTTTGCGATCAGTTTGAGATCGCAAAAAATAAAACATGCAAAAATATACATCCACTAAATGTACTAAGAATTTTTTTCAAAGTCGCAGAAATTGTCTAAAGCATGCATATAAAAAGTTTGTGACACACGAAAAAACGGACATACTTTAATATTTATTAAAAATAAATAATCTTTACTAGCGTAAGTATTTAAAAAAAACACAAAATCAATATACTTTAAATAACGTTTGATAATTTCATAAATGATTAAACGTACTAGTATTTAAAAAGTATTAAATATAAAACAACGCAGTATTCTGTTTTCCTTCTCTGGCATAAAAAAATCAAAATGTGCTTGCAAATATGATGCAACGTCTTCATATTACAGCCAATATTTAAAATTTGATAATCATTACCAAGAGTAAAAAGTCTAAGAAGTGAATTATGGAGATCGTATAAAACTTTTAAAACTTTTTGTCCTTTTTCTCATGCATAACCCGAAATCTCTTTCACAACTCAAGTATCACATGCATAGGCAACATTATTTACCTCGAATATTTGCCAAATAATACACATATCAAAGTCCAAATTTGGATGGATAAGATGTAATTGATGCAAACTAATGGTGAACATTGGATATTTAAAGTCAGTTGAGATTATCACGAATTCCAGTCGGCAATTCTGTTTTCAATCAGCGTTTTCGCTCTACCAGCCCTTGCTTCAAAACAAATATCGTCGTTAATAGACAATTCTTGCATTTTACAAGGGTGTAAAATAAAAGAAAAATAAATTGCTCATGGAATCACATTCTTATATTTTAATTAAAATTTCAATTATTGCCTGCATCGGGTCAACTTACCATCCGTGTATTGAAATTATTCGTATCAAATGCATAACCGGAAATCGATCTCTTTTGATTATTATACATAACTGCTGGTTATGCAACTGATCGATTAGCAGGCGTGAAGATGTTTTCACCCAGAAAAATTCTCTTTTTTTTTTTTTTTTTTTTTAAATTTTTAAAATTTTTTTAGTCACAGAAAAGTGTTTTATGTGAGATCAAACTCCATATAAGGTACATTGACCTATAAATGTGGTTCACTTTATGAATGATCTCTCCTTTTTATTGGAGAAACACTAACCTTTTGGCACTTTGAATTTCATATCTTTCTTGTAGTATAATGTACACAACTCATTTTCTGACAGAGTTATAGGATGCTGAAAGAGACAAGCTTCAAATTATATGCATGTACATTGTACAAGAACAACTACCCACATTAATTTTGCTAAAAGTACTAGCTGTACATGAATCAGTTTATTTCAAAATCTAGAACAAAGGAAAAAAAAGCTAAAGGAAGAGACAAGCCCCACCTTTGTACAATACTTTGCTTCCACCTCTGCTATTGTAAAATCTGTAGCTGTGAAACAGAATGAAAATATTAACATACACTGGAATATAGATACTAATTATATTTCTATTGTATGCCGATATTCATGTGTAGTGTACAATATGAATTTTGATTTTGAATGCTGAGAATAACATATAAGTTACAGTATGATAAGAATACAACATACATACCTATTGATTTGTTTGGTTGTGGTAAGCAAAGGTCAGGATTTTTAGGTGGGTCTGAAAGAAAATACATACAACCAATTCATTATCAAGGTTGGTTTGAGCCTAGCTGCTTGGCTTAGGTGAACTTAAATTTAAAGTTTATGGGTAAAAACTACAAATTTTACTTATAAACTGAATAGGATGAGGTAGCTGTCCATAAATATACGTATATTGAAAATTATATTTTTTGCCAAAAACATGAAATCTGATACCTATGGAAATTAATTAAACTTTGGTTATAAATCATTGCCTTATGTTGTCTCCGTGGTTTGTATAAATACATGTATTAGTATATAGAGCATTGTTGTTTGGAGTTTCTACCTTGCCATTTTTGAATCCATTCAGGTTTGATTTCTGCCACTCCATACTTTACAGGACTCCATTTGATATCCTGTCTGTCACATTTATCTGACAGCTGTTTGGACGACAGAAAAATACAACAGTTGTCTGCCCTTAGATCTGCCAGACACTTAACAATCAGCTGAAGAGATTTAAAAAAAAACTCAAAAACTCTGAATATTCAGTAAATTTCATTAAAAAATTACTTATATATTTACTAGACCTACCTCTGGGTCATATTCGTACATTAAATCTCTGCCAGTTAAAACATCCTCTGGGGAAAATATCTGCATGTTTTCTGAGACTTTCTCCACATAATCCATTGCATCTCCCTAAACAATAAAGAATGCTCTCATCCAACAAAAAATTACATCTACAATTTTATTTCAACTTTTTTCTTTTGAAATAGATGTACTTTTTACTTTTCCACTAACATTATAAACAAATACAATTCATTTCCACTAATTTTTCAAAGGATCCTTGTGCATCCTGTCCTAGCTGATACAGTAAAACATACTTATAATGAAGTGCCAGGGACAGACGATTTTGCTTCGTACTAAACATAATTTGTTATATGCATTGAGTTTACAACATATTTCAAAGCCATAGGGAATGAAAATCACTTTGCCGTAAGAATCAATTCATTATAAGCATGTTCACAATAAGCAGGTTTATTGTATTTTTAATTACTTGAATTTTTAATTAAATACATGTAGATATTATTACGATGACTGATTTTTAAAAACACCCATAGTCCAGTCAATTTATCAAGGATTCAAAATATCAATTTAAAATTTATATATATTATTTTTGTGAAAAAATGATCAAGTAAAGTGTATCAAAAAAGTTTAAACAAGATTTACACTTTCATGAAAAACAGGAATTAAAAGTTTATTTCAGCAAAACATTGGATGAATTTACAGAGTTATGTCCCTTTTCTATATTAAGGAGGCTGGGAGGGTCAACAAATTAACCACAAATTAGCCACCAGATTTAACTTAATTTTTTAGATATGATATCTTAAGCTGTCAACTATCATTTGGCAAAGAAAAATTTCAAAAATTTTAGTTTTAAAATTTGATCATTTTCTATATCTTCATATGGAGCTCTTCTTCTAAAGGAGATCAATATAGTCTAAAAATGGCCACAACCCCCAGCCTCTTTAAGTAATTCCCAAAGCTAATCAGATCATGTCAAAATTATTCTTTCTAGTCATTAGATTTTCTTAGATTTTTTTTAATGCATGTTTTGTACCAGTACATGTTAAAATTCTTTTATGATCAAATAATTTTGTTGTAATTAGTTTGATGTTGGGACCATGTTTTCACTAAATTGACTGTACTTCTACCTTTTCTTTAAATCTAAATTTGGTTTCCTCTACTATCTTCATCTCATCAAAGTAATGCTTCTGTGGTCCTTTGCTCTTCAGTAAGTGTATGTACTGGAAAACTGTCAGCAGAACTTCCTCAAACTGTTCAAGTCCACTGTCAGTAAGGGTCAAGTTCACCACAAACTGTGTAGCAGTGGTGTTCAGTTCAAATCCATTGTAACTGTGGCCACTTTCCACTGCTGTGGCAAAATACCCACAAAATGTTTAAAAAATACTCAATCTTCAAGGGAAACAAATCATTAGAAAAATATATGTAGTACCATAAAACAAAATCCTCCCTTCCTCTCAATGTAGAGGGTTATTCAATGTAGTGAAAAATTCACCCTTCTTTTACCTACTGGGAGATGTGAATTATTTTGTCAATTAGTTTGCAGAAAGGCATGGCTTATTGGAAAGTTTTTGGCAACTTCCCTGAAATTTTTGGGGTAGATGTCACATTAAATAATGCCTCAAAAGACTAAATTTGCAATCAATATAAGTTTATACATATATAGGTAGATAAAATCAGATACTTTAAAAAAAATCATAAGGTATTCCTAAATTATTAATTGAAAATATCTTCATTTTTGTGATTATGAAGCAGTATAGTATCAGGTCCCTGTTCCTCTATAAATATTGTCTGAGACCTCTTTCTTCAAACAAAATACTTTTTGTACACCACAGACATTTAAATCTATATTTATCAACAACCAGGAAATAAATTTCCCTATCAACATAGCCTCCCTGTAAATTCATTCAAAATGGCCGGCTGATCAATGAAAGTCACCTTGGAGATAAACAGTAAGTTAAAAGATCGTAATGCTTTGATCAGTTAACTTATTAAACCATAAAGATGCAAGAACTTTTATAAATTAGAAGTCTAAATTCGTTGCAGGATGACTTACTAAGTTGATTCATTTTAATGCTTATAATAGATTTTCAGTATCATGTTTCTAGCACAAAAAAAACCTCTATCAATACCTTGTGCGTTTAAAAATTCCCTTGATTCTCATCAAGCCATCAGAATTAAGAAAAGAAATACATTTTAAAACATCTTTTCTTCATAAAAGCATTTATATTAATTTACCAAATAGATAATACTTAATGGAACTCTTTCCAGATGGCTCTGTCAAAAGCACAATTACCAGGTACACCTCAACACTTTTTAGAGTGTGGTATCCAAGACTGTGAGAGAAACTGAATTTTACTGCAACCTTTGCCACACAAGATTATGTAAGCAATGTAGAGATGAACATCTGAGAAGTCAAGAAACAAAAAGCCACGAGGTAGTCCTATACCAACAACGGAAACGACAACTGCCCACAGAAAAATGCCTAGCCTAAAAGATCCACCCCACCAGGGATATAGAACTTCTTTGTGATGAATGTAAAATCCCGATTTGTTCTAAATGTACTGCTACACAAGAACATAGAGGTCACACATTCACTGATCTGGAATCTATTTATACAGAGAAATTTTCCCAATGTCAAGGAGAAATTGCCAAAATTCACGAGAATTTCTTGCCAACATCTCAAGATTTACAGAGAGAAATTAATGAAGATGCCAAAGAAATCAAGAAGATCATGGACAAGTTAAGAACCTTTATGAAGGCTGAAGCTGAGTCCCTAAAAAGCATGGTGGACTCGGTGACTTCTGAGAATATGAAAGAAGTGAACAAAATAGAGCAGTCATTATTGGAAAAATTAAATAACCAAGATACAACAATTGAAAAATACATTAACTATCTCAATGACCTGGACAAAGAGTTCCATGTTTATATGTCCTCTTTAAAACCTTCAAAACGTCTTAATGCAGAGGATTTGCAAATCCAACCAATACCAGAAACAACAAAACCAGTAATGCCTGTATTTACTGCTGGGAAGTACAGCAAAGAGAATGTTGCCAAATTACTGAGGAAAATAACTTTTCAAGACATTAAAGAAGAGATGAAAAAAGTACAGCCCCTAAAATCAAAAATCCCTACATCACATCTGAAACCAACAAGCTATCAAGTAATGGAAGACAGTCAACCAACATCTAGTGTGAAACAAACACTATCCTTATCTTTCTCTGTCAATGAGGTCAGGAAATTCAAAGTAGCAGGTGTTGACAAAGTGTGGCATATGTCACTAGATCAGTCAGACAGACTCTGGGGCAGTGATTATGATGGTAAATTTGTCAAAACAGATCTACAGGGGAATAAGTTACAGAAGATAAAAACCAGTGGTGGATTTGGTTACCACACATTGACACAGGACGGGGATCTGATCTTTACAGACAGAGACAAGAAAGTCATCAATAGGATAACACTGGATAACAATATCACAGAATTCATTAGAACAGGAGACTGGGAAGCTATCAGCATACACTCCTCCCACATCAATGGGGACATACTGGTGGGGATAATGAATAGTGGGGAGGGTAAAGTCACCAGATATAACAAGAAAGGAAAAGAACTACAGAACATAGAGAGAGATAACAAAGGACAGGGACTGTACAGTAGACCACACTACATAACAGAAAACATCAATGGAGATATCTGTACATCAGACTATAATAAGGCAGTCGTGGTGGTGAATAAATCAGGACAACACAGATTCTCCTACACAGGTCACTCACTGGAGTTAAGGTTCTATCCGTATGGAATCTGTACTGATGTCCTCGGTCACATCCTGGTGTGTGATATTACCAGTGTTCATCTCCTTGATCAGGACGGTCAGTTCTTATCTTTACTACTCAGAAGACAAGTATCTACCGGTAGTCCAATTAGTGTGTGTGTGGATGATGAGAACAATCTTTATATGGGACAAACTGGTAACAATACAGTTAAAGTAATTAAATTTCTCCAATCAGTGAACACAGAATAGTGTACCATTTTTCACTTGAAGTTCATGTAGGCCCTATCTTTCATTTATTCTCTGTACAATTGAGGATATTCAATGTTTTATTTCACAAGTGGGATAGGAATATTTTAATGACTGCAAACAAAACTATGAGAAAAGCCTATTAATATCAAATAAAACAAAATATGCCCTATTATCTTGTAATTACCAGATCTTTTCTTGTAAATATGATTTGATAAACTGGTAAATATGAGAAAAAATCTCTTTATTCAAAAAAAAATTATCTGAAATTCCAAGTAAATTATCTTGTAGTTATGAGAAATATTGTATAATATATAGAACTGAGTTGCACAAACTATGAATTATGCCAAGTAAATAATTTTATCAAAACAAGTTATTGCTTAGGATTTCAAAACAAAGAAATTCTGCAGAATGAAGCATATTTAGAGAATATAGAATAATGAATATATAGGGAATAACTGCCTGTGTGTGTGTTTTTTTATGCTGTAAACAACCAGTATGTTTTCAGGTAATTTATGCATAAATGCCAGAAACCATTATTCAAATAAAAAAACAAGAGGCCCATGGGCCACATCGCTCACCTGAGCACATTTGCTAGGCAAAAGCACAAATCAGTTCAGTATTGAAAAGACCGGGGGGGGGGGGGGCTTTGAGTTTAAACTACCTGACGATGCTTCCATGTCAATATAACAAATGGCTTTGTTGTACTTGAGAAGATTTTTAAAAAAAATTTCCCATATATTCCTTTGTAAAAATTTGATCCCCCATTGTGGCTCCTCCCTATCCCAGGGGTCATCATTTGAACAAACTTGAATCTACACTACCTGAGTATGCTTCCATATCAATACGACTAAACATAGCTTTTCTGTTCTTGAGAAGAAATATTTTTTCTATATGTTCTTATGTAAAACTTTCCATCCCCCATTGGGCCCCACCCTACCCCTGTGGGTCATCATATGAACAAAATTGAATCTACACTACCTGAGGATGCTTCCATATCAAAATGACTAATCATGGTTTGCAGTTCTTCAGAAGAAGATATTTTCCTATATATTTCTATGTAAAACTTGAACCTCCATTGTGGCCCCGCCCTACCTCCAGGGGTCATGCTTTGAACAAATTTGAATCTACACTACCTGAGGATGCTTCCATATAAATATGACTCATCATGGCTTTGCTGTTCTTGAGAAGAAGATTTTTTAAAGATTTTTCCTATATATTTCTATGCAAAACTTTGATCCTCCATATGTGGCCATGCCCTACCTCCGGGGGTCATGATTTGAACAAACTTGCATGTACACTACCTGAGGATGCTTCCACATGAGTTTCATCTTTCCTGGCCCTATGGTTCTTGAGAAGAAGATTTTTAAATGATGCCATAATTTTTTCACTAATTCCTAATTATCTCCCCTTGAAAGAGGGCGCGGCCCTTCATTTGAACAAACTTGAATCCCCTTTACCCAAGGATACTTTGTGGCAAGTTTGGTTGAAATTGGCCCAGTGGTTCTTGAGAAGAAGTCGAAAACGTGAAAAGTTTACAGACAGACAGACAGACAGACAGACGGACAGACAGACAGACAGACGGACGCCGGACAAAATGTGGTCAGAAAAGCTCACTTGAGCTTTCAGCTCAGGTGAGCTAAAAAAGTGCACCGCCACGGCACAATTAAGATACTTCGGTCAAATATTGTTCAATTATCATAAATAGATTAGATTGCAAGAAAGAAAATCATGTCAACCTTGATACATAGATTCCGATGATTTTTTCATCCTAATGTTTGAAAGTGCCTCTCCTATGTTGTAGTAATTATGAGAACAAATAATACATCATATATTTCTCAAGTGGTTGTATTAAAGTTTTACAAATGCCCATTTGCAGTTTTGTTAATTGTATTTTTTATGAAAAATGAACAATGCTACACCCTATTAAAACATCAAAACATTAATCATAATTTTCTTTTTTAGACTGTAAAACTGTCATCTTAGTGAGACATGACATTCTGCAATTCATTGTTGAGATATGGAAATTAGAGTATTATATTACACAATATCGTATTAATCTAATGACTTTATACCAAATTAATATACCGGTAGAAAGTAATGACTGGCTTATGAACAAGAACTATTTTAATTTGACAGATATACTATTAATTAAGAGGCCAGATTCCTCTGCCCAGTCCCCAAAATATATAGATATCACCTGCTCTACCAGAAATCTTCTTACACTAAACTCATCAATTAATCTCCAATTGGACACATGCTCTTATAAATGCTTCTTGAATCACCATTGCTTGATTATTATACAGGGTGTTTCACAATATATGTCACACATCTAAAGGCAGAAAGAAAAAATACAACAAAAGCTACATATACATTTTATATATCATTTTAATCAGCAGATATTCAAAATTATTATTTTAAGTCAGAAGTATCCAACATTCTCCATTTCAGTTTCTATGTCAAGCAATTCTTAAATGTTGTACTCAAAGTCTTTTCCTTACCATTGTCCTAAATTAATAACTTAAGAGGCACATGTTCAGAAATTTCTGACCACTGCTTTGTAGGTTTCACAGGATACTTGACAGATCTCTTGTTACATATCTAGCTTTTCAGACCCCCAAAAGTGCATACATGTATTCATTTTTAGCTCTTCTGAGCCAAAGGCTCATAGAGCTAATGCTATGACCATTTGTGCGGTGTGCGTAAACTTTTTAGAATATGGGCCATAACTCAAGAACCCCTTGACCAGTTATTGTCAAATTTGTCAAAGGGTATCCTTGGCCCAAGGGCTTTTATTTTTACTAAAACTAGGGTTGTGACCCTTAAACAAAGGGAGATAATTAGGAAAATAGAAACAAAAGTACTGGTTGCTAAAAAATCTTCTTCTCAAGAACCACTAGGCAGATTATCACCAAACTTACACAAAAGGATGAGGATATGTTGTAGATTAATCACCCGGGGGCAAAGGGCGTGGTCTCAAGGTCACTTCAAAGTTGACCAAAAATTACATTTTATTAAAATGTTGATATTTTGCTTACTATAAGGACTAGGATC